TATCTACAAAGCAATATTAATTAAAGCAATCCATGCAAGGCTGGAATTTTGTCATATTTTTTCCTTACACTGAAGAATGTACTCACTCTGAAATGCTGTGCCTCCCATAATCCATTGTGGTATGTTCCCACTTAACTAGTAAATGTATTTTCTCGTCCTATATCTAATAGAACAATATGGCAGCGCGGCTCTTAATTTCTTCATTGTGCTTAGAGGGCAAACCAAGTGTTGAGCGCTAAGGAGAAGTGCATACAATTAAGCTAATATAAAGTTAAGGGCTTGTAAGTAAGAATTTGATGGTAAGGTCTACACCTGTTGTATTCGGCGCATGTGACAAATACAATTTGATTGGATTTGATTTGATATAATTCACAGATTGGCTAAAAGCAGTCTCTCCACTCACTCTCTCCCTACCTCACCCCACCCTGACCTAGATACACATACATTTCTGATGACGTCGTAATTAAAACACTAATTTGATAATAATGCAATAACAGCAGCACCCTGGAGGGCTTTTTTAAAGAAAACACTTACCCAGACCGCCAGTAAAGCACGTGTAATTCCCCATAGAGAATAAAGTAGTTTATGTCGGTGTGTTTTTGGGGGGCTCCGGACCTTTTCAGGGGACGGATTTCATACGGTAATCATTGAAATTTTCACTCCCTATTGGCAGGGCTGGCGTCGACCACCCAGTGGATGATATTGGATCCCTAAGGACATTGTTATTCGAAGGGTTAAGTTGGAAGCACTTCCAAGATCACTGTACTCAGGCCTGAAGTAGGCTATATGGGTTGATGTTTGTAATGTTGAATGACATTTTTTCATTTACAGGCCGTTGTTTAGAAGATTTAGAAGTGGTATTTTGTTTTCATTGTCGAGGGTTGAGCTAAGGGCAGCTCCACTAGCTTCAGGTAGGAGATGGCTCTGGTTAAAGGGCATATAACCCTCTAAAAGATTTGAAAGTGGAGCAATGTTAAAGGCAGGCTGATGACCTAGCTTGTAACCAACTTTAGTCATTTCTTATTTGCCCTGGAACACAAAAAGCAGCAGATAGAACTACATGGACACTACTTAAAGGGATAGTTCACCCAAATTACAAAATGACACATTGGTTTCATTACCCTGTCTATGGACAAGGTATGGCAGCAATCTATGATCTGTTTTAGTTTCCCTGGCACTGTTTCCACACGCTAACGATTTAGCATTTGTAGCACAAATCCCATTCAAGCCATGGGACCGAAATTAGGTTTTTCACGCATCATGTTCAAATCATCTACAGTATAATATACTTTGTTGAGCTTCACAATCAATTTGAGACGATTTGGACATGATGCGCAAAACTGTAATGCCAATATCGTTCCTATGACTTGAATGGGATTTGTGCCACTAATGATAAAACGTTAGCATGTGGAAAAAGTAGTAGGGAAACTAAATCAAAGCATGAATTGCTGTCATACCTTGTCCATAGGCTGCTTACAGGGTAATAAAATCAATGTGTCATTTTGTAATTTGTGTGAACTGTCACTTTAAGGTCCATATGTTGGCCAATCCTTATTGTTGGGTGGGGGTACTGTCAGCTGAGTGTGCTTTGATATTTAACAAGATGGCTGTTACACCCGGCTGTTAAAGCTGTTTTTGGAGCTGTTAAATCTCTATTTACAAACAATGTCAATGGGATGGGTTGTCATTGTCCTTGGCTTCTGTCTGTTTTCTCTGAGCGTGTGATGCTTGTGATGATCGGCTGATGTGACCCCAATAAACTAAGCCAAACCCATCTCATCTGACAAAGCTGAAGGACACAATGCTGGTAGTTTTTTTCAGAGAAGGCTAATAGTGCCATCTAGTGGTCCCAACTCACCCTGCAGTTAGTTCACAGGGACAACACTCTTCCTTTTGATATAGAAAATATTATGTCATCATGGGAGGTTTGTGAGGAACGTGATATCATGAGAGTGCCAACGTATCTGTGGATTGATGTAAGAATGACTGCCACACACTCATTGAGGGTTGTTCTTTTTCCCTGAAAGGAGAGCTGGTGATGGTGGGCAGCTCAATGTTCTGTCCTGGCTGTGGCAAGACAGAGACAGAGTCCCTTCACCCATGCCAGCTGTATCTCAATGATGCCAGTCCATTTTTTACCAAAGCATCAATCTTTACCCACCGGTCACACACAACCGCTCCATGAATATCATTAGGCGTCCCCGATTCCGTGTCGCATTTTCGGCCCTCATTTATTCTCATCAAGGGGACAAAGACAATGAGGGGCAGGGCATCCATTTTGGCTCCTTTGTTTACAAATTGTTTCAGGCCTTTTGTGAGGATCCGCGCGGCCGCTCTGCTCTAAAGACCACAGAAGTGGAAGGGAGAGCAATTGAGCTTGTTCACTGAGCCTTGGTCCTCCAGGCCTGAGCGCTGTAGATCACGCCTCATACCCCATTGTGGGGGTATGTTTGTCCCATGTGTTCCCTCAGCAGGGCATGCTAATGAGCACGGGGGCAGCGGGGGCGAGGGTGGCAGGGGAAAGATGTCTGCCGAACTCCCTGACAAGAACTGAACGGGCCAATGCTGCATGCCATTGCATGGGGCATCATGGACATCATGCACTGTCTGTCATTCCACAGGTCATATAGAAAACCTTACTGCTGAATATTCATAAAGGCTACTTAATGTAGTAGGCAGACTATAGACCGCCTGGCATGGAAAGTCCTGACCCTATTTGTTTTGGGGGGCCATGATATAGACAGCCAAACCTCTTTAGTGATGTTAACTCCCACTGTTACCATGATATAGACAGCCAAACCTCTTTAGTGATGTTAACTCCCACTGTTACCATGATATAGACAGCCAAACCTCTTTAGTGGTGTTTATTCCCACTGCTACGATGATTTACATAGCCAAAGATTATGTTTGAGTATCATTATCCAATTCATTTATGCTTGATACACACAGGAAACTGTTGAGCGTGAAAAACAGTGTTGCAGTTCTTGACACACTCCAACTGGTGTGCCTGGCACCTACTACCATACCCGGTTCTGAATGGCACACATACTGTACACAATCCATGTCTCAATTGTCTCAAGGCTTAAAAATCCTTCTTTAACCTGTCTCCTCCCCTTCATCTACACGGATTGAAGTGGATTTAACAAGTGACATCAATAAAGGATCATAGCTTTCACCTGGATTCACCTGGTCAGTCTAGGTCATGGAAAGATGTTTTGTACACTCAGTGTGTCCTCCATTTCAAATTGCTTCTCTTAAGCATACATTTTCCATCTGCCCAAAGTCAAAACAGGCAACATACTCTCTATTTCTATATTTTGAACACTGTCACACATTTTCACAAATAAATACATTATATCTATATATATATAATTTAGATTGTATTTGTTGTAGTAAAATATCTGTGCTCATAAGTCTAACTGAAGGATTTTAAATATGGAAAACACAAATGGGTATGTAAACATGGTCAAATGTACCACAACCTGTTTGCATCTCAGACAGATGGTAAACAAAGGGAACAAACAGGAACCACAAAAACTGCCTTCTCTTGAGTGCAAGAGAAGGCAGTTTATCTAAGAGTATGAGTTTTGTATTTTTCATTGGTGTTTCCTATGGTCCTGCCTTGACTGTGTAATTACTTGGTCTTGTCATGCAGGGCACCCTTGAAAAATAGACCTTCTTCTCAATGGGACTCCCCTGCCTAAATAAAAGGTTAAATAAAATAAAATATTATACATTAAAGGTCCAATGCAGCTGTTTTTTTATCTCAATATCAAATCATTTCTGGCTAATAATTAAGTACATTACTGTGATTGTTTTCAATTAAAATGGTCAAAAAGAAACAAAAATAGCTTCTTAGCAAAGAGTAACTTCTCAAGCAAGAATTCTGCTTGGACTGTCTGGGTGTCAGGATGTTAAAATAAACCTGTGATAGTGGAACAGGCCCCTTCCCTCAAAATTCAGCTATGTTACAAAAACATAAACGTTAAAGGGATAGTTCATTCATATAAAAAAATGTTGGTTTCATTCCCCTGTATGTATGTATGAACAAGACAAGACCGCAATCCATGCTTTGTTTACCTGGCCACTGTCTGTAAATGCTAACTTTCTTGCATTTTAGTCCAAAAACCAATGCCAGTCCATAGCAGAGATAGTTACGCATTTTGAGTCCAAATCTTCCCAAGTGTCTAAAATGTATTGTGTGTAGTTCAATAATGTTACTTTAAGATGATTTGGACATAAACTGTGAAAAATGCTAACATCCAGGATATTAACTTGCATTGGTTTTTGGACAGATGGACAGGTAAAAAAACAAACAAATGGCATTGTAAATAAGCTACAGCATGAATTACTGTCTTTTTTCTTTCTTTCTCACAAATATATATATATATATATATATATATATATATATATATATATATATATATACGTATACATATACATACATATACATACATACGCATACATATACACATATATACATATAAATACATATACATACATATATATACATATCCTTTAAAAAAAAATATTTCCCTTTATTACTTTCCAACCCCACCACCCCTTCCCTAATTGGAGTAAACTAATGAACAACAATGCTTAGGCCTCTACTTCCAGCTTATACATAGTATATACATTTTATGGACACAGTCAATTTTACAATAATTCTATTTTGTTTGTTTTTACTCCTGAACTTCCTCTACCCTCAACCTCTCCGATCATTTTCATGATGTCCATCCGGTTTGCTTCTATATGCCATATCTTTCTAACTGTGCTCTTTCACAAAAGCTCTCAACCTATAACTTATATACTTATTATGGATTACTGTCTTACCTTGACAATAGACTGCTTACAGGGTAGAGAAACCAATATGCAATTTTGTAATTTGGGTGAACTACCACTTTAAGCTACATATGTTGGCCAGTCCTTATTGTTGGGTAACTATCCCTTTAATATATCTTAATGACTATGTTTCATATTTTGTTAACCTAGTATCATCCTCATGGCTTCAATGATTTTACAGCCTGTTGGGCTTTGAGCCAAATATCAGCTGCCCTCTGTCGGAAAACAACCTGACCGATGCCCAGGTTTAAAGTGGTGCTGAACATGTAGAGAGAGATAACTGTGTACAAGGTTTTATTGTCAAAGTATGTAGAGGAAAGAACGTTGCCTAAGTAATGAAGGAAAATCCACACTGCTGTAAAGAAGTAGATCATTCCCTGCAGGATACCGGCGATGGTGACCCTCATCTGACTGTGGAGACGGGTAGAGGAGAAGGGGCTGCCGCTCTCTTTCATGCTCTTCATGTGTCTGTGCAGGTAACGCACCGTGGCACAGCTCGACCCCACCATCACACAAACGCAAAAAAAGACGTAGATCATTTCCAAAAACAGACTTGCTGTTGATGTGTAAAGCAGGACGACTTTTGGAGAGGCAGCATCATCTTTTGGAGTGGCATTAGTTGATGTGGTTGTGTTATTAAGCAGCACCTTTTTGGGAGAGACATTAGAAGTGCCATTTGTTGATGTGAAACCTGCGCTATTAGTAGACCATTCTTCTGAGGAATAAAATTCTCCTGCAGCCCTAACAGCAAATTGAAACATAAAGAACATCCTGTCGCCAAATAGGCCCCAGTAGATGATGCTTTTGATGTTCCTCTTCACCCAGGTGAAGAGAGCTCGCTGGGCAGGGACGATCTGGGTGTAGTAGAAGAAATTCAGCCAGACAGAGGTTGACATGCTGGTTGATGCCATGTACACCATTATTAGATAAGCAACATAGAAAAACTCAGAACTGGCAGAGACCATCCACAAGCATTGTGCTGCAATGAGAGAGACCAGGTAGACAGTGGTACAGAATACCATAGATCCCAGGAGTAACTTCACAGGCTGTTTGAGTCCCTCTCTGCCGTGCGGTGGACAGAGCATGCAGGAAGCAAAAAATATGTTTGCAAAGATGTTTAGTAAGGTGAGTGGTCCGTTGACTATTATCACCGACAAGTTGTCCATCATTATACGTGTCATTTTTGAAGAGGTTTATGTGTGCAGGGACAGCCTATCTTCTCTCTCAGCGTCTAGTGTTCAAATGCTGGACACCCCATCCCAGCCAGTTGTCTGAGACACCAGGAAAACCAACTCAAACATAGCACAACCTATTTACATTGCACATACCCATATGTAAATGATTGAGGTGTACATTACCCCAAAAAGGAAAACATTGGGTGAAACTTTTTATTACGCAATGACATACAATAAATGCCTTATAAGTGCATTTATAATGCCTTATGATACACATATAGTGCCTTATAATACTATGTATTATAAGAAGTTAAATCATCCTCATAATACATTGCTGTAGTGCATTATATGCCCGGAGAACTTAATGCATTATAGCCTTCCTGATCAGAAAATAGATCTGTCACAGGTTGCATAATGCTTATAAGGCACTATGCCACAAGGGTATTATAAAGTGTCGTATAATACACTTTCAGACTTAATTTATGATGCTCTATGAAACATTATTCATGTGTTTTTGTTTGCTTTAAGTAAAGTAGTTCACTTATTTATAAAATACTAAATAGGTATTTGTAGATTTTAAGTAAAGTGTGATCACTTCCACAATGGACATTAAAACACACAACAACACAGAGTTAACTACCCTGTTAACATTTTATTTGACAGTGTCAAGTACAGGGAAAGTGCCTGTTTGGCAAGCTAGGTGGTCACATGCATCCATAACATTCCCTTCCACACCCCTATCCACAAGCCTGTAGCCGGTCTGCTAGCTAGCTCCCAGTTCTATCAAGTCTGTAGCCGGTATGTAGCTAGCTTCCAGCTCTATTAAGTCTGTAGCTGGTCTGCTAGCTAGCTTCCAGCTCTATCACGTCTGTAGCCGGTCTGCTAGCTAGCTTCCAGCTCTATCAAGTCTGTAGCTGGTCTGCTAGCTAGCTCCCAACTCTATCAAGTCTATAGAAAGTCTGCTAGATAGCTCCCAGTTCTATCAAACGTCTTCCTATAAACAGGCAGTTTAACTGTGACATTCTTGTTTAGAGAGGCAAAGTCGTGTGTCTAGCTGTCTAGTCATTTACACCCGTAGAAAACCATGAGCACCTCCGATGACTAGCTAGTAGATCACATTTCACATCCCATTGTAAGCGTGTGTTTGTCGCGTGTGCTCCCTCAGCGGGACCGAGGGTGACGGGGGCAAGATGTCTGCTGAACTCACTGACAGCTTTGGCACACTGACTGAAATGGCCAATACTGCATGCCATTGCATGGGCCATCATGGACATCCTGCACTGTCTGGCTGTCATTCCACAGGTCATACAGAAAACTTTACAGGTGAATATTCATAAAAGCTACTTAATGTAGTAGGGAGACTATAGACCACCTTTCATGAAAGTCCTGAGTCTCCTGACACTACTTTATTTTTGTTACCATAATATACACAGCCAATACTCTTTAGTGATGTACACAGCCAAACCTCTTTAGTGATGTTTAACTCCCACTGTTACCATGATGTACACAGCCAAACCTCTTTAGTGATAATAGTCAACGGACCACTCACCTTACTAAACATCTTTGCAAACAAATGTAATGTTTAACTCCCACTGTTACCAATCAGCCCCAATTAGTCCTGGCCGGAGAGCCCGTATAGACCTGGCACGTCCAGCAGAGGGAGCCATCGCCGCGTGATGTAGACTCCGTCTGCCACCAGGCCTCGACGAGTCTCCCCCTGGTGGCTAACCTGCGGAATCCCCCCCCCCCCCCCCCCCTTAGCCCTGTCAGGGAGGGGGCTGTCGTTAGGGCGACGCATGTCTCCCTTCTCGATAGGGCATCCGCGTTCCCAGAAAAAGATAAGTGTTGAAGGGACAAGAACCACCTGGTGACCGGATTGTTTGTGTCCCTTCCCCTGGCCATCCAGACCAGAGGAGCATGGTCTGTGACCAGGGTGAAGTGGGTGCCCAACAAGTAATACTTGAGATTGTCTAGTGCCCACTTCACAACTAGACACTCTTTCTCGACAATAGAGTACTTTCTTTCTCTGGGTATCAGCTTTCGGCTTATGTACATGATGGGGTGCTCCTCCCCATCGTGTACCTGGGACAGGATGGCCCCTAGTCCCGTTTCACAGGCATCCGTCTGGACCAACATCAGTACCTGGAAATCAGGCGTTACGAGAATCGGATGGGAGCACAGCGCTTCCTTCAGGCGCCTGAACGCCGCTTCGGTCTCGCCCGTCCATTTCACTGTTTTTGGGAGGTGGGCCCTGGTTAGATCGGTAAGGGGGGAGGCTATAGCCGCAAAGTTGGAGATAAACCGGCTGTAGTATCCTGCCAGTCCCAGGAAGGACTTGATCTGTGTCTTGGTGCGTGGAACGGGCCAGTCACGTACCACGTGGACCTTCCTCTCCTGGGGCTTGACGTTAGCCCGTCCGATCAAATACCCCAGGTACTCCACCTCCTCGATCCCTAGCTTACATTTCTTGAGGTTCGCTGTCAACCCGGCTTGCCTGAGTGCGTCCAGCACCGCCTGGAGGCGCGTCAGGTGCCCTTCCCAACCTTGGCTGTGGATGATGATATCATCCAAATAGGCCGCTGCGTACTGTTGGTGGGGTCGGAGGACTCGGTCCAACAGGCGCTAGAACGTGGGCGGGGCTCCGTGTAGACCGAATGGGAGGACCCGGTACTGATATAAGCCGTCCGATGTCGAAAACGCCATCTTCTCCCGGGAGGAGGCTGTCAACGGTACTTCCCAATATCCTTTGGGCAGGTCGAGGGTGCTGATATATCGGGCCTTTCCCAATCGGTCGATGAGCTCGTCTACCCTTGGCATGGGGTAGGCATCGAACAAGCAGATGTCGTTCACACCCCGGATGTCATTACAGAAGTGCAGGCTACCATTTGGTTTGGGCACCAACACAATGGGGCTGCACCATGCGCTGTGGGACTATTCGACGACCCCCATCCTCAGCATAGCCTCCACTTCCTGCTTCACAGCCTTCCTACGGGCCTCAGGAATCCGGTATGGCCTCTTTCGTACCATTTTCCCGGGCCGGGTGCGGATGTGGTGTTCAATGAGGGTCGTGCGGCCCGGCTTCTCAGAAAACACTGCTGTGTTCCGATCGACGAGCTCCCGGAGCATTTGCTTCTAAGCCGGGTCAAGGTCCTCATTGCTCAGGACCACCACTGGTACCGTTGGTGTCCTGGGTCCCGACCATAACACGGCCAAGGCTGTCCTCTCGTGCCACCTCTTCAATAGGTTCACGTGGTAAATCTGTTAGGGTTTCCGTCTCCCCGGCTGCCATACATGGTAATTGAAGGGTCCCAGCTTCTCTATCACCTCGTACGGCCCGTGCCATGTTGCCAGGAACTTACTTTCTGCTGTGGGGGTTAGGACCAGTACCTTGTCTCCCACCTGGAATTCTCGGGGCTGGGTTCCCCGATTGTAGACCTGGGCTTGGGCGCGTTGGGCCTTCTCCATATGTTCCCTTACAACTGGCCATATGGCTGTCATCCACTCCCTCATTGTCTCCACGTGTTCTACCACGCTGCGTAAGGGGGTTGGCTGGGCTTCCCACACCTCCTTGGCGAGGTCCAGTAGGCCGTGTGGCCTTCACCCGTAGAGGAGTTCGAAAAGGGAAAACCTGGTGGATGACTGGGGCACTTCTCGGACCGAGAACATTCGGTGGGGAAGTAGCTGGTCCCAGTTCTTCCTGTCCTGCTCGATGACCTTCCGCAGCATTTGTTTGAGCGTTTTATTGAACCGCTCGACGAGCACATCCGTCTGCGGGTGAAAGACGGAGATCCGGATCTGCTTGATCTGTAGGAGAGCACACAAATATTTAATTAGTCGGGACATAAATTCGGTACCTTGGTCGGTCAGGATCTCGTTCGGCATGCCCACAAGGCTAAAGAGGTGGAACAGCTCCCAGGCAATTCCCTTGGAGACCGCCGCCCGTAGGGGAATGACCTCGGGATACCGGGTGGCATAATCTACTATTTCCAGGATGTACCGCTGCACTTGACACATTTATGAAATTGCTTACTCCAGTTACTAATAAGCATGCACCCACTAAGAAATTGACTGTGAAAACGATTAAATCCCTGTGGATTGATGAGGAATTAAAAAATGTTACGGTTGAGAGGGTTGAGGTAAAAGGAATGGCAAATAAGTCTGTCTGCACAACCAATTGGCAAACCTACTGCAAACTGAGAAATCATGTGACTAAAAAGAACAAAAAGAATAAGAAACTATACTATGAAACAAAGATAAATTATATAAAGAATTATAATAAAAAGCTTTGGAGCACAATAAATGAATTTTGGGCAAAAAGGCAAACTCAGCTCCATCATTCATTGAATCAGATGGTTCATTAATCACAAAACCCACTGATATTGCCAACTACTTTAATGATTTTTTCATTGGCAAGATTAGCAAACTTAGGCATAACATGCCAGCGACAAATGCCAAACCTACACATCCAGGTTTAACTGGCCAAATTATGAAAGAAAAGCATTGTAATTTTGAATTCCGTAAAGTGAGTGTGGAAGAGCTGAAAAAAGTATTGTTGTCTATCAACAATGACAAGCCACCTGGGTCTGACAACTTCAATGGAAAATTACTGAGGACGATAGAGGACGATATTGCCACTCCTATTTGCCATCTCTTCAATCTAAGAATACAAAAAAGTGTGTGCCCTCAGGCCTGGAGGGAATGCAAAAAGTCATTCTGCTACCCAAGAATAGTAAAGCACCCTTTACTGGCTCAAATAGCCGACCAATCAGCCTGTTACCAACCCTTAGTAAAGTTTTGGGGAAAATGGTGTTTGACCATATATTATGCTATTTTACAGTAAATAAATTAACAACAGACTTTCAGCACGCTTATAGGGAAGGGCATTCAACATGCACGGCACTTACACAAATGACTGATGATTGGCTGAGAGAAATTGATAATTGAAATTGCGGGAGCTGTTTTGTTAGACTTCAGTGCAGCTTTTGACATTATCGGTCATAGTATACTGCTGGAAAAACATATATGTTATGGCTTTATACCCCCTGCTATATTGTGGATTGATAGTTACCTATCTAACAGATCACAGAGGGTGTTCTTTAATGGTAGCCTCTCCAACATAATACAGGTAGAATCAGGCATTCCCCACGGCAGCTGTCTAGGCCCCTTACTTTTGTAGATCTTTACTAATGACCTGCCACTGGCTCTGAGTAAAGCCTGTGTGTCTATGTATGTCGATGACTCAACACTATACACGTCAGCTACTACAGCGAGTGAAATCACTGCAACACTTAACAAAGAACTGCAGTCAGTTTCAGAATGGGTGGCAAGAAATAAGTTAGTCCTAAATATTTCAAAAACTAAAAGCATTTGGGACAAATCATTCACTAAACTCTAAGCCTCAACTAAATATTGTAATGAATAATGTGGAAATTGAGCAAGTTGAGGAGACTAAACTGCTTTGAGTAACCCTGGATTGTAAACTGTTATGGTCAAAACATACAGTAGTGATGCAACAGTAGCTAAGATGTGGACAACTTCTTCTTCTTAACAACAATATCAATAACTACATGCCCTAGTTTTGTCGCACCTGGACTACTGCCCAGTCGTGTGGTCAGGTGCCACAAAGACTGGCCCAGAACAGGGCAGCACGGCTGGCCCTTAAATGTACACGTAGAGCTAACATTAAAAATATGCATGCCAATCTCTCATGGCTCAAAGTAGAGGAGAGACTGACTTCATCACTACTTGTTTTTGTAAGAAGTATTGACATGTTGAATGCACCGAGCTGTCTGTTTAAAATACTAGCACACACTACTCGGACACCCATGCATACCCCACAAGACATGCCACCAGAGCTCTCTTCACAGTCCCCAAGTCCAGAACAGACTATGGGATGTGCACAGTACTACATAAAGCCATGGCTACATGGAACTCTATTCCACATCAAGTATCTCACAAAAGCAGTAAAATCTGATTTTAAAAAACTGATAAAAATACACCTTATGGAACAGCGAGGACTGTGAAGAGTCACACACACAGGCACAAACACACGCATACAAACACACATAACATACACACTATAAACACACGTACACCTGGATTGTTGGTTGTAGTAGAGTAGTGGCCTGAGGGCACACACTTAAGGTATCGCCTCCCGAGTGGTGCAGTGGTCTAAGGCACTGCATCGCAGAGCTAGCTGTGCCACTAGAGATCCTGGTTCTAATCCAGGCTCTGTCGTAGCCGGCTGCGACTGGCAGACCCATGGGGCGGCGCACAATTGGCCCTGCGTCGTCCAGGGGAGGGAATGGCCGGCAGGGATGTAGCTCAGTTGGTGGAGCATGGTGTTTGCAACGCCAGGGTTGTGGGTTTGATTCCCATGGGGGGCCAGTATATAAAAAAAATCATGTGTGCACTCACTAACTGTAAGTCGCTCTGGATAAGAGCGTCTGCTAAATGACTAAAAATGTATTTGAATGTTTATAATGTATATTACCGCCTTCATTTTTGCTGGACCACAGGAAGAGTAGCTGCTGCCACAATAAATACAAATACAAATACACACAGCCAATCCTCTTTAGTGATGTTTAACTCCCAGTGTTACCATGATATAGACAGCCAAACCTCTTTAGTGATGTTTAACTCCAAGTGTTACCATGATATATACACAGCCAATCCTCTTTAGTAATGTTTAACTCTCACTGTGTTACATGAACCCATCTGAAATAGTTTTAAATGAACACTTAACCCAATACCCAACCCAACGTGGTCCTCTGTAGCTCAATTGGTAGAGCATGGCGCTTGTAACGCCAGGGTAGTGGGTTCGATCCCCGGGACCACCCATACACAAAAAATGTATGCACGCATGACTGTAAGTCGCTTTGGATAAAAGCGTCTGCTAAATGGCATATTATTATTATAACACTTTAAATGTGTCAGTCATTAAATTAAGAACATTATGTTTAAAGTGTAAGGCTCCCAGGGGGAACATTTTAATATGTTTGAGTATCATCGTCCAATTGAATTATGTTATGTGAAGTAAATATGTCCTCCATATGTTCATCCACTACAACACCCTGGTGTGGCATTAGTTTGTGTTTTTAAGCACCACCTTTTTGGGAGAGACATTAGCAGTGCCATTCGTTGATGTGAAACCTGTGCTATTAGTAGGCCATTCTTCTGAGGAATAAAATTCTCCTGCAGCCCTAAAAGCAAATTGAAACAAAAATAACATCCTGTCGCCAAATAGGCCCCAGTAGATGATGCTTTTGATGTTCCTCTTCACCCAGGTGAAGAGAGCTCGCTGGGCAGGGACGATCTGGGTGTAGTAGAAGAAATTCAGCCAGACAGAGGTTGACATGCTGGTTGATGCCATGTACACCATTATTAGATAAGCAGCATAGAAAAACTCAGAACTGGCAGAGACCATCCACAAGCATTGTGCTGCAATGAGAGAGACCAGATAGACAGTGGTACAGAATACCATAGATCCCAGGAGTAACTTCACAGGCTGTTTGAGTCCCTCTCTGCCGTGCGGTGGACAGAGCATGCAGAAGGCAAAAAATATGTTTGCAAAGATGTTGAGAAAGGTGAGTGGTCCGTTGACTATTATCACCGACAAGTCGTCCAACATTTTTGTAGAGTGTATATGTGCAGGGATAGCCTATCTTCTCTCTCAGCGTCAAGAGTTCAAATGCTGGACACCCCATCCCAGCCAGTTGTCTGAGACACCAGGAAAACCAACTCAAACATAGCACAACCTATTTACATTGCACATACCCATATGTAAATGATTGAGGTGTACATCAACCCAAAAGGAAAAACATTGGGTGAAACTTTTTATGAAGCAATGATATACAATAAATGCCTTATAAGTGCATTTATTATTCCTTATAATACACATATAGTGCCTTATAATACTCTGTATAAGACATCATAAATGCTCATAAGTAGCTACAGCATCCTTATAATACATCGCTGTAATCAAATCAAATCACATTTTATTTGTCACATGCGCCGAATACAACAGGTCCTCTTTTTCCTGTAGTCCACAATCATCTCCTTTGTCTTGATTACGTTGAGGGAGAGATTGTTATCCTGGCACCACACGGCCAGGTCTCTTACCTCCTCCCTATAGGCTGTCTCATCGTTGTCGGTGATCAAGCCTACCACTGTTGTGTCGTAGGCAAACTTAATGATGGTGTTGGAGTCGTGCCTGGCTATGCAGTCATGGATGAACAGGGAGTACAGGAGCGGACTGAGCACGCACCCCTGAGGGGCCCCCATGTTGAGGATCAGCGTGGCAGATGTGTTGTTACCTACCCTTACCACCTGGGGTTCGTCCCGTCAGGAAGTCCAGGATCCAGTTGCAGAGGGAGGTGTTTAGTCCCAGGGTCCTTAGCTTAGTCATGAGCTTTGAGGGCACTATGGTGTTGAACGCTGAGCTGTAGTCGAAGGTGTTCCTTTTGTCCAGGTGAGAAAGGGCAGTGTGGAGTGCAGTAGATCATCTGTGGATCTGTTGGGGCGGTATGCAAATTGGGGTGGGTCTAGGGTTTCTGGGATAATAGTGTTGATGTTAGCCATGACCAGCCTTTCAAAGCACTTCATGGCTACAGACGTGTGTTACGGGTCAGTAGTTATTTAGGTAGGTTACCTTAGTGTTCTTGGGCACAGGGACTATGGTGGTCTGCTTGAAACATGTTGGAATTACAGACTCAGTCAGGGACAGGTTGAAAATGTCAGTGAAGTCAGCGAATGCTCGGAGTGCACGTCCTGGTAATCCGTCTGGCCCTGCGGCCTTGTGAATGTTGACCTGTTTAAAGGTCTTACTCACATCGCCTACGGAGAGCGTGATCACACAGTCGTCCGGAACATCTGATGTCTCATGCATGCTTCAGTGTTGATTGCCTCGTAGCGAGCATAGAAGTAATTTAGCTCGTCTGGTAGGCTCGTGTCACTGGGCAGCTCGCGGCTGTGCTTCCCTTTGTAGTCTGTAATAGTTTGCAAGCCCTGCCACATCCGACGAGCGTCGGAGCCGGTGTAGTACTATTCCATCTTAGTCCTGTATTGACGCTTTGCTTGTTTGATGGTTCGTCGGAGGGCATAGAGGGATTTCTCATAAGCGTCCAGGTTAGAGTCCCGCTCCTTGAAAGCGGCAGCTCTACCCTTTAGCTCAATGTGGATGTTGCCTGTAATCCATTGCTTCTGGTTGGGGTATGTACATACGGTCACTGTGGGAACGACGTCATTGATGCACTTATTGATGAAGCCAGTGACTGATGTGGTGTACTCCTCAATGCCATCGGAAGAATCACGGAACATATTCCAGTCTGCTAGCAAAACAGTCCTGTAGCTTAGCATCTGCGTCATCTTACCACTTCTTTATTGACCGAGTCACTGGTGCTTCCTGGTTTAGTTTTTGCTTGTAAGCAGGAATCAGGAAGATAGAGTTATGGTCAGATTTGCCAAATGGAGGGCGAGGGAGAGCTTTGTGTGTGGAGTAAAGGTGGTCTAGAGTTTTTTTTCCTCTGGTTGCACATTTAACATTCTGGTATAAATGAGGTAAAACGGATTTACGTTTCCCTGCATTAAAGTACCCAGCCACAAGGAGCGCCGCCTCTGGATGAGCGTTTTCCTGTTTGCTTATGGCTGTATACAGTTCATTGAGTGCGTTCTTAGTGCCAGCATCAGTTTGTGGTGGTAAATAGACAGCTATGAAAACATATAGAAGAAAACTCTCTTGGTAAATAGTGTGGTCTACAGCTTATCATGAGATACTCTACCTCAGGCGAGTAAAACCTTGAGACTTCCTTAATATTAGATTTCATGCACCAGCTGTTGTTTACAAATATACACAGACCGCCACCCCTTGTCTTATCGGAGGCAGCTGTTCTATCTTGCCGATGCAGCGTATATCCCGTCAGCTGTATGTTATCCATGTCGTCGTTCAGCCACGACTCGGTGAAACATAAGATATTACAGTTTTGAATGTCCCATTGGTAGGATATCCAATGATTGTACATTGGCTAATAGGACTGATGGTAGAGGCAGATTACCCACTCGCCGTCGGATCCTTACAAGGCACCCTGACCTACGTCCCCGATATCGTCGTCTCTTTCTCATGCAATGATGGGGATTTGGGCCTTGTCAGGTATCTGAAGAAAATTCTTCACGTCCGACTCATTAAATAAAAAATTTTTGTCCAGTACGAGGTGAGTAATCGCTTTCCTGTTATCCAGAAACATTATGTAGAAAATAAGTTACAAATAACGCAAAAAAACACACACAATAGCAGAATTGGTTAGGAGATCGTAAAACGGCAGGGTGACCACTATCTATGATTTGGTTACCCACTCCCATCAACCATTAATATTAGTATTTCCTGTGCAGAGCCTTGGTGTAGTGGTAACACTCCCTGGCACATGTTGCATACAACTTTGCACCTGAAACCAGGGTTCAAGCCCTGATTCTAACCTTCCACTGTTACTCCCATTTGCCTGTCTCCTCATTTTATTACTGTCTGTATAAAGTGTCAAACCACCGAAAAAATTGGTAAAACAATAAAAATATTAGCATACTTCAAACTTCATCCCCCAAAAATCTCAAAGTAACACAATTGTCAATTTTTGATTGTTAATTTAATGTTCAAAGCATCCTGAATACGCCTGACCTGTGGTTTATGTCAAAATATGTAGAGTTGCAGGAAATGAGCTTTAAAACAGTAAAAGTTTACTGGGGGAGGACACCCAGACCCCTGTCTAGGGGTTGTGCCAGGGGGTGATGATATTCACATATCAAATCTCACTCCAAGCTTTCTTCAAAAGTTGGCAGCCCTGAAGTAAAGTGTGATCATTTCTACAATGGATATCAAAACGCACAACAACATAGAGTTAGATACCCTGGTAACATTTTATTTGACAGTGTCAAGTACATGGAAAGTGTCTGTTTGGCAAACTAGGTGGTCACATGCATCCATAACATTCCCTTCTGTAGCCGGTCTGCTAGCTAGCTCCCAGCTCTATCAAGTCTGCAGCCTGTCCGCTAGCTAGATCCCAGCTCTATCAAGTCTGTAGCCGGTCTGCTAGCTAGTTTCCAGCTCTATCAAGTCTGTAGCCGGTCTGATAGCTAGCTCCTAGCTCTATCAAGTCTGTAGCCATTCTGCTAGCTAGCTCCCAACTCTATCAAGTCTGTAGCCATTCTGCTAGTTAACTCCTAACTCTATCAAGTCTGTAGCCGGTCTGCTAGCTAGCTTCCAGCTCTTTCAAGTCTGTAGCCGGTCTGCTAGCTAGCTTCCATCTCTATGAAGTCCATAGCTGGTCTACTAGCTAGCTCTCAACTCTATCAAACGTATTCCTGTAGACAGGCAGTTTATCCACAGACAGAACAAGGAGCCAGATCTCTCACAGGATGTATAAATCTGAAGCATCCATTTAGAGCCTCTTCTTATCACCAAATATGGTGATGAGAGGAAGTCCCGTGGCGGGAAGTGGGAGAAGATGGAGCTAGATGAAACTTGGACGACATTCTGCATATTTTCTCATCAAGGAAACATTAGATCTTTATACAGTTTTCTGTTCCCAAAACTAGAATCTGTTTCAAACAGTGTATTACGTTTTGTAGACCTGACCCTTTCTTGGGTTGGTTATAAAAATATTTGGTTCAACTGTTTAGAGAGGCAAAGTCTGAGCACGAGCAGCCCCACCGATGAATAGCTAGTGAGTTAACTAGCTATGTATCTAGACTTGAGCCTTTAGATATACAGTGCATTCGGAAAGTACTCCGACCCCTTCCCGTTTTCCACATTTTGTTACGTTACAGCCTTATTCTAAAATTGATTTTTTTCCTAATCAATCTACACACAATACCCCATAATGACAAAGGGATAAAAAATGTAATGTAAATGGATAACAGGTTTTTAGAAATGTTAGCAAATGTATTAAAAATGTCAAACAAAAACACAATATTTACATAAGTATTAAGACCCTTTGCTATGAGGCTCGAAGTTGAGCTCAGGTGCATCCTGTTTCCATTGATCATCCTTGAGATGTTTCTACAACTTGATTGGAGTCCACCTGTGGTAAATTCAATTCATTGGACATGATTTGGAAAGGCACACACCTGTCTATATAAGGTCCCATAGTTGACAGTGCATGTAAGAGCAAAAAACAAGCCATGAGGTTAAAGGAATTGTCCGTAGAGCTCAGAGACCAGATTGTGTCGAGGTACAGATCTGGGGAAGGGTACCAAAAAATGTCTGTAGCATTGAAGGTCCCCAAGAACACAGTGGTCTCCATCATTCTTAAATGGAAGAAGTTTGGAACCACCAAGACTCTTCCCTACAGCTGACCGCCTGGCCAAACTGAGCAATCGGGTGAGAAGGGCCTTGGTCAGGGAGGTGACCAAGAACCCGATGGTCACTCTGACAGAGCTTCAGAGTTCCTCCTCTGTGGAGATGGGAGAACCTTCCAGAAGGACAACCATCTCTGCAGCACTCCACCAATCAGGCCTTTATGGTAGAATGACCAGACGGAAGCCACTCCTCAGTAAAAGGCACATGACAGCCCACTTGGAGTTTGCCAAAAGCCTTCTAAAGGACTCTCAGACCATGAGAAACAAGATTCTCTGGTCTGATGAAACCAAGATTGAACTCATTGGCCTGAATGCCAAGCGTCACGTCTGGAGGAAACCTGGCACCATCCCTATGGTGAAGCATGGTGGTGGCAGCATCATGCTGTGAGGATGTTTTTCAGCGGCAGGGACTGTGAGACTTGTCAGGATCGAGGGAAAGATGAACGGAGCAAATTACAGAGATCCTTGATGAAAACCTGCTCCAGAGCTCTCAGGACCTCAGACTGGGGTGAAGGTTCACCTTCCAACAGGACAACGACCCTAAGCACACAGCCAAGACAACGCAGGAGTGGCTTCGGGACAAGTCTCTGAATGTCCTTGATTGGCACAGCCAGAGCCCGGACTTGAACCCGATCGAACATCTCTGAAGAGACCGAAAAATAGCTGTACAGCGACGCTCCCCATCCAACCTTACAGAGCTTCGGAGGATCTGGAGAAGAACGGGAGAAACTCCCCAAATACAGGTGTGCCAAGCTTGTAGCGTCATACCCAAGAAGACTCGAAGCTGTAATCGCTCACAAAGGTGCTTCAACAAAGTACTGAGTAAAGGGTCTGAATACTTATGTAAATTACTAAAAAACTGTTTTTGCTTTGTCATTATGGGGCATTTCATGTAGATTGATGAGGGGAAAAAATGATTTAATCAATTTTAGAATAAGGCTGTAACTTAACAAAATGTGGAAAAAGTCAAGAGGTCTGAATTTCCGAATGCACTGTAGTATCTCATATTAACTCAAAGTCTATGTTGTGTGTATGTTTTTATGTCTATTGTGGAAATGATCACACTGTACTTAAACTTTAAATCCTACAAATTCATGGGTTGCATGTTTCAGCACAATATTGTTTTGAACGTTCTCTTGAGGACTGATGCCTGAATGAACATTGTACTCAATGCATTGTCAATGGGCGCTGATGAAGATTTCACCAAAAGTGCATTACAGTGGCTAATGATGGCAAAGTTGTTTTCTACTAATTATTTGCCTACTTTAGCACTGTCATCGTATTTCCAAGCCACTGTGTAATTTAGACCAAACAGTCATTAGCACCTGTTCAGAATGATTGGGCATCAGTCATCAGTTGGACACAAATATAGCTGCGGCGTCTGTAGAAAGTTCATAACAATGGCAATGACGCAACCAAGCAACCCATGAATACCTATTATAGTGTTTTATAATTAACTGAATCACTTTATTTAAAGTAAAGAAAAACACATGAAGTGTTTTATAGAGCTTCATAATTAATTATAAAAGTATCCTCGTCGCATAGTGCCTTTTAAGCATTATATCACCTGTGACAGATCATTTCTGATTAGTAGGGCTGTAATGCATTATATGTTATGCAATGTATCAAGGATGCTATACAAGCAATTATATTTTACATTTTTACATTTTTAGTCATTTAGCAGACGCTCTTATCCAGAGCGACTTACAGTTTATTTTTTTCATACTGGCCCCCCTTGGGAATCGAACCCACAACCCTGGCGTTGCAAACGCAATGCTCTACCAACTGAGCTACATCCCTGCCGGCCATTCCCTCCCCTACCCTGGACGACGCTGGGCCAATTGTGCGCCGCCCCATGGGTCTCCCGGTCACGGCCTAGTAGTGAGTATTATAAGGCACTATAACTGTATTATAAGGTATTATAAATACACTTATAAGGCATTATATGTGTATGCATCATAGAAAGTGTTACCGAACATTGCATAATATTCCTGCATGTGTAAAATCAGCTAATATCCTATGATTGGTGGCAGAGGGACTATAACAACATTTCTGAAAGGCTCTTGAAATCTCAGGTTGATTGCTTTTACGGAGGCATCTCTCTTCTCAAATGGAAATAGTTTGTATGCCAGTATGAAAATGGGTTCAAATGTACCATAACCTGTTTGCATATCAAAATCAGATGGAAATACCAACCAGCTTCCAATTGCTGGCGTGCCTCAAAAGCTAAGCAGGGTTGGGCCAGGTCAATCCAGGGGTGTATTCATTCCACCAATTCTGTTGCAAAAAGGTTTCTTAAATGGAAGCAAACGTAACGAAACGGAGCGGGACCTACCTGAATTTATCCAATAGAAACTTGTTTTGCTCGGTTTGCTTCCATTTGGTTCTTAAGCGATAAACTGTTTTCATAATGAATACTCCCCAGGTCAAATGCTTCTGGAAGTGGTGTTGGAGGGCCAGTAGGGGGCACTGTTCGAAAATCCCAATGCCCCAGGGCAGTGAATGGGAACCACTTAGAACCATAGGATCCTATGGTTCTAACGATGAACTTAGCCTTGTGGGAACAACATCCCATTCATAGAAGATGTTCCCACAGTGACGATTAGAACTTATCCAAACCAAAAACTGTGGATAGATTGCAGCATTCACGTAAAACTGAAAGCACGAACCAACCCATTTAACCATGGCAAGGTGACTGGGAACATGGACGTGTACAAACAGACCAGCTATGACCTTCGTAAGTCAATCAAAACGACAGAACAGGGACAAAGTGGAGTCTCAATTCAACAGCTCAGACACGAGGAATATGTGGCAGGGAGTCCAGACAATCACAGATTATTAAGGGAAAGCCGGCCATGCCGCCGACCCCTTGCACCCGGACAAGCTAAACACCTTCTTCGCCCGCTTCAAGGAAAACACAATGCCGCCGACGTGGGCCACCACCATTCACGAGGACTGTGAGCTCTCGTTCTCCATGGCTAACGTGAGTAAGACATTTAAGCGTGTTAACCCTCGCAAGGCTGACGGCTCAGAGCATGTGCAGACCAGCTGGCTAGGGTGTTTAATGACATATTCAATCTCTCCCTATCCCAGTCTGTAGTCCCCACTTGCTTCAAGATGTCCACCATTGTTTCTGTACCCAAGAAAACAAAGGTAACTGAACTAAATGACTTCTGTCATCATGAAGTGCTTTGAGAGGCTAGTTAAGGACCATATCACCTCCACCTTACCCGACACCCTAGACCAGTCAACCCCAATAAGCGGCCCGCGGGCCAGATCCGGCCCGCAAGAGCCAAATGTCTGGCCCACACTGACAGCATTGGCATTCACTTGTTATAATAAACATGAATTTAATATCCGCGGCTCTGCTTTATTTTGAAATTATCCCACACCTTGACCTGTGGCCTTTACCGCGTGCATACGTAAGACGTGCTTCGCGTACTCGTCTCCACTCGACTAGCTACCTAGTGTAGTGTCACACACACACAGTAGCCGCAGCCGCTCGCCAGTTAACCCTCTTTTATCAAAAGGACTGACCACTTCCTCACAAAAAAGTATTAAATCCAGTCAAACCAACATGGCATTCGTCAAGATACGCAAGGTAGATCAGGAGAACCGTCAGTTCAAAACTGACTGGACTGAGAGGTATTGCTTTTTTTTACCGGACCACAACAGTGCTAAGCCCACATGCTTAATATGCATGCAGACTGTAGCAGTAATCAAAGCGGACAATCTGAAGCGGCATTTTAACTCTATTCATGCTGCCAGTTTTAATGCAAACTACCCAGAAAAATCTGACCAGCGTAAACAAAAAATTGCAAGCATGTTAACGTCATACAAGCACTCGGTTTTAACTATGTGTAAAACAACATCGGCACAAGAGAGCCCAACAGCTGCCTCATTACACGTTTCTTGGAAGCTTGTAGGCTAGGGCCTAGACCCACTAAAATTTGCATACCGCCCCAACAGATCCACGGATGACGCAATCGCCATCGCACTGCACATTGCCCTATCCCGTCTGGACAAGAGCAATACCTATGTAAGAATGCTGTTCATCGACTACAGCTCAGCCTTCAACACCATAGTACTTTCCAAGCTCATCACTAAGCTCGGGCCCTGGGTCTGAGCCCCGCCCTGTGCAACTGGATCCTGTACTTCCTTCCGGGCCGACCCCAGGTGGTGAAGGTAAGCAACAACACCTTCGCTACGCTGATCCTCAACACGTGGGCCCCACAAGGGTGCGTGCTCAGCCCCCTCCTGTACTCCCTGTTCACCCTTGACTTCGTGGCCATGCACGTCTCCAACTCAATCATGAAGTTTGCAGATGACACAACAGTGGTAGGCCTGATTACCAAGAACAACTAGACAGCCCACAGGGAGGAGGTGAGGGCCATGGTGGAGTGGTGCCAGGAAATTAACCTCTCCCTCAACGTCAACAAAACAGCAGAGACAGCAGAGAGAGCATGCCCCCATCCACATTGACGGGTGCGCAGTGGAAAGGGTGAAAAGCTTCAAGTTCCTCAGCATGTACATCACTGACAACTTGAAATGGTCCATCCACACAGACAGTGTGGTGAAGAAGGCGCAACAGCGCCTCCTCAACCTCATGAAGCTGAATACATTTTGCTTGGCCCCTAAGACCCTTACAAACTTCTACAAATGCACAATTGAGAGCATCCTGCCGGGCTGTAAATGATGTACCGGTCGCTCCTACCAAGTGGCGTGGCGAGAAGCTGTCTCCGCACCACGTGCTCTCACCACTGGTGTCCCCCAGGGCTCAGTTCTAGGCCCTCTCCTATTCTCGGTATACACCAAGTCACTTGGCTCTGTCATATCCTCACATGGCCTCTCCTATCATTGCTACGCAGACGACACACAACTAATCTTCTCCTTTCCCCCTTCTGATAACCAGGTGGCGAATCGCATCTCTGCATGTCTGGCAGACATATCAGTATGGATGACGGATCACCACCTCAAGCTGAACCTTGGCAAGACGGAGCTGCTCTTCCTCCCGGGGAAGGACTGCCTGTTCCATGATCTCGCCATCACGGTTGACAACTCCGTTGTGTCCTCCTCCCAGAGTGCGAAGAGCCTTGGCGTGACCCTGGACAACACCCTGTCGTTCTCCGCTAACATCAAGGCGGTGACCCGATCCTGTAGGTTCATGCTCTACAACATTCGGAGAGTACGACCCTGCCTTACACAGGAAGCGGCACAGGTCCTAATCCAGGCACTTGTCATCTCCCGTCTGGATTACTGCAACTCGCTGTTGGCTGGGCTCCCTGCCTGTGCCATTAAACCCCTACAACTCATCCAGAATGCCGCAGCCCGTCTGGTGTTCAACCTTCCCAAGTTCTCTCACGTCACCCCGCTCCTCCGCACACTCCACTGGCTTCCAGTTGAAGCTCCCATCTGCTACAAGACCATGGTGCTTGCCTACGGAGCTGTGAGGGGAACGGCACCTCCGTACCTTCAGGCTCTGATCAGTCCCTACACCCAAACGAGGGCATTGCGTTCATCCACCTCTGGCCTGCTGGCTCCCCTACCTCTGCGGAAGCATAGTTCCCGCTCAGCCCAGTCAAAACTGTTCGCTGCTCTGGCACCCCAATGGTGGAACAAGCTCCCTCACGATGCCAGGACAGCGGAGTCACTCACCACCTTCGGGAGACATTTGAAACCACACCTCTTTAAGGAATACCTGGGATAGGATAAAGTAATTATTCTACCCCCCCTTACCCCAACCCCCCCCCCCCCCCCCCCCCCCCCCCCCCAAAAAAAAAATCCCACTGGCTATAAGGTGAATGCACCAATTTGTAAGTCGCTCTGGATAAGAGCGTCTGCTAAATGTCGTAAATGTAAATGTCTGTATCACCGCCTGGTACGGCAATTGCACCCTCCGCAACTGCAGGGCTCTCCAGAGGGTCCTCTGTAGCTCAGCTGGTAGAGCACGGTGCTTGTAACGCCAAGGTAGTGGGTTTGATCCCCGAGACCACCCATACATAAAAATGTATGCACACATGACTGTAAGTCGCTTTGGATAAAAGCGTCTGCTAAATGGCATATTATTTATTATTATTATTAGGGTTGTACGATCAGTCCAACGCATCACCAGGGGCACACTGCCTGCCCTCCAGGACATCTACAGCACCCAGTGTCAAGGACCTCATCCACCCGAGCCATGGCCTGTTTACCCCATTACCATCTAGAAGGCGGAGACAGTACAGGTGCATCAAAGTTGGGACCGAGAGACTGAAAAACAGCTTCTATCTCCAGGCCATCAGACTGTTAAATAGTCACCACTAGCCAGCCTTCGCCCAGTACCCTGCCCTGAACTTACTCACTGTAACTAGCCGGCTACCACCTGGTACTATACCCTGCACCTTAAAGACTGCTGCCCTATGTCCATAGTCATTGAACACTGGTCACTTTAATACTGTTTACATACAGTTTTACCCACTTCATATTTTTACACTGTATTCTAATCAAGGCTCATCCTATATAATTACTGCTGTACACACCTTTCCTGTTCATATACTGTCCATTCTGTCTATACACACCATCAAATACATATAATGTATATATACACTGAGTGTACAAAACATTAAGTACACCTTCATAATATTGAGTTGCAATTTTGTCCCTCTGAACAGCCTCAATTCGTCGGGGGATGTGGACTCCAATGCTTCCCAGAGTTGTGTCAAGGTTTCTGGACGTCCTTTGGGTGGTGGACCATTAAATGATAATGCCAGAGAAGCCGGTGTTTGGAGGATATATTGGCACGGGTGTTGTTAGGCCCAAGACAAAGTTGAGGGCTGGCAAACCGTACCACTATATCCTCCAAACACCGGGGTCGAGGGCATTATTTGTATTGGTATTTTATCAGTATCCCCATTAGCTGTTGCAAAAGCAGCAGCTACTCTTCTTGGGGTCCACACAAAACATGACATAATACAGAACATTACTAGACAAGAACAGCTCAAGAACAGAACTACATAAATGTATCACTTTTATACAACAGGTTACCAACATATTCAAATAATGACTTACATATTTTCATCATATTTGAATTTATTCATACTATTTCATCCTTCCACAAGATATAGTCCAAACACAAAGCTAGGGTTGCTACCCAAGCCGGCTGGTTGTTCGTTCTATCGGTTCGGTTGCCAGAGACGCGACCCAGTCGTTAAGTCTTTTTGTTCTGTATCTATGGACGCGAACCAGTTGATCGTTCTAAATGTTCTATTGCCATTCTGGCTGGCAACGTTCTTATCCCTTGCTTGCTAGCTAGCCAACTACGGCTAACTTACAGTCACGTCAAACAGTGCAGCCAGAATAACAACAAAGTAGCTGCATTTGCATAAGCTGTTTTCTAGTGACATTTATTTGGATACATCCAAAACAATGAGCTAATTCATTACTATGTGACAGCTGGAGATCAAATTTTAATATTGAAACAATGTTGCAAATGTCGGAGAGAAAGACAGCAAGGTTTATACAAATCACCGCTGTTGAAAACTAAATGTTAGTCTAAAAGAAATGTGAGATAATGTCTAGATGCTTTTTATAGTGGCGATATCACGTTCGCTTACAGACGGGTCAGACCAAGGCGCAGTGTGATATGCGTACATGTTTATTTAAACTGAATAAACAAACGAAACGTGAAGTCCTAAGGACACACACACACACACACACACACACACACACACACACACACACACACACACACACATTACCCGGAACAAGATCCCACAACCCACTAGTGCCAATAGGCTGCCTAAGTATGGTCCCCAATCAGAGACAACGAGCGACAGCTGCCTCTGATTGGGAACCACACCGGCCAACATAGATCTAGACATACTAGAACTTACAACATAGAAATACACAACATAGAAACTACACACCCTGACTCAACATATACGAGTCCCCTGAGTCAGGGCGTGACAGTACCCCCCCCCAAAGGTGCGGACTCCGACCGCGCAACATAAACATAACAGGGTAGGGGCCGGGTGGGCACTCCGCCTCGGAGGCGGATCCGGCTCAGGGCATGACGACCTCTCACTCTCCGCCTCCCTGTTGCGCCCATGGTCTGGTCTAGACCCCGGTGGAGCGGACTGCTCTGGCTCCGGAGTGGAGCAGCTGACCGGAGCTGGATCAGGCACCAGTGGAGCGGACTGCTCTGGCTCCGGAGTGGAGCCGCTGACTGGATCTGGACTGGACCCCGGTAGAGCGGACTGCTCTGGCTCCGGAGTGGAGCAGCTGACCGGAGCTGAATTGGGCACCGGACTGCTCTGGCTCTGGAGTAGAGCAGCTGACCGGTGCCGAACCAGGCACCAGTGGAACAGGAACGGGCCGGACCGGACTGGCGACACGCACCACTTGCTTGGTGCGAGAAGCGGGACTGGGTTCCTTTATAAACCCCCACTCCTTCTGCTGCCTAACCAGCTCCTCTCGCCGTGCCTCTACACTTTCCTTCTCCCTTTTAGCCTCCTGTAGCACCTCCCTCTGACCGAATAACTCCGGCTCCCCGTAACATGGTGGCCTCCTCTCCTAACCTGCAGATCCGCCCTTTAACGGCCTCCTGCTGCCTCGTCGTCCACACCGTGTGCCCCCCCAAAAAATGTTCTTGGGGTTTCCTCTCGGGTCTCCGTCGTCGGCACTGTTGGCGCCGTTTCTCCTCTCCTACCTGGGCATCCTCCTTCATCGCCTTCCGGTAACGGACAGCCTCCTCCTCCGTAATTCTCCCCCAACCGAGGAGGACATCAACTAATGTAACCTCCTGTTGAATTCCCGGTGTCTGCTCCTGAACACGCTGCTTGGTCCTCGTTTGGTGGGATCTTCTGTCACGTTCGCTTACAGACGGGTCAGACCAAGGCGCAGCGTGATATGCGTACATGTTTATTTAAACTGAATAAACACACGACAAAACAATAAACAAACGAAACGTGAAGTCCTAAGGTTACACACACACACACACACACACACACACACACACACACACACACACACACACACACACACACACACACACACACACACACACACACACACACACACACACACACACACACACACACACACACACACACACACACAAAACAAACCTTACCCGGAACAAGATCCCACAACCCACTAGTGCCAATAGGCTGCCTAAGTATGGTCCCCAATCAGAGACAACGAGAGACAGCTGCCTCTGATTGGGAACCCCACCGGCCAAATTGATCTAGACATACTCAAACTTACAACATAGAAATACACAACATAGAAACTACACACCCTGACTCAACATATACGAGACCCCTGTGACAGGCGATCAAGTTGATAAATTGCCTGGCTGGGCTGATGAGACAGTGGATTGCGCAGTCAGATGGAACAGAGTAAATAGGCATTGTAACGTCATAGATTTAGCTGGTGGTGACTTGTGGAATAGACACCGGCTGGAATGTGGTTTTAACCAATCAGCATCCAGGATTAGACCCATCTGTTGTATAACTCTTGATACACACGGGAAACTGTTGAGCTTGAAAAACCCAGCAGCGTTGCAGTTCTTAACAAAAAACGGTGTGCCTGGCACCTACTACCATACCCTGTTCAAAGGCACTTACTACCATACCCTGTTTTGTCTTGCCCATTCACCCTCTGAATGGCACACATACCTGGCGCCGGCGAAGATGGCGGCCTCGCGACTAGCACTTAGGAAACTTTGTGGTATTTTGTTTTACATTATTAGCTCAGAAAGTGTTTTGTATCATTACATACAGCCGGGAAAAACTATTGGATATCAGAGCGCCGGTAACTCACCAGCAATACGACCAGGAATACAACTTTCCCGAAGCAGATCCTTAGTTTTCTTCAGCTTAATATTGCAGATAGATTGTAACTTCCATCAATGTAATTGTCTGCATCACTTCCAATCCCCATGTTTTATATATATATATATATATATATACACATACACACATACATACATACATATATATACATAAATACACATACATATGTATATATATATATACATATATATACAGTGAGGGGAAAAAGTATTTGATCCCCTGCTGATTTTGTACGTTTGCCCACTGACAAAGACATGATCAGTCTATAATTTTAATGGTATGTTTATTTGAACAGTGAGAGACAGAATAACAACAACAAAATCCAGAAAAACGCATGTCAAAAATGTTCTAAATTGATTTGCATTTTAATGAGGAAAATAAGTATTTGACCCCTCTGCAAAACATGACTTAGTACTTGGTTGCAAAACCCTTGTTGGCAATCACAGAGGTCAGACGTTTCTTGTAGTTGGCCACCAGGTTTGCACACATCTCAGGAGGAATTTTGTCCCACTCCTCTTTGCAGATCTTCTCCAAGTCATTAAGGTTTTGAGGCTGACGTTTGGCAAGTCAAACCTTCAGCTCCCTCCACAGATTTTATATGGGATTAAGGTCTGGAGACTGGCTAGGCCACTCCAGGACCTTAATGTGCTTCTTCTTGAGCCACTCCTTTGTTGCCTTGGCCGTGTGTTTTGGGTCATTGTCATGCTGGAATACCCATCCACGACCCATTTTCAATGCCCTGGCTGAGGGAAGGAGGTTCTCACGCAAGATTTGATGGTACATGGCCCCGTCCATCGTCCCTTTGATGCGGTGAAGTTGTCCTGTCCCCTTAGCAGAAAAACACCCCCAAAGCATAATGTTTCCACCTCCATGTTTGACGGTGGGGATGGTGTTCTTGGGGGTCATAGGCAGAATTCCTCCTCCTCCAAACACGGCAAGTTGAGTTGATGCCAAAGAGCTCGATTTTGGTCTCATCTGACCACAACACTTTCACCCAGTTCTCCTTTGAATCATTCAGATGTTCATTGACAAACTTCAGACGGGCCTGTATATGTGCTTTCTTGCACAGCGGGCACTACAGGATTTCAGTCCTTCACTGCGTAGTGTGTTACCAATTGTTTTCTTGGTGACTATGGTCCCAGCTGCCTTGAGATCATTGACAAGATCCTCCTGTGTAGTTCTGGGCTGATTCCTCACTGTTCTCATGATCATTGCAACTCCACGAGGTGAGATCTTGCATGGAGCCCCAGGCCGAGGGAGATTGACAGTTATTTTGTGTTTCTTCCATTTGCGAATAATCGCACCAACTGTTGTCACCTTCTCACCAAGCTGCTTGGCGATGGTCTTGTAGCCCATTCCATTGATTGCTTCTGTGGACAGGTGTCTTTTATACAGGTAACAAGCTGAGATTAGGAGCACTCCCTTTAAGAGTGTGCTCCTAATCTCAGCTCGTTACCTGTATAAAAGACACCTGGGAGCCAGAAATCTTTGTGATTGAGAGGGGGTCAAATACTTATTTCCCTCATTAAAATGCAAATCAATTTATAACATTTTTGACATGTGTTTTTATGGATTTTTTTATTTTTATTCTGTCTCTCACTGTTCAAATAAACCTACCATAAAAATGATAGACTGATCATTTCTTTGTCAGTGGGCAAACGTATAAAATCAGCAGGGGATCAAATACTTTTTTCCCTCACTGTATACACACATACATACACACATACATACATACATACATACATACATACATACATACAGACATACATACAACAGACATACATACATACATACATACATACATACATACATACATACATACATACATACATACATACATACATACATACATACATACATATATACATACATACATACATACATACATACATACATACATACATACATATCCTTTAAAAATATATATATATTCCCCTTTATTACTTTCCAACCCACCACCCTTTCCCTACTTGGAGTAAACTAGTGAACAACAATGCTTAGGCCTTTACTTCCAGCTTATACCTACTATCTACATTTTATGGACACAGTCAATTTTACAATAATTATATTTTGTTTGTTTTTTCTCCTGAACTTCCTCTACTCTCAACCTCTCCGATCATTTTCATGATGTTCTTCCGGTTTGCTTCTATATGCTATATCTTTCTAACTGTGCTCTTTCACAAAAGCTCCCAACCTACAACCTATATACGTATTATGGACACAGTATGCTTACATTATTAGTTATCTTGTTATTATTTGTTGTTAGTTGTTATTAGTCCCATCCTTCAATTCCATTCAACACCTCCCATCTATCTTTTAACACCATCCATTTTGGATTTCTATTTGCAATATATATTTCAACTGTACTGTGATGTCTTACAAAAGTTCTGAACCATTCTATTCTTATTGTGAATTGAAAATTAACATTTTTGCTAAAAGTATTATTATGTTATTGATCGATTGACTATGACTTTTCAGATCACCCAGTAATGCTATCTGCAAGGTTAGCTCCAGGTAAATATTGCAATCCTTTAGCCATTCCTGGACCTGTGTCCAAAAACAAGCTACAAATGGACAGTACCAAAACAAATGATCTAATGATTCTGTGTCTTCGCAGCAAAATCTGCAGAGCTGGGAAGATTGTATCCCCCATATAAATAACATTCTATTGGTAGCAAGAATTTTATATAATAATTTAAATTGAAAGATTCTAAGTTTTGAATCCGGTGTCGTTTTGCATATCAGTTCATAAACACTATGCCATGGGATCGGTACGTCAAAAATCTCTTCCCAACTATTTTGCAATCTATATGGGACGGCTGTCAATCCTTTGGTCCTTAAATGAAACTAATATACTTTTTTATTTATCACAGTTTTCCTTAACCAATTATGTTCTTTAATGCAAGGCCGACAGACAAGTTCCTTACTTTCTCCCCCTTCCAACTTCCTCTTCCATTTTTGCGGTAAGGCTGCAATTATTTGGTTGTAATTTTGGGTAGAGCAAGTTTTTTTGTCAATTAATATATTTGAGTTTAACCACAATATTTGTTGCATTATTTGTTCTGTCGTTTCTGGAGGATTAAATTGAAATTGCAACCACCTTTCTATGGCTTGTTTTAGAAATAGTGATATTTGGGAGATGATCTCCTTTTCAAATAGCTGAATGTGAGTGGTTGTAATCTGAATAAAGGGAAAAAGGTCATTCTTGAACATTGGGTGAGACAATCTTACTAATTTGCTAGAGAACCAGTTCGGATTTAAGTATAACTTTTGTATGACTGAAGATTTTAGTGATAGGTTTAATGCTTTAATATTTCATAATTTCTGTCCTCCGAATTCATATTCATTATATAAATAGGCCCGTTTCATTTTGTCTGGCTTGCCGTTCCAAATAAAATGGTATATATTTTTCTCATATAATTAAATAAACTGTTCGCTAGGCGTAGGCAAGACCATAAGCAAATAGGTCAACTGGGATAATAGTTTCCCATGTGTATCAGGTATTTACCTTTCCATGGTAGCAAGATCTTATCTATTTTTGCTAACTTTCTATTAAAATGTATTGAAGTGAGATCCTTTATTTCCTTTGGTAACTCACCAGCAGTACGACCAGGAATATGACTTTCCCGAAGCAGATCCTTTGTTTTCCCTCCCCAGGGCAATTTAACTGATTCCAGCGGCTGACCCAAAACATCGCCGGCGGCGGAGAGGCACTCAGAGCGGCCTGCTGGTTCGACTTAGGAGGCGTGCACACCACCCACCGCTTCCAAGTATACTACTCGCTAATGTTCAGTCTTTGGATAACAAAGTCGACGAGCTCAGGGCAAGGATTTATTTCCAGAGACACATCAGGGCCTGTAACATACTTTGTTTCATGGAAACATGGCTCCCTGGGGATATTCTGTCGAAATCGGTCCAGCCAGATGGGTTCTCAGTTCATTACTTAGATTTGTGTGTATTGGGTATATGTTGTGAAATTGTTAGATATTACTTGTTAGATATTACTGCACTGTCGGAGCTAGAAGCACAAGCATTTCGCTACGCCCGCAATAACATCTGCTAAACACGTGTATGTGACAAATAACATTTGATTTGATTTGATGTCTCAATTGTCTAAAGGCATAAAAATAATTATTTAACATGTAGCCTTCATCTACACTGATTGAAGTGGATTTAGCAAGTGACATCAATAAGGGATCATAGCTTTCACCTGGATTCACCTGGTCAGTCTGTCATGGAAAGAGCAGGTGTTCTTAATGTTTTGTACACTCAGTGTATATTTAAATTCCTGACTCTGACTCGTTCTGATATTTCTTAATTTCTTTCTTTACATTTTTGGGGGATTTGTGTGTATTGTTTTGTATTGTTAGGTATCACTGCACTGTTGGAGCTAGAAACATAAGCATTTCACTGCACTTGCGATAACATCTGCAAAATACGTGTACGTGACAAAGAATTTAAGAATTGTTGTTATAGTCCGGGTAATTTGAATCCCTCTCTGCCACTAATGATAGCATAGTTTATGGTAATGATGCAGGTGACTTATGCAATATTCCCTTTTTGGGTTGACGTTACACCTCAATCATTTGCATGTATCTGCAATGTAAATAGGTTATGCTACGTTTGAGTTGGTTTTCCCAGTGTCTCAGACACCTGGCTGGGATGGGGTGTCCAGCATTTAAACACCAGACGCTGACAGAGAAGTTAGGCTATCCCTGAAAAAAAAACTCTTACAAAAATTACACGTATCATGATGGACGACTTGTCGTTCACAATAGTCAACGGACCACTCACCTTTCTCAACATCTTTGCAAACATATTTTTCACCTTCTGCATGCTCTGTCCACCACGTGGCAGAGAGGGACTCAAACAGCCTGTGAAGTTACTCCTGGGATCTATGGTATTCTGTACCACTGTCTACCTGGTCTCTCTCATTGCAGCACAATGCTTGTGGATGGTCTCTGCCAGTTCTGAGTTTTTCTATGTTGCTTATCTAATAATGGTGTACATGGCATCAACCAGCATGTCAACCTCTGTCTGGCTGAATTTCTTCTACTACACCCAGATCGTCCCTGCCCAGCGAGCTCTCTTCACCTGGGTGAAGAGGAACATCAAAAGCATCATCTACTGGGGCCTATTTGGCGACAGGATGTTATTTTTGTTTCAATGTGCTGTTAGGGCTGCAGGAGAATGGCCTACTAATAGCACAGGTTTCACATCCACGAATGGCACTGCTAATGTCTCTCCCAAAAAGGTGCTGCTTAATAACACAACCACATTAGCCAATGCCACTGGTGCTGCCTCTCTAACAGATGTCCTGCTTCACACACTGATAGCAAGTCAGTCTTTGAAAGGTATCTACATGCTTTTTGGCCTCTGTGTGATGGTGGGGTCGAGCTGTGCCACGGCGCACTACCTGCACAGACACATGAAGAGCATGAAAGAGAGTGGCAGCCCCTTCTCCTCTACCCGACTCCACAGTCAGATGAGGGTCACCATCGCCGGTATCCTGCAGGGAATGATCTACTTCTTTACAGCAGTGTGGATTTTCATTCATTACTCAAGCAACGTTCTTTCCTCTACATCCTTTGACGATAAAACCTTGTACACAGTCATCTCTCTCTACAAGTTCGGCACCACTTTAAACCTGGGCATCGGTCAGGCTGTTTTCAGACAGAGGGCAGCTGATATTTGGCATAAAGCCACACAAGCACTGAAGCTGTGACCTGAGATGATGCTACAATAAGTAAATATAAGTGCTATAGTAATATGGAATGAATGTTTGTTATTTTATTAACTTTTGACATGTCATGCTAAACGCAGTTGTGAGATAAAGGACCAGTTTAACCATCTCAGGTTCAGCTGGCAGGATGTGAAGATTTGTTATGCCATTTTATACCTGGATTTTGATTTAATGTGGAGTTGTGAAACAGCCCATAATGTATCATCTAATTTAGTGGTATTCAAAGTCATTTTGCATACCCAATCTCATAATAGCCTACTCACAGTACCGCAATATGTTTTTTGTTAAAGTTCACTTTTAAAACGTTTGAAATCAGTAGCTAGCCAAACGAGAATGTTTAGTTAGCATGCCACAGCTGAATGCAGTTTCAACACTCATTTCCCACAATGACTTTAATCAGAAAATTACTTCCATTCCATTTACTCTTTTTGTTGTAGTTCTCAGGACAAAACATTTAAGCAAACAATCCCAATTCTAGTGCAGTAGCAGCACAGTTCCTAAACCAGAGGCCCAACATTGCCAGACCTGACAGAAATGTTTGTCAGTTTATTTTGTTGATAAAATTGAGTTTGTGGTTTCTAACAAAGTTTTTTTTTTTATTAATCGTAAAAGTTCTAGTATTTATTGGTTCTCTTAATTTTTATACGAAATTAAAATGTAATGTATTTAACATTATTGGTTGATGTAAAATGGAACATTTCCAGATTTTTTTTTTTAGAAGTTGGGTTTCTACTAAAAACGTTTTAATACACTGATCTAATGTATAATCAGAGGTAAACTGCCTTCTCGTGTTCATGAGTCTTATGTATTTAGTACTTTTTTTGTGTTTCCCGTTTCTTCGTTTTCCATGATATTCTACTTTTCTTTTATTTCAGTTGCAATGTTGAGATGTGAACCTGCAAGTAAGCATTTCAATGTACTGTTTATACATGTATCCTGTGCATATGACAAATACACTTTGATTTGAGATTTTACTTCAACTAATATAATAAATATAACCTACATTTGTCAAAATGTGTGACTGCTTTGTGTGCAAAATAAAGAAATAGAACAGTTTGTTGCCTGCATCTTGACTTTGGGCTGATGGAGACCACCTGGTCAGTATAAAAAAATACATTCTGCTGGTATAATCTTCTTTTCAATTATGTGTTACACATCACAAACAAATACATTTGATTATGACTCTCAAAAATGGGATGGTCACTTTAAATGTTAATTTGCTCCACCCACATTCCTGAGACGAACGCTGTTCTTTGATTGAATGACTGTCACTTTTAACAGTCTTGTGGCGCCAAGACAGATTTCAAGAAATCACCAACAAAGAAAAATGAGCTGAGGCAAACAATTTATTTTGTTTTAACATAATAATCACTGCATGTCACGCTCTTCAGCAATGAAATGGAATACAGAAACAACATTTGGTCCAACTTTAACTTCAACAAGAGGAACGTCAAGCAAAGTGCCAAATACAATGAGCATGGTTTATTCTGTAAGGCAGTGATTCTGAAAGTGGAAACTGTCATGCCATTTTTCAGTGTTGATTGTAGATGAGTCCGTTACGGAAAAACAAAACGTATCACTTGAGGCAAAGCCATGTAAATAGATATCTACGGTGGCCTTTGGGCACACCATAGATATCAATAACAAGGCAGCTTCAGAAAATGTGCAAACTCATTTCCCCCCATTAGATAACATCACCTATGATAAATCTTGATTATTTTTTATTTTGCTGTTTGAGTTTAACATTTTAGACCCCAGAGTTATAGTCCAACATCTCATCTAGTTGCGTCCCTGAGTCTAAGACCATTCAGTCTTTACTACCACCACTATGTGAAGGAGAAATTCACATTTGAAAAGTGCACACAAGACCATCAGCAGTCAATAAACATTTTGTGCATCACAGGAGGTTGGTGGCACCTGAATTGGGGAGGACGGGCTCGTGGTATTGGCTGGAGCAGAATAAGTGGAATGGTATCAAATACTTCAAACATGGTTTCCATGTGTTTGATGTCATTCCATTCGCTCCGTTCCAGCCATTATTATGAGCCGTCCTCCCCTCAGCAGCCTCCACTGTACGTGCATATTTATCAACTAATTAAAGAAAACTGACAAATATTTGCTAATTACAACTTTCGTAATTTCCTCCTCTAACTTTTAGGAACGTCTCAAAAGAGCGTTCATTCATTGTACTCCTAGTACAAATCACATTTCACTTTTTAGATACCAGAATTATATAGTATATAGGTATTGTGTATTGCACATGAGTAGAACCTGCCTGCTGGCACTTTGAAAGCATTTCCGAAAAGGCACTCATTGCACGTTCCACTGTGTAAAACATATGCATCTATATCATATAAGTGTATTCTTAAACATGACTGTAAACATATCTTTGGCCCTTACATACAGTATACTATAAAGTCTATACAAAGTGTGTATCTGAAATGGCACCCTAACCTGTACCCCAACCTGGTGGGTCAAAAGTAGTGCACTACATTGCTGGAGTCTGGGGGTTGGAGCTTTGGCTCTGTTCCCTTCCGACTTGTCAATCCTCCAACATCGTCTGTCTCACTGACTTCATACTGTCCTGTCTAAAAACCAATAAAAGTATGAAATTATGTTAGACTCTGCAGGGGGGGAAAAGTAGTGCACTATGTAGGGAATAGGGCACCATTTGGGACACAGCCAAAGGCAGAGTAAAATCAGTGAGGAGGTGGTGGAGCTATCTCTGGCTGCGCTCCTGTTTGAAGGCCACAGTGAACTTCCAGGCTTCGATGTACTGAGCCAGGCTGATCTCTCCGGGGAACAACTCGTCCACGTCGTGGGGAACGTCAAGGTCCTTACGCTCCATGTAGGACAGCAGGGTGTCTTTCAGGCTGCAGGACGATGGAGGAAAGGATAATGGACATGTGATTTTTACATTCATCAAACATGCCTCACCCGGAGATGTTTGTGGGCCTTGTGAAACACATACGTGATGTTCATTTGACGTAAACAATACTACAATATACAAAATTGAACACTACAATTTTTCTAATCCCGAAACCCAGAACTAAATCTATGGGCACTAGGTAGTTAAGAGTGTCAAGAGAGACTACACCATGCCAGCTAGCTGTTATCCCCTTGGCTTACCCCCAGTCAGGCCTGTATGTGTCGAGGGCACGGGGGTTCTTCAGGACCAGCAGCAGGAACTCGTGCATCTCCAGCAGGAACGAGTCAGCGCTGCTCTTGGTGCAGAACGTAGTGAGCAGCCTCCGCTCTTCATCGCCCAGGGGATTCCTGTACTTCTCTGAGACCCCCACGAACGGGTCCTGAGGATGGGGAGGGATGGATGGAGAGGGGGGGTTTAGTGAAACTTCTACTAATAGATACACACTTGGGTGAAACATGACGTTACGATCATTTGCTATTTATCAGATTTTGTAAGTTAGTATAACTAAAGTTAGTGTAACTGAATTTTGTAAGTTAGTAGAACTTAAGTTACAATGTTACAACTTATGTTGTAAGTTATTCAAACACATCTCACCCACACAAACAGTAATCCAGACAAACAACTTCATAACCAGTGTAAAAACATGACCCTAACAAAACCATCAACAGTTTAATGTGAAGACTGTTGTCTGGGTGAATGTGTGGTGTCTCGTCGTCTTACCCTCTTGAGGCGCAGCATGTTCTCCGACTTGAGTGAGGTGAGGAGCTGCCACAGGGCCACACAGTGTTTCAGACTACACCTGCTCAGGGCCTGCATGAGGACAACACAGTGTTTCAGACTACACCTGCTCAGGGCCTGCATGAGGACAACACAGTGTTTCAGACTACACCTGCTCAGGGCCTGCATGAGGACAACACAGTGTTTCAGACTACACCTGCTCAGGGCCTGCATGAGGACAACACAGTGACTCAGACTACGCCTGCTCAGGGCAACATTGCACTGGATTTGTGCTAAAAAGGTTAGCATTTGAAACAGTGGCCAGGTAAACAAAACCAAATAATGCATTGCTGTCTTACATCCATAGACTGCTTACAGGGTCAAGAAACCAATGTGTAATTTTGTAATTTGGGTGAACTATCCCTTAGTTTAATATAACCTCCAATCACATGGTCAGAAAACATGACATCACTGCTAACAGGTTCTCTCCTGAAAGAGCTCACCTTACCGAGAGATGTGTTGTATTAACTTTAGGGTACAATTAATACCAATTAGGCTAGATAGTGATTGATAATATGCATATACCCCAAAAAGCTTACGACAACAAGATTAAATTAAGTCACTACTTTCTGTTAAGGGTATCCATCTGTTTACTGGTTCCTGTAAGAAAGCCAATGGAGAGCCAGCTAGATGGAGTGGTGAAACAAAAAATTGGCTTTAGGCTCTCAGCTACCAACTAAACCATTCGAAGAAACAGAGATGTGTTAATGCTGCACCCGGACAGTCTGTGGGCTCCAGACTGCAGACGGAGGAAGGGAGCTGACCTTGAGGATGTGTGGGGCTGTCTGGTCTCCCATCTGCAGAACCTCCTCCAGGTAGCGCTCCAGCTGCAGCAGGGGTTCGCCGCCTGTCATGGCCAGGAAGCCCAGTGCCACCTCCACGGTGGAGAGCGCCTCACACACCTCGCTGTATGACTGCAGCTCCCCAGCCAGCGCTGACAGGGTCAGGATGGGCAGGGGCTCCTAGGGACACAAAGGGCAAAGGTCACAAACAGGGAAATGACAGCGACGTGGACCAGGCATAGAGCAGGGTCAACTCAACCTCATGCCAGGGTTGTGTTCCAAAACTGGATGTGTACCAATCAAAGATTTCCCCATATCATACCATGTGACAACATGTCACCAGAGTTATTGTGACTTACCTGTTGAACCTTTCCTTTCACGTCCTTGAGGATATTTTCATAATTGCGGTCATGTCTGTTCACCAGGGTTGGGATTCCCTGTATGAGGCGGCAGTTAGCAACAAATCAAAACCTCTTTATGTTTAATACATGGTCATATAGTAACGCTGTTGTCTTTACCTCACTTTTGCTGCTTTTACACAGGCAGACACATTCTGATATTTTTTACTCTAATTGGTCTTTTGACCAATCACATCAGATCTTTTCACATCAGATCTTTTTCAGAGCTGATATGATTGGTCAAAAGACCAATTAGTGAAAAAAATATCAGAATGTGTAACGCAGCTTGTGACAGCTAAGTGTTTCTGTAAAAAGGGTAATCTATACAGTTCTGGTTTAACCTGTACCGCACATCGACCTCTACCGTACACTAACTTTAGTAAAAAATATGTTTATAAGTGGATGTAGTTTTACCCTTTAAGAGCATATTTAAAAATTGTATTTCATAACATTTGTTATTGTTAGACGATTGCTAATGAACTTGGCGTCACCCTACGAGAGAGTTTGTCACATTAACAATGTACCTTGCTGCAGCACAGGCATTTAGTAACTTTGTTGATGCCTAGAACTGTACATTTGACTGACCGACAGCTGAGAGACAGACTGACTCACATTGAGGGTGACGAGGGGCTTGCCCTGCAGGAAGCGGGCCAGGATCTGCTGCTGGATCTTGGGCAGGTCGTACTCGTGCAGGGCCTCCTGGCCACGCTCCACGCTGTACTGGCAGTTAGACAGAACCAAGGGCAGCAGATCCCTCTCCGGCTCGTAGCGGATCACGTGCAGGTCGCTCAGGTCCGCCGGGCTCACTGTGTAGCTGGGGGAGGGAAAGGAGAAGAGTGAACTAATGTGGTTCCAATGGCTGGGTGGGGTAGGGATCATGGTGCTGCCAGTAATAATAATAATAAGCCATTTAGCAGACGCTTTTATCCAAAGCGACTTACAGTCGTGCGTGCATACATTTTTTTTTTTTTTGTGTATGGTAAACCATACTGGTGTCCCAGTACACCAGGGTTGTGGGTTTGAGTCTTGCATGGCCACATACACCGATATACTGTATGTGTCAATGTTGACAGTTCTGGAAGTTCCTTTGGATAACAGGGTCTGCTAAATGACCATATTGTTGGTGTAAGAATGTGTGTAAGCGGGTGATATCAACCATGTAGATAACAGCGCCGGAGAAGATGGCTGCCGTTTTACAGCCCTCTAACCAATTGTACTATTATATGTGTTTTTCCGCGTTATTTGTAAATTATTTTGTACATAATGTTTCTGCCATCGTCTCTTATAACCAAAAATAGCTTCTGGATATCAGGACAGCGATTACTCACCTCGTATTGGACGAAGATTTTTTCTTCAACGAGGCGGCCGCGAAGGATATCATACAGACACCCGACAAGGCCCAAATCCCCGTCATTCGAGTGAGGAAGAGACGGAGATATCGTGGACGTAGATCGGGGTGCCTTGTAAGGATCCGACGGCGAGCGAGTAAACTGCCTCTTCCATCAATCCTATTAGCCAACGTTCAATCATTTGAAAATAAATTGGATGACCTAAGATTACGGTTATCCTACCAACGGGACATTAAAAACTGTAATATCTTATGTTTCACCGAGTCGTGGCTGAACGACGACATGGATAACATACAGCTAGCGGGCTATACGCTACATCGGCATTATAGAACGGCTGACTCCGGTAAGACAAGGGGTGGCGGTCTGTGTATATTTGTAAACAACAGCTGGTGCACAAAATCAAATACTAAGGAAGTCTCGAGGTTTTGCTCGCCTGAGGTAGAGTATCTTATGATAAGCTGTAGACCACACTATTTACCAAGAGAGTTTATCATCTATATTTTTCATAGCTGTCTATTTACCACCACAAACCAATGCTGGCATTAAGATTGCACTGAATGAGTTGTACAAGGCCATAAATCAACAGGAAAACGCTCATCCAGATGCAGCGTTCCTAGTGGCCGGGGACTTTAATGCAGGGAAACTTAAATCCGTTCTACCTAATTTCTACCAGCATGTTAAATGTGCAACCAGAGGAAAAAAAAACTCTAGACCACCTTTACTCCACACACAGAGACGCATACAAAGCTCTCCCTCGCCCTCCATTTGTCAAATCTGACCATAACTCTATCCTCCTGATTCCTGCTTATAAGCAAAAACTAAAGCAGGAAGCACCAGTGACTCGGTTAATAAAAAAGTGGTCAGATGACGCAGATGCTAAGCTACAGGACTGTTTTGCTAGCACAGACTGGAACATGTTCCGGGATTCTTCAGACAGCATTGAGGAGTACACCACATCAGTCACTGGCATCATCAATAAGTGCATCGATGATGTCGTCCCCACAGTGACCGTACGTACATACCCCAACCAGAAGCCATGGATTACAGGAAACATCCGCACTGAGCTAAAGGGTAGAGCTGCCGCTTTCAAGGAACGGGACTCTAACCCGGACGCTTATAAGAAATCCCGCTATGCCCTCCGACGAACCATCAAACAGGCAAAGAGTCAATACAGGACTAAGATTGAATCGTACTACACTGGCTCTGACGCTCGTCGGATGTGGCAGGGCTTGAAAACTATTACAGACTACAAAGGGAAGCACAGCCGTGAGCTGCCCAGTGACACAAGCCTACCAGACGAGCTAAACCACTTCTATGCTCGCTTCGAGGCAAGCAACACTGAAGCATGCATGAGAGCACCAGCTGTTCCGGATGACTATGTGATCACGCTCTCCGTAACCGATGTGAGTAAGACTTTTAAGCAGGTCAACATTCACAAGGCCGCAGGGCCAGACGGATTACCAGGACGTGTACTCCGAGCATGTGCTGACCAACTGGCAAGTGTCTTCACTGACATTTTCAACATGTCCCTGACTGAGTCTGTAATACCAACATGTTTCAAGCAGACCACCATAGTCCCCGTGCCCAAGGACTCTAAGATAACCTGCCTAAATGACTACCGACCCGTAGCACTGACATCTGTAGCCATGAAGTGCTTTGAAAGGCTGGTCATGGCTCACATCAACAGCATTATCCCAGAAACCCTAGACCCACTCCAATTTGCATACCGCCCCAACAGATCCACAGATGATGCAATCTCTATTGCACTCCACACTGCCCTTTCCCACCTGGACAAGAGGAACACCTACGTGAGAATGCTATTCATTGACTACAGCTCAGCATTCAACACCATAGTGCCCTCTAAGCTCATCACTAAGCTAAGGATCCTGGGACTAAACACCTCCCTCTGCAACTGGATCCTGGACTGCCGAACCCCAGGTGGTAAGGGTATGTAACAACACATCTGCCACACTGATCCTCAACACGGGGCCCCTCAGGGGTGCGTGCTCAGTCCCCTCCTGTACTCTCTGTTCACCCATGACTGCATGGCCAGGCACGACTCCAACACCATCATTAAGTTTGCTGACGACACAACAGTGGTAGGCCTGATCACCGACAACGATGAGACAGCCTATAGGGAGGAGGTCAGAGACCTGGCCGTGTGGTGCCAGGACAACAACCTCTCCCTCAACGTGACCAAGACAAAGGAGATGATTGTGGACTACAGGAAAAAAAAGAGGACTGAGCACGCCCCCATTCTCATCGACGGGGCTGTAGTGGAACAGGTTGAGAGCTTCAAGTTCCTTGGTGTCCACATCACCAACGAACTATTATGGTCCAAACACACCAAGACAGTCTTGAAGAGGGCACGACAAAGCCTATTCCCCCTCAGGAGACTGAAAAGATTTGGCATGGGTCTTCAGATCCTCAAAAAATTCTACAGCTGCACCATCGAGAGCATCCTGACTGGTTGCATCACCGCCTGGTATGGCAACTGCTTGGCCTCCGACTGCAAGGCACTACAGAGGGCAGTGCGTACAGCCCAGTACATCACTGGGGCCAAGCTTCCTGCCATCCAGGACCTCTATACCAGGCGGTGTCAGAGGAAGGCCCTCAAAATTGTCAAAGACTCCAGCCACCCTAGTCATAGACTGTTCTCTCTGCTACCGCACGGCAAGCGGTACCGGAGTGCCAAGTCTAGGTCCAAAAGACTTCTCAACAGCTTCTACCCCCAAGCCATAAGACTCCTGAACAGCTAATCATGGCTACCCGGACTATTTGCACTGCCCCCCCACCCAATCCTTTTTACGCTGCTGCTACTCTGTTAATTATTTATGCATAGTCACTTTAACTCTACCCACATGTACATATTACCTCAACTAGCCGGTGCCCCCGCACATTGACTCTGCAACGGTACCCCCCTGTATATATAGCCTCCCTACTGTTATTTAATTTTACTTTTTTTTCTCAACACTTTTTTTGTTGTTGCTTTTTTTGTTAAAAATAAATGCACTGTTGGTTAAGGGCTGTAAGTAAGCATTTCACTGTGATGTCTGCACCTGTTGTATTCGGCGCATGTGACCAATACAATTTGATTTGATTTGATTTTATGTCTGCTTCTGCTTTCTATCAGTTCGGCTGGTAGCCTAGCGCAGTGGTTCCTAACCAAGGGTACTAGGACCACTGGGGGTACTTGACCTATCCACAGGGGGTACTTGGGAAGACTCATGAGACCATAGGCCGACTGGTAAAATGCACATGAGGGGGTACTTCAGGGGTACTCTGGGCAGAGCAAAATTCAGTTGGTGGTATAGTAACCAAAAGAGGTTGGGAACCACAGGCCTAGCAGTTAAAAGTGTTGGGCCAGTAATCAAAATGTCACTGGTTCGAATCCCCGAGTCGGCAAGGTGGAAAAATCTGACGTCCTGCCCTTGAGCAAGGCAGTTAACCCGCAACAACAACTGCTCCCCGTGCGCCGATGACGTCGATTAAGGCAGCACCCCGCACCTCTCTGGGTTAAATGCGGGAGACACATTTCAGTTGAATGCATTCAGTTGTAGTCTGAGATATGTATCAAACGTCTCAGTAGGAGAGCCGATCCCAGATCAGGTCCCCCCATCCACGTGATCTTATTGTGATCCTAAAGGAAAAACTGATCCTGAAACAGCACTCCTACTCCGAGATGCTTGGTTACTACGGCCCCAGATGAGTGTAAATGAAATAGGACAACAGCACCCTCACCTGGTCTCCTCTCCAGTATGCTTGTCAACGCAGTAGACCAGTTCGTTGTGCAGGGCGATGAGGTAGCTGACCAGCGCCGTGGAACACAGGCCGGGACCCTGTCGCCGTGGCAACAGAACCAAGAAGTCACTGGTCAGGTCCAGGTCCTCTTGGCAGAACTCGCCAGGGATTTTAATCTCACCTGGAGCAGAGCCAAAACACACAGATTATAATCCAGGCTCTGTCATAGCCGGCCGCGACCGGGAGACCCATGGGGCGGCGCACAATTGGCCCAGTGTCGTCCAGGGTAGGGGAGGGAATGGCCGGCAGGGATGTAGCTCAGTTGGTAGAGCATGGCGTTTGCAACGCCAGGGTTGTGGGTTTGATTCCCACGGGGGGCCAGTATGAAAAATAAAAAATTATGTATGCACTCACTAACTGTAAGTCGCTCTGGATAAGAGCGTCTGCTAAATGACTAAAATGTAAAATGTAAATAATCACAAAATTGCAGATTAAGAAATCATGCATGAATGCCCCTCCAAAGAGCATATTTTAAAATATTGTATATATTTACTGAATATTATTTCTTTATTAACAGAGCCCTAGACTTGTGCTGTGTTTATCTTTGCTCATACCGTTGGTTGCCAGGGAGACCCGAAGCTGATTCCACGTTGTCAGGAATATTTTGATCCGTTTCTCGTACCAGGCCGAGAGGGAGGCTGTGAGAACAATCATAATAATCAATCTATAAGCCTATATTGTTAACAAACTTGAATACTCTTTTGATACTAGCGTTCTGGCCTGAACTGTAGAGCTGACTCTTAGATTTTATTTTCCAGCCTCTATGGTGGAGGCATAACTGGCTACTACACACTACACTAAACTACAGCTAAGCTCGGCTGGCCTCAATAGTGAAATAAATGATATATCTGCTCGCTGTATGATGCCAATAATACAAACAATACCACTGATGGTTTTCAGTTGGACATACAGTACTGTGACTAACCCAGAAGTATAGTTTAAACTAGTACCTGCTTTCTGGCTGTGAAGGAACTCCGCGATGGTTCCGCAGTTGAGGTCGGTCACGTTCTGGAACCTCTTCACCAGATCTCTCTGCAGTGCCAGGATGTCAGGAAGGAACTTCACCAACCGCAGCTCTGCCTCCTGTCACAAGACCAATCACAGGCGGGTGATGTTACGGTCGTATATTACGGCAACCAATCACAGGGTATGGTAAAACAAACTGCCAATCACACTGCATTGAATGAAGGTCTGACCAACATTATGACTGTAAATGAGACTGTAAACACGTTTATGGTCTTGGAGTGTTTAGCCACTGAATACATACAGTGCATTCGGAAAGTATTCAGACCACGTCCCTTTTTCCACATTTTTTTTACATTACAGCCTTATTCTAAAATGGATTAACTAAAACATTTTTGTCATCAATCTACACACAATACCCCATAATGACAAAGCGAAAACAGATTTTTAGAAATGTTTGCAAATGTATTAAAAATAAATTCAACTGATTTTACATGATTTGGAAAGGCACACACCTGTCTACAGTGGGGGAAAAAAGTATTTAGTCAGCCACCAATTGTGCAAGTTCTCCCATTTAAAAAGATGAGAGGCCTGTAATTTTCATCATAGGTACACGTCAACTATGACAGACAAATTGAGATTTTTTTTCTCCAGAAAATCACATTGTAGGATTTTTATTTATTAGGAATTTATTTGCAAATTATGGTGGAAAATAAGTATTTGGTCACCTACAAACAAGCAAGAGTTCTGGCTCTCACAGACCTGTAACAACTTCTTTAAGAGGCTCCTCTGTCCTCCACTTGTTACCTGTATTAATGGCACCTGTTTGAACTTGTTATCAGTATAAAAGACACCTGTCCACAACCTCAAACAGTCACACTCCAAACTCCACTATGGCCATGACCAAAGAGCTGTCAAAGGACACCAGAAACAAAATTGTAGACCTGCACCAGGCTGGGAAGACTGAATCTGCAATAGGTAAGCAGCTTAGTTTGAAGAAATCAACTGTGGGAGCAAATATTAGGAAATGGAAGACATACAAGACCACTGATAATCTCCCTTGATCTGGGGCTCCACGCAAGATCTCACCCCATGGGGTCAAAATGATCACAAGAACGGTGAGCAAAAATCCCAGAACCACACGGGGGGGACCTAGTGAATGACCTGCAGAGAGCTGGGACCAAAGTAACAAAGCCTACCATCAGTAACACACTACGCCGCCAGGGACTCAAATCCTGCAGTGCCAGACGTGTCCCCCTGCTTAAGCCAGTACATGTCCAGGCCCGTCTGAAGTTTGCTAGAGTGCATTTGGATGATCCAGAAGAGGATTGGGAGAATGTCATATGGTCAGATGAAACCAAAATAGAACTTTTTGGTAAAAACTCCACTCGTCGTGTTTGGAGGACAAAGAATGCTGAGTTGCATCCAAAGAACACCATACCTACTGTGAAGCATGGGGGTGGAAACATCATGCTTTGGGGCTGTTTTTCTGCAAAGGGACCAGGACGACTGATCCGTGTAAAGGAAAGAATGAATGGGGCCATGTATCGTGAGATTTTGAGTGAAAACCTCCTTCCATCAGCAAGGGCATTGAAGATGAAACGTGGCTGGGTCTTTCAGCATGACAATGATCCCAAACACACCGCCCGGGCAACGAAGGAGTGGCTTCGTAAGAAGCATTTCAAGGTCCTGGAGTGGCCTAGCCAGTCTCCAGATCTCAACCCCATAGAAAATCTTTGGAGGGAGTTGAAAGTCCGTGTTGCCCAGCGACAGCCCCAAAACATCACTGCTCTAGAGGAGATCTGCATGGAGGAATGGGCCAAAATACCAGCAACAGTGTGTGAAAACCTTGTGAAGACTTACAGAAAACGTTTGACCTGTGTCATTGCCAACAAAGGGTATATAACAAAGTATTGAGAAACTTTTTTTATTGACCAAATACTTATTTTCCACCATAATTTGCAAATAAATGCATTAAAAAATCCTACAATGTGATTTTCTGGATTTTTTTCCCTCATTTTGTCTGTCATAGTTGACGTGTACCTATGATGAAAATTACAGGCCTCTCTCATCTTTTTAAGTGGGAGAACTTGCACAATTGGTGGCTGACTAAATACTTTTTTCCCCCACTGTATATAAAAGGTCCCACAGTTGACAGTGCATGTCAGAGCAAAAACCAAGCCATGAGGTCGAAGGAATTGTCCATAGAACTCCGAAACAGGATTGTGTCGAAGCACAGATCTGGGGAAGGGTACCAACACATTTCTGCAGCATTGAAGGTCCCCGAGAACACAGTGGCCTCCATCATTCTTAAATGGAAGAAGTTTGGAACCACCAAGACTCTTCCTAGAGCTGGCCGCCCGGCCAAACCGATCAATCGGGGGAGAAGGGCCTTGGTCAGGGAGGTGACCAAGAACCCAATGGTCACTCTGAATGAGCTCCAGAGTTCCTCTGTGGAGATGGGAGAACCTTCCAGAAGGACAACCATCTCGGCAGCACTCCACCAATCAGGCCTTATTGGTAAAGTGGCCAGACTGAAGCCACTCCTCAGTATAAGGCACATGACAGCCCGCTTGGAATTTGCCAAAAGGCCTCTCAGACCATGAGAAACAAGATGTTTTGGTCTGATGAAACCAAGATTTAACTATTTGGCCTGAATGCCAAGCGTCAAGTCTAGAGGAAACCTAGCACCATCCCTAGGGTGAAGCATGGTGGTGGCAGCATCTGTGGAGATATTTTTCAGCGGCAGGGAAAGATGAACGGAGCAAAGTACAGAGAGATCCTTGATGAAAACCTGCTCCAGAGCGCTCAGGACCTCAGACTGGGGCGAAGGTTCACCTTCCAACAGGACAACGACCTTAAGCACACTGCCAAGACAAAGCAGGAGTGGGTTCTGGACAAGTCTCAATGTCCTTGAGTGGTCCAGCCAAAGCCCGGACTTGAACCCAATCAGACATCTCTGGAGAGACCTGAAAAAAGCTGTGCAGGGATGCTCCCCATCCAACCTGACAGAGCTTGAGAGGATCTGCAGAGAAGAATGGGAGACACTCCCCAAATACAGGTGTGCTAAACTTGTAGCGTCATAACCAAGAAGACTTGAGGCTGTAATCGCTGCCAAAGGTGCTTCAACAAAGTACTGAGTAAAGGGTCGGAATACGTATGTAAATGTGATATTTCCATTTGTGTTATCTTTAGGTGTAAAGACACTGTGTTGAGACAGGTGAAGTATGGAAGCTGAGGTGACAGACAATAATATTCCTTTCTCTTGAAGTGTGCACTTTTTTTTTGTTGCAAAAAATATATATTTTTTAAACGTTTTCGCTTTGTCATTATGGGTTATTGTGTGTAGATTGATGAGGGATTTTTTTTGTCATCCATTTTAGAATAAGGCTGTAACGTAACAAAATGTGGAAAAAGTCAAGGGGTCTGAATACTTTCCGAATGCACTGTACATTATACTGAATGTTTTGGTTGTTTCAGATTATTTTGTGCTAATAAAAATGAATGGTAAATAATGTAGTGTCATTTTGGAGTCACTTTTATTGTAAATAAGAATATTATATGCTTCTAAACATTTCTACATTAATGTGGAGGCAACCATGATTACCGAAACAAGGAGGGAATACATGAACCTATCCAATAAGACCCAGGTTTCCGTTCAGCGGTGCCTCAGCTCTTACCCTCTGTAGGAACCGCCAGAGCATGGGCAGGGTGTCCTTGCCGTCGTGCTGCTCCACAATGTGGGTGAGGCTGAGCAAAGACACCCGCTCCCTGCAGCTCCACACGGCTGAGCTGTGGATCAGAGACCCCCGGGGCAGAGAGGTCAGGAAGAGGCGCGGGTCCCCGAACACCAGCCTCATCACGGGGTTGGAGGAGACCCGCGAGTCGGCCCGGACGAAGGCGTTCACCTCCTTCAGCCGCCTGTCCAGGTGCTGGAGATGGGATGGGACGGGAGGGGAGAGAAAGAGAGAGAGAGGGGGAAGAGAGGGTCTCATTTAGATATCAAGGGTTCTCTGTTATTCAGGGCAGTGTTCATTAGACACTAAACAGAATACAACAGATTCAAACAGAGAGGGACTACCTAGACTTGTCCAATAAGAAATGCAAACAGTTTTAAAAGTGTTCCGTTGCGTGCTCTAATGAACGACGGTTATAGATGGACCAATGAAAGAAAACAAATGTCGTTGAAGATGCTAAAGAAATTCCTTCATCTAGAGATGGCAAACTGAGTAAAATGGGGACTTTGTGATGTCAATAGTTGGTACCTTCAGCTGAGGGGTGATGATGTCATTGCTGACGGTGGTCTCCCAGCCGTTTCGAGCCTCCTTGGTGGAGAGCAGGTTGTCATAGGGAACAGGCCCTGGAGAGAGAAGCAGAGTAGAGTGAGGGAAACTTTCAGCATCTGACATCAATTACAGACAATGATTCAAAAATAATAATAGTACATTTTTATACATTCTTTCACTTTAAACTACCTTCACCTTAAAGCACATTCTAAGACCTTTTACTTGTTTTTAGTGATTGTAAACCTATTGAGGACATCAAGGTGTTTCTGGTCCCTTACACTGGCCAGGCTGGTGGGGCTCCAGAAGGCTGCTGATGACCAGGTGGACGGTGTTGACCGTGTCGTCTGACCCCTTCCCCAGAGACCTGGTCACCTGCTCCATGTCCTTCAACAGGTGGTCCCACAGGAATGTACCGGGGTCGGGCACTGGAGGCTTGATGATGGCACCGATGACCTACAGAGAGAAAGAGGGGGGAGGGTAGAGAGAGCCGGAGAGAGACAGAGAGAGAGGGGGGAGGGTAGAGAGAGCCGGAGAGAGACAGAGAGAGAGAGGGGGGAGGGTAGAGAGAGAGAGAGAGAGAGAGAGAGAGAGAGAGAGAGAGGAGAGGGTAGAGAGAGCCAGAGAGAGAGAGAGAGAGAGAGAGCCAGAGAGAGAGAGAGAGCCAGAGAGAGAGAGAGCCAGAGAGAGAGAGATGAAGAGACTCCGTTGAGGCAAGTGTCCTTCAAGAGATGTACAGTGAGGGAAAAAAGTATTTGATCCCCTGCTGATTTTGTATGTTTGCCCACTGACAAAGACATGATCAGTCTATAATTTTAATGGTAGGTTTATTTGAACAGTGAGAGACAGAATAACAACAAAAAAATCCTGAAAAACGCATGTCAAAAATGTTATAAATTGATTTGCATTTTAATGAGGGAAATAATTATTTGACCCCTCTGCAAAACATGACTTAGTACTTGGTGGCAAAACCCTTGTTGGCAATCAGAGAGGTCAGACGTTTCTTGTAGTTGGCCACCAGGTTTGCACACATCTCAGGAGGAATTTTGTCCCACTCCTCTTTGCAGATCTTCTCCAAGTCATTAAGGTTTCGAGCCTGACGTTTGGCAACTCAAACCTTCAGCTCCCTCCACAGATTTTCTATGGGATTAAGGTCTGGAGACTGGCTAGGCCACTCCAGGACCTTAATGTGCTTCTTCTTGAGCCACTCCTTTGTTGCCTTGGCCGTGTGTTTTGGGTCATTGTCATGCTGGAATACCCATCCACGACCCATTTTCAATGCCCTGGCTGAGGGAAGGAGGTTCTCACTCAAGATTTGACGGTACATGGCGCCGTCCATCGTCCCTTTGATGTGGTGACGTTGTCCTGTCCCCTTAGCAGAAAAACACCCCCAAAGCATAATGTTTTCACCTCCATGTTTGACGGTGGGGATGGTGTTCTTGGGGTCATAGGCAGCATTCCTCCTCCTCCAAACACGGCGAGTTGAGTTGATGCCAAAGAGCTCGATTTTGGTCTCATCTGACCACAACACTTTCACCCAGTTCTCCTCTGAATCATTCAGATGTTCATTGGCAAACTTCAGACGGGCCTGTATATGTGCTTTCTTGAGCAGGGGGACCTTGCGGGCACAGCAGGATTTCAGTCCTTCACGGCGTAGTGTGTTACCAATTGTTTTCTTGGTGACTATGGTCCCAGCTGCCTTGAGATCATTGACAAGATCCTCCCGTGTAGTTCTGGATGATTCCTCACCGTTCTCATGATCATTGCAACTCCACGAGGTGAGATCTTGCATGGAGCCCCAGGCCGAGGGAGATTGACAGGTCTTTTGTGTTTCTTTCATTTGCGAATAATCGCAACAACTGTTGTCACCTTCTCACCAAGCTGCTTGGCGATGGTCTTGTAGCCCATTCCAGCCTTGTGTAGGTCTACAATATTGTCCCCTGACATCCTTGGAGAGCTCTTTGGTCTTGGCCATGGTGGAGAGTTTTGAATCTGATTAATTGATTGCTTCTGTGGACAGGTGTCTTTTATACAGGTAACAAACTGAGATTAGGAGCACTCCCTTTAAGAGTGTGCTCCTAATCTCAACTCGTTAGCTGTATAAAAGACACCTGGGAGCCAGAAATCTTTCTGATTGAGAGGGGGTCAAATACTTATTTCCCTCATTAAAATGCAAATCAATTTATAAAAAATTTTGACATGCGTTTTTCTGGATTTTTTTGTTGTTATTCTATCTCTCACTGTTCAAATTAACCTACCATTAAAATTATAGACTGATCATGTCTTTGTCAGTGGGCAAACGTACAAAATCAGCAGCGGATCAAATACTTTTTTCCCTCACTGTAACTGTCAGCACTGGACAACAGCCAAACCAATAACCACATCCATCCATCTACAACAGTTACCTCTAGTACAGTGGTTTTAAAACCTCCCCAGACATTTCACAATTTAGTTGAACTAACACTAATTCACCTTATCAAATGCTTGATGATTAGTTGATAAGTTGAATTAGGTGTGTTAGCTCTGGAATAGTTACCAATGGAACGGCTTTGTGTCCCCGATGAGAGTTTTGAAAATCTGTTCTAGTGTACCTACCTGGGGGTGACTGCTGGCCCCTAGCAGCATGGCCATGTGTGTGATCAGGCGCAGAAGGTTAAAGGGCACTGGGGACATGTTCTTGGTGTCCTGCATGTCCAGGTTGTCTCTCCGTCTGGGATCTCCCAGGATGTGGCCAGTCTGGGTGCGGTCACCCCTGTGAAGAGGGGGAAAAACATTTTCCAGTACTGTCACGATACCAGACCTGGGTTCAAATAGTATGAGCCTGCTTGGATTGGATGGCCAGATGGGTGGGGTTTGTACTTTTGGGGGCTATTCCATTGGTTCCATTGTGCCAGGTCAGCTCAATCAAGCACAGCTAAACAATTTGAAATAAAATAAAATACTGTTTGAACCCAAGTCTGCACAGTGCAGCACCTGCTCAAGCCATTATCAACTGTCTTTTATAAATTCCATAAAAGTCCCACTCACTGGATCTGAAAGGCTTGGAAGCCAGGGACAGCTTTGTGGTTGTCCCCTCCGATCTCAAGGCCACAATCCAGGCATCGACTCCTCTCCATGGGCTGGCCACACTGTGGTAAGAGGGGTCAGACAGAGGGGTAGGAGAGAGAGAGATTCTGAGAAACCGTACTTAAACTGAAAGTTAGGGCCAAAGATAAGATCATTCAGAATGAACTAAAAACTAAAATGTTATGTACCTCACCGATGGTGCACGGGTGATTGTTGGGACAAACTGTGTAAGAGCAGAAGAAAAGCTTGACGACTTCACATTTTAGACAATTAAATCTGCTAAATCTGTCTGTTACTATACTTACAGTACCACTGCAGCTGCCCCATAGCTTTGTGAGCCACTGCTAGCATGTCCTCTGGCATGGTGGGGAGGAAGGCTCTCTATAGACACACAGGAACAAACAGCAACGTTAGCTGGCCTATACATGACAAACAGAATGGACCACCCTGGAGAATTTAAATAATTAATCAACCAACCCTTTTCAGACTATAGGGCAAAGCCAAACCATGCTGTGATGGCATTGATATTTATTTTCACAGGTTACCTTTTCAACACGATTCTATCAAATTTTGAATGAATATCAGGCCAGCCCAGTACAGCTTGGCTCGGCTCTGTAGTGTGAAAGGGGTTTAGCCTGGATTCCTTCCAGACCAGGGGTGTCAAACTAAATTCCTGGAGGACCGTGTGTATGCTGGTTTTTGTTATTTCCTTTCTATTCGTGTCAAATGAATACCTAGGCAACCAGATGAGGGGAGTTCTTAACTAGTCCTAACCCTATGGGCCATGGTCAAAACTAAAGTAGTGCACTACATAGGGAACAGTGTGCCATTTGGCACGCAGTCACAGTGTTCCCACCTGCATGTTGGCAGGCAGCAGGGCCAGCTGCTGGAGGGGCGTCAGTAGACCCTGGTTCCCACAGAGCAGCACTGCAGCCAGGTGGACGCTCAGCTCCACCACCACACACTGGGCCCCAGAGGCCCCGGGACGGACCTCCAGGGGCCCCAGCCGGTTGGCCACCAGGGCCTGGGCGAAGGCCCTCACCTCTGGGCTGACCAGCACCCTGGAGGCCTGGATGAATGCCAACAGGCCCTGGCATTGCTGGGGGAGTAAAATATATTTGGTTAAACAGAGAGATGTAGAGAAACAAGTCTTATATGGGAAGTGAGGAGACAGTTGATACACAGTGTTATCTTTAGGTGTAAAGACACTGTGTTGAGACAGGTGAAGTATGGAAGCTGAGGTGACAGACAATAATATTCCTTTCTCTTGAAGTGTGCACTCGTTCAATACTTCCTGCAAATCTAAAAGCATTTGATTGGTGGAGGCATGGGCTAGTAGGATATTCCACCATATGTCTTATATCAGTCATTTCTTTTCAAATCAGTGAAGGGAAGGAAGGAGAGATCATTTACACTTTGGGAGGAAGGAGAGATAATTGGGACTACGTCACAGTATTTTGTTTTCGTATAAGGACTCTTACCACAGGTTTAGGATGGAAGCTGTCATTGGCTGATCTGTAGAGAGAGGTGACTTCTCTGAACAGGGCCAGGAGCAGGTAGACCGCCTTCTTCTGTGGCGGACATTTACAGCCCTGCACACACACACACACATCCAATGCAGCTGTTTTTCTCTCAATATCTAATCATTTCTTGGTAGCAATTAAGTACCTTACTGTGATTGTTTTCAATTAAAATGGTCAAAAAGAAACAACAATAGCTTCTTAACAAAGAGCAATTTCTCAAGCAAGAATTTTGCTAGGACTGTCTGGGAGTGGGGAGGGGAAAACTGAAAACTTGCTGTTATTGGCAGAGGTTTGGAACTTTTTCTTATTGGTCTATTAACTCATTTACTGCATGGTGATGTCACCATGGAAGTCCAAAACTTGATCCCACCAAAACAGGCTGAAATTTTGGGCAGTCTTTTCAAACAGCTCTCACACTAACAGGGCATTATCATCATTTTCACAATATTTTTCCAACCTCAGTGTGGAAATATACATAAAAACACAGGAAAATCACATTTTTGACAGCACTGGGCCTTTAACAGTTTAAACATAATATCTGATAGAAAGAACAAAAATTAACAAGCAAAATCAAATCACAAGCTTATGCAAAATGCTCTGCAGGTGTTTCAATTATGGAGTAAAGTAGAAATACACCAATACCTCACAAGCCTTGTCCAATCCCTCGATTTTGCCTTCCATCATTGCCTTGGCAACAGCATCTCGGATCGTCTTGTAATCCTCTCCACACACAAGATATTGGTCTATCTGGCTGCCATCTTCATTCTGAAGGACATTAGAAGAGCGCAAGAGTGGTTAAAAGGGTATGAAATATATTTTATATCATCACATGAATACAGGACTACTTAGTAAAAAATGTTTTTGCTACATACTCCAAAGATGCTAGCCATGAAATTCTAGATATTAAATACACATCTAACAAACTTTAAAACATTTTGGAATAAATAAGAACACCCTAAACTAAAAGGTTGACTATCCCTGTACCACTTCTAGCTTGGTATTGACATATTATTGCACCCTACATTACTCTCCTATAAAGAAAGACAAATGGCCACCATTACATGCTGCAGAACTTCAGCAGGGAACAACCACCGGACGTCAGCCACCTTCAGGAGTTTCTGAACAAACTCCACACCGCGCTGGCTGCAGATCTTACGGATGAGGTAAACCCGATACCAGTCATTTCCGCTGCGTCTACACAGGTCCACCACGCTGGTCAGGAAGGCTGCAACGCCGTTAGGAGACTCCTCCTGTGATCCTATTGGACCATAATGGGAGAGGGAAGCGTCACATGAACACATACGATTGATCGAGAGGGGGACGAGGATAATTAGGCAAACGTATAGAAAAAATACAAAATATATACAGTATATGGTTTATTGTCACATACACCAGGTAGGTGAAGTTAAATGTGTTGTTTTACAGGGTCATCCATAGCAGTACGGCATCCTTGTAGCAAATTAGGGTTAAGTACCTTGCTCAAGAGCACAGACAGATTTTCCACCTTGTCGGCTCGGGTATTCAAACCAGCGACCTTTCGGTTACCCAACAATTTAACCGCTAGGCTACCTGCCACCCTACAGTATTAAATAAATACATTAAAATAATTGAATAGTCTATCAAATCAATTATATAAATTGTACGACAGTTGGCCTACATCAGCAAGTATCATTTTGAAACATAAGGGTCGTGTTCAACAGGAACAAAATGGAAGAAAAAACGTGAGTGATACTGGGAGACTACTTGAAATGTTCCAATAAGAAACCTTTTTTTTTGTTTTTTTGCTAGGTTGTACCCTACTGAAAAGGATCGAGGATGATGTACATACCTGTGGCAGCAGCAGCAGACAGCATGTGGACCAGCAGGTCTGCAGCCCTGTCCAGCCCCATGCGCACCCTTGCCACCTGCTGCAGGTACTCTACGGTGGCTGCGTGGCCAGCGTCCAACTGCAGGAAGTCCCCCAGGAAGACACTCTCGTCCTGCAGGCAGGCCTGCTGCTCCGCCGCCGTGTGACACTGCATCCGCTCAAACATGGAGTCCTGGGATGGAGAAGAGGGTGTGATGATGATGTCACTAAAAAATGCCACATGTAGAATGTGTCACATGTAGAAGCTAGGTGAACACTTAGCCTCAATATAAACAACTCTCCCTCCTCCCCCACATCCAATTTCCCCGCAACACGGTGAAGAGGTTAGTGCTATCTGACGTCCCAAGGATGCTGGATAGCAAAGACTATTTTACTTTTAGTTTCGTCCATCAACATCAAAACAGCCGTAAAAACAATATTTTTTGTAATTTAAAACATATTTCACGGTGATTTAGATGGTACAATGATTCCCTACACTATTCAGTGCTTGTTTTCTCACATAAACTGAAATTGAGTGTGGAATTTTAGCAACCAGGAAATGACAGAGCGATTTCTACATCAGCCTCTTGCCCCAGTCTGCCATTGTTTGCTGTGCTCGAGAAAGAGATGACCACGCCTTTTAGTGACGTCAGTGTAAGAGGATGCAGTTTTCCCATCTGGCTTGTTTTGTCAAATAGAAAGTCTGCATTTTAGAATGCGATTTTGTATTTTCTGAAATTACAATGCAAAAACTCTACATGTAGCTCCTTGAAACAGCGTTATTCACTGAAATGGCACTATTCACTGAAATGGCACTATTCACTGAAATAGCACGCGTCACTGAAAATAGCATATGTAGCCATTGACGTCACTAAATCCACAGCAGTAAAGAATGAGTTTAAAGCAAGCTACTATGTTTTAATTTTAAGGCTAGGATTTTGCATTAAATCCAAACAGTCAAGTCAATGTACTTAGCCGATATCTCTTCAAACCAACAATTACTGCTGCATAACTCTTTACATACACCAACCACATAAATGCTACTGTTGATTCAATGGACCATATGTACACCTACCTCGAGACAGTTGATTCAATGACCCATATGTACACCTACCTCGAGACAGTTGATTCAATGGGCCATCTGTACACCTACCTCCAGACAGTTGATATACAGAGAATACAGTTCGGTCTTGTCTGATTCCTCCAAGATGTTGCTCTGTTCAACTGCCGTCAGATGCTGCTGCAGGTACCCTTTGACGTCATCAAAGCTTCAAAACAAACATGAATTTAATAAAACAGTGAGGGGCATTTGAAAAATCGTAATCTACTTAAAATCGTGAATTAAAGAGTAGTCTAGCAGTACTAGTCACATAATCACCTGTATTTGAGCAGGAGTTTGAGTACAACCGACCGAACAACTGGGTTTTTGTCAACAGAGTCATCAAAGGGAGAGAGGGCCTTGGTCAGAATCTGACGATGACCTGGCAAAGAGGAAAAGGATTGTGAGGACAACCACACACACACCACAAGAAATACAAACACACAGCGGCACACACACAGCCCACACCCCCATCGCCACCCACTCCCACTCACCACCTCTGATGATGGGCACAGAGTGGACCATGAGGAAGGACAGCAGGTGGAGGATGATGGCCCTGCAGGGGGGAGAGTTGTCCTTGAAGCACACGGTTGAGACCAGGTCTATGAAGAAGGCGTTGCACTGCTTCCTGAAGCGGGCGTTCTGGTTGATGAGAACCCTGTACAATAACATGATTGACACAACCGTGACTAACAATGCAATGAAACCACACATACTGTATGTCACTAATGAAATTCCGGTACAGTATGAAAGCAGTTAACTGGTGAGCCTAAAAAGCATACACAAGAACAGTATTGCGTAATTAATGAATTGCAGTGAAATGAATGAATGAATTGAAACTTAAAATCAACAATAAACATTAAAATAGGATTCAATCACAATAAAGTCAGAGTTACTTCCATAAGGTTATCATCTCCAGATAACAAACAGACCCATCAGTATGTCTAACAACCTTAGTCATGTACTAATCAACGAGGGTCCGCCCTCACCGTATGTCTTCAGAGGGCCTGAGGGCAAAGTCGTCTGGCACCGCCTGCATGCAGAGAGGACAGTACATCTGACCTGGGACCAGCCACTGTCTGATACAGGCCAGGCAGTAGATGTGGTCACACGGCAAGCTCAGGGGGTCGTGGGGGTCGCCCATACACACAGGGCACGGCTGGAGGCCAAACCTGGACACGGACAGGATAGCAGTATGCAAGTTAAGCATACAGCATGAAGGGTAATGAGTTTCATATACAGTGAGGGAAAAAAGTATTTGATCCCCTGCTGATTTTGTACGTTTGCCCACTGACAAAGAAATGATCAGTCTATAATTTTTATGGTAGGTTTATTTGAACAGTGAGAGACAGAACAACAACAAAAAAATCTAGAAAAAAGCATGTCAAAAATATTATAAATTGATTTTCATTTTAATGAGGGAAATAAGTATTTGACCCCCTCTCAATCAGAATGATTTCTGGCTCCCAGGTGTCTTTTATACAGGTAATGAGCTGAGATTAGGAGCACACTCTTAAAGGGAGTGCTCCTAATCTCAGCTTGTTACCTGTATAAAAGACACCTGTCCACAGAAGCAATCAATCAATCACATTCCAAACTCTCCACCATGGCCAATACCAAAGAGCTCTCCAAGGATGTCAGGGACAAGATTGTAGACCTACACAAGGCTGGAATGGGCTACAAGACCGTTGCGATTATTCGCAAATGGAAGAAACACAAAAGAACTGTCAATCTCCCTCGGCCTGGGGCTCCATGCAAGATCTCACCTCGTGGAGTTGCAATGATCATGAGAACGGTGAGGAATCAGCCCAGAACTACACGGGAGGATCTTGTCAATGATCTCAAGGCAGCTGTGACCATAGTCACCAATAATTGGTAACACACTACGGCGTGAAGGACTGAAATCCTGCAGCGCCCGCAAGGTCCCCCTGCTCAAATAAGCACATATACATGCCCGTCTGAAGTTTGCCAATGAACATCTGAATGATTCAGAGGAGAACTGGGTGAAAGTGTTGTGGTCAGATTAGACCAAAATGGAGCTCTTTGGCATCAACTCAACTCGCCGTGTTTGGAGGAGGAATGCTGCCTATGACCCCAAGAACACCATCCCCACCGTCAAACATGGGAGGTGGAAACATTATGCTAAGGGGGTGTTTTTCTGCTAAGGGGACAGGACAACTTCACCGCATCAAGGGGACGATGGACGGCGCCATGTACCGTCAAATCTTGGGTGAGAACCTCCTTCATCAGCCAGGGCATTGAAAATGGGTCGTGGATGGGTATTCCAGCATGACAATGACCCAAAACACACGGCCAAGGCAACAAAGGAGTGGCTCAAGAAGAAGCACATTAAGGTGGCCTAGCCAGTCTCCAGACCTTAATCCCATAGAAAATCTGTGGAGGGAGCTGAAGGTTCGAGTACCAAACGTCAGTCTCGAAACCTTAATGACTTGGAGAAGATCTGCAAAGAGGAGTGGGACAAAATCCCTCCTGAGATGTGTGCAAACCTGGTGGCTAACTACAACAAACGTCTGACCTCTGTGATTGCCAACAAGGGTTTTGCCATCAAGTACTAAGTAATGTTTTGCAGAGGGGTCAAATATTTATTTCCCTCATTAAAATGCAAATCAATTCATAAAATTTTTGACATGCGTTTTTCTGGATTTTGATGTTGTCATTCTGTCTCTCACTGTTCAAATAAACCTACCATTAAAATGATAGACTGATAATTTCTTTGTCAGTGGGCAAACGTACAAAATCAGCAGGGGATCAAATACTTTTTTCCCCTCACTGTGTATATATATATATATATATACAGTGGGGGGAAAAAAGTATTTAGTCAGCCACCAATTGTGCAAGTTCTCCCACTTAAAAAGATGAGAGGCCTGTAATTTTCATCATAGGTACACGTCAACTATGACAGACAAAATGAGAAAAATAAATCCAGAAAATCACATTGTAGGATTTTTAATGAATTTATTTGCAAATTATGGTGGAAAATAAGTATTTGGTCAATAACAAAAGTTTCTCAATACTTTGTTATATACCCTTTGTTGGCAATGACACAGGTCAAACGTTTTCTGTAAGTCTTCACAAGGTTTTCACACACTGTTGCTGGTATTTTGGCCCATTCCTATTTTGGCCACTCCAGGACCTTGAAATGCTTCTTACGAAGCCACTCCTTCGTTGCCCGGGCGGTGTGTTTGGGATCATTGTCATGCTGAAAGACCCAGCCACGTTTCATCTTCAATGCCCTTGCTGATGGAAGGAGGTTTTCACTCAAAATCTCACGATACATGGCCCCATTCATTCTTTCCTTTACACGGATCAGTCGTCCTGGTCCCTTTGCAGAAAAACAGCCTCAAAGCATGATGTTTCCACCCCCATGCTTCACAGTAGGTATGGTGTTCTTTGGATGCAACTCAGCATTCTTTGAGTTGAGTTTTTACCAAAAAGTTATATTTTGGTTTCATCTGACCATATGACATTCTCCCAATCCTCTTCTGGATCATCCAAATGCACTCTAGCAAACTTCAGACGGGCCTGGACATGTACTGGCTTAAGCAGGGGGACACGTCTGGCACTGCAGGATTTGAGTCCCTGGCGGTGTAGTGTGTTACTGATGGTAGGCTTTGTTACTTTGGTCCCAGCTCTCTGCAGGTCATTCACTAGGTCCCCCTGTGTGGTTCTGGGATTTTTGCTCACCGTTCTTGTGATCATTTTGACCCCACGGGGTGAGATCTTGCGTGGAGCCCCAGATCGAGGGAGATTATCAGTGGTCTTGTATGTCTTCCATTTCCTAATAATTGCTCCCACAGTTGATTTCTTCAAACCAAGCTGCTTACCTATTGCAGATTCAGTCTTCCCAGCCTGGTGCAGGTCTACAATTTTGTTTCTGGTGTCCTTTGACAGCTCTTTGGTCTTGGCCATAGTGGAGTTTGGAGTGTGACTGTTTGAGGTTGTGGACAGGTGTCTTTTATACTGATAACAAGTTCAAACAGGTGCCATTAATACAGGTAACGAGTGGAGGACAGAGGAGCCTCTTAAAGAAGAAGTTACAGGTCTGTGAGAGCCAGAAATCTTGCTTGTTTGTAGGTGACCAAATACTTATTTTCTACCATAATTTGCAAATAAATTCATTAAAAATCCTACAATGTGATTTTCTGGATTTTTTTCCCTCAATTTGTCTGTCATAGTTGACGTGTACCTATGATGAGAATTACAGGCCTCTCTCATCTTTTTAAGTGGGAGAACTTGCACAATTGGTGGCTGACTAAATACATTTTTTCCCCACTGTGTGTGTGTGTGTGTGTGTGTGTGTGTGTGTGTGTGTGTGTGTGTGTGTGTGTGTGTGTGTGTGTGTGTGTGTGTGTGTGTGTGTGTGTATGTATATATATATATATATATATATACACACACACACACACACACACACACACACACACACACACACACACACACACAGCTCTGGAAAAAATTAAGAGACCACTGCACATTTTTCTTAAATCAGCTGTATGACAGCCATTCCATTCCAGTGTCTGTTGAATTCCAACACAGGCACACCTCATTCTACTGAATTAGGTGATCACCTGAACCAAATCTTATTTAACAAGGAAAAGTATAAAAACCACTGCTGTGGTCATCACTATCCTCTTGCAATAGGACCAGCTGGATGGCAAAAACAGTGCTAATAGCACCTCAAAAGTAATATTAAAATCAAAAAATAACTATTGACCATGCCAAAATAATTGAAAAGGAAAGTTTTGAGTGAGGAAAAGGGTTCAATTCTGGCTTTACTGGCAGAGGGATACAGTGAGCGTCAGGTTGCTTCCATCCTTAAAATTTCAAAGACGGCGGTTCATAAGAACAAGGTCAAGCAGCAGACATTGGAGACAACAAAGCTACAGACCGGCAGAGGGTGACCGCCAACTCATTCGAATGTCACTCAACAACCGTAGGATGACATCAAGTGACCTACAAAAAGAATGGCAAACGGCAGCTTGGATGAAGTGCACGGCGAGGACGGCTGGAAACAGGCTCCTAGGGGCAGGGCTGAAGTTGTGCAAAGCTAGAAAAAAGCCCTTCTTCAACGAGAAGCAAAGAAGAGCCAGGCTGAGGTTTGCAAAAGACCATAAGGATTGGACCGTAAAGGACTGGAGTAAGGTAATCTACTCTGATGAGTCCAATTTTCAGCTTCGCCCAACACCTGGTCGTCTAATGGTTAGACGGAGACCTGGAGAAGCCTACAAGCCACAGTGTCTCGCACCCACTGTGAAATTTGGTGGAGGATCGTGATGATCTGGGGGTCCTTCAGCAAGGCTGGAATCGGGCAGATTTGTCTTTGTGAAGGACGCATGAATCAAGCCACGTACAAGGTTGTCCTGGAAGAAAACTTGCTTCCTTTTGCTCTGACATTGTTCCCCAACTCTGAGGATTGGTTTTTCCAGCAGGACAATGCGCCATGCCACACAGCCAGGTCAATCAAGGTGTGGATGGAGGACCACCAGATCCTGTCATGGCCAGCCCAATCTCCAGACCTGAACCCCATTTAAAAACTTCTGGAATGTGATCAAGAGGAAGATGGATGGTCACAAGCCATCAAACAAAGCCGAGCTGCTTGAATTTTTGCGCCAGGAATGGCATAAAGTCACCCAACATCAATGTGAAAGATTGGTGGAGAGCATGCCAAGACGCATGAAAGCTGTGATTGAAAATCAGGGTTATTCCACCAAATATTGATTTCTGAACTCTTCCTAAGTTAAAACATTAGTATTGTGTTGTCTCAAAATGAACATGAACTTATTTTCTTTGCATTATTCGAGGTCTAACAACACTGCATCCTTTTTGTTATTTTGACCAGTTTTCATTTTCTGCAAATAAATGCTCTAAATGACAATATTTTTATTTGGAATTTGGGAGAAATGTTGTCAGTAGTTTATAGAATAAAACAAAACATTTAATTTTACCCAAACACATACCTATAAATAGTAAAACCAGAGAAACTTATATTTTTGCAGTGGTCTCTTAATTTTTTCCAGAGCTGTATGTATATACATACATACATACATACATACATACATACATACATACATACATACATACATACATACATACATACATACATACATACATACATACATACACAGTTGAAGTCGGAAGTTTACATCCACCTTAGCCAAATACATTTAAACTCAGTTTTTCACAATTCCTGACATTTAATCCTAGTAAAAATTCCCTGTCTTAGGTCAGTTAGGATCACCACTTTATTTTAAGAATGTGAAATGTCAGAATAATAGTAGAGAGTATGATTTAGTTCAGCTTTTATTTCTTTCATCACATTCCCAGTGGGTCAGAAGTTTACATACACTCAATTAGTATTTGGTAGCATTGCCTTTAAATTGTTTAACTTAGGTCAAACGTTTCGGGTAGCCTCCACAATAAGTTGGGTGAATTTTGGCCCATTCCTCCTGACAGAGCTGGTGTAACTGAGTCAGGTTTGTAGGACTCCTTGCTCGCACACGCTTTTTAAGTTCTGCCCACAAATTTTCTATAGGATTGAGGTCAGGGTTTTGGGATGGCCACTCCAATACCTTGACTTTGTTGTCCTTAAGCCATTTAGCCACAACTTTGGAAGTATACTTGGGGTCATTGTCCATTTGGAAGACCCATTTGCCACCAAGCTTTAACTTCCTGACTGATGTCTTGAGATGTTGCTTCAATATATCCACATAATTTTCCTTCCTCATGATGCCATCGATTTTGTGAAGTGCACCAGTCCCACCTGCAGCAATGCACCCCCACAGCATGATGCTGCCACCCCCGTGCTTCACGATTGGGAAGGTGTTCTTCGGCTTGCAAGCCCTCCCCTTTTTCCTCCAAACATAACGATGGTCATTATGGCCAAACAGTTCTATTTTTGTTTCATCAGACCAGAGGACATTTCTCCAAAAAGTACGATCTTTGTCCCCATGTGCAGTTGCAAACCGTAGTCTGGCTTTTTTATGGCGGTTTTGGAGCAGTGGTTTCTTCCTTGCTGAGCGGCCTTTCAGGTTATGTCGATATAGGACTCGTTTTATTGTGGATATAGATACTTTGTACCTGTTTCCTCCAGCATCTTCACAAGGTCCTTTGCTGTTGTCCTGGGATTGATTTGCACTTTTCGCACCAAAGTACATTCATCTCTAGGAGACAGAACGAGTCTCCTTTCTGAGCGGTATTACGGCTGCGTGGTCCCATGGTGTTTATACTTGCGTACTATTGTTTGTACAGATGAACGTGGTACCTTCAGGCGTTTGGAAATTGCTCCCAAGGATGAACCAGACTTGTGGAGGTCTACAAATCTTGGCTGATTTCTTTTGATTTTCCCATGATGTCAAGCAAAGAGGCACTGAGTTTGAAGGTAGGCCTTGAAATACATCCACAGGTACACCTTAATTTGACTCAAATGATGTCAATTAGCTTATCAGAAGCTAATAAAGCCATGACATCATTTTCTGGAATTTTCCAAGCTGTTTAAAGGCACAGTCAACTTAGTGTATGTAAACTTCTGAACCACTAGAATTGTGATACAGTCAATTAAAAATGAAATAATCCATCTGTAAACAATTGTTGGAAAAATTACTTGTGTCATGCACAAAGTAGATGTCCTAACCTAACTATAGTTTGTTAAATGTATAATGTCTCCTGAGTGGCGCAGTGGTCTAAGGCACTGCATCGCAGTGCTAACTGTGCCACACTAGAGATCCTGGTTCGAATCCAGGCTCTGTCGTAGCCGGCCGTGACCGGGAGACCCATGGGGCGGCGCGCAATTGGCCCAGCGTCGTCCAGGGTAGGGCAGGGAATGGCCGGCAGGGATGTAGCTCAGTTGATAGAGCATGGCGTTTGCAACGCCAGGGTTGTAGGTTCGATTCCCACAGGGGGTATGAAAAAAATTATAATAATGTAAGTCGCTCTGGATAAGAGCGTCTGCTAAATGACGTAAATGTTAACAAGAAATTTGTGGAGTGGTTGAAAAACAAGTTTTAATGACTCCAACCTAAGTAAATGTAAACGTCCGACTTCAACTGTATGTATATATATATATATATATATATATATATATACACACAGTGGGGAGAACAAGTATTTGATACACTGCCGATTTTGCAGGTTTTCCTACTTACAAAGCATGTAGAGGTCTGTAATTTTTATCATAGGTACACTTCAACTGTGAGAGACGGAATCTAAAACAAAAATCCAGAAAATCACATTGTATGATTTTTAAGTAATTAATTAAAATAATTTGCCACCAGGTTTGCACACATCTCAGGAGGGATTTTGTCCCACTCCTCTTTGCAGATCTTCTCCAAGTCATTAAGGTTTCGAGGCTGACATTTGGCAACTCAAACCTTCAGCTCCCTCCACATATTTCCTATGGGATTAAGGTCTGGAGACTGGCTAGGCCACTCCAGGACCTTAATGTGCTTCTTCTTGAGCCACTCCTTTGTTGCCTTGGCCGTGTGTTTTGGGTCATTGTCATGCTGGAATACCCATCCACGACCCATTTTCAATGCCCTGGCTGAGGGAAGGAGGTTCTCACCCAAGATTTGACGGTACATGGCCCCGTCCATCGTCCCTTTGATGCGGTGAAGTTGTCCTGTCCCCTTAGCAGAAAAACACCCCCAAAGCATAATGTTTCCACCTCCATGTTTGACGTTGGGGATAGTGTTCTTGGGGTCATAGGCAGCATTCCTCCTCCTCCAAACACGGCGAGTTGAGTTGATGCCAAAGAGCTCGATTTTGGTCTCATCTGACCACAACACTTTCACCCAGTTCTCCTCTGAATCATTCAGATGTTCATTGGCAAACTTCAGACAGGCCTGTATATGTGCTTTCTTGAGCAGGAGGACCTTGCGGGCGCTGCAGGATTTCAGTCCTTCACGGCGTAGTGTGTTACCAATTGTTTTCTTGGTGACTATGGTCCCAGCTGCCTTGAGATCATTGAAAAGATCCTCCCATGTAGTTCTGGGCTGATTCCTCACCGTTCTCATGATCATTGCAACTCCACGAGGTGAGATCTTGCATGGAGCTCCAGGCCGAGGGATAATCGCACCAACTGTTGTCACCTTCTCACCAAGCTATGGTCTTGTAGCCCATTCCAGCCTTGTGTAGGTCTACAATCTTGTCCCTGACATCCTTGGAGAGCTCTTTGGTCTTGGCCATGGTGGAGAGTTTGGAATCTGATTGATTGCTTCTGTGGACAGGTGTCTATTATACAGGTAACAAACTGAGATTAGGAGCACTCCTAATGTGTGCTCCTAATCTCAGCTCGTTACCTGTATAAAAGACACCTGGGAGCCAGAAATCGTTGTGATTGAGAGGGGGTCAAATACTTATTTCCCTCATTAAAATGCAAATCAATTTATAACATTTGACATGCGTTTTCTGGATTTTGTTGTTGTTATTCTGTCTCTCACTGTTCAAATAAACCTACCATTAAAATTATAGACTGATAATTTCTTTGTCAGTGGGCAAACGTACAAAATCAGCAGGGGATCAAATACTTTTTTCCCCTCACCACCCACCCACCCACCCACACCACCCACACACACACTATACTATAATATAATATATCCAGACAGAAATATACTCCAGGCAGAGGTAGGAGAAAGGAAAAGGAATCTGTACCTGAAAATGCACTCCATTGCTCCGTCTTTGCAGGCTTTCAGTATACCGATCACCGCCTCAAACGGCTTCTCACTTTTTAGGTCAGAGTTCTTCTCCAGGACCTTGACGGAACAAAGACAACAAATGCCATTTTGAAAGGAAAATAAAATGTACACTGAAAAAAAATATAAAACGCAACATGTAAAGTGTTGGTCCAATGTTTCATGAACGGAAATAAAAGATCCCAGAAATGTTCCAGACGCACTGTGTATGTCTCTCAAATTGTGTGCACACATTTGTTTACATCCCTGTTAGTGAGCATGTATCCTTTGCCAAGATAATCCATCCACCTGACAGGTGTGGCATATCAAGAAGCTGATTAAACAGCATGATCATTACACAGGTGCACCTTGTGCTGGGGACAATAAAAGGCCACTCTAAAATGTGCAGTTGTGTCACAACACAATGCCACAGATGTCAGAAGTTGAGGGAGCGTGCAATTGGCATGCTGACTGCAGGAATGTCCACCAGAGCTGTTGCCAGACAATTTAATGTTACATTTCTCTACCATAAGCTGCCTCCAACGTTGTTTTAGAGAATTTGGCAATACGTCCAACCAGCCTCAAAACGTCAGACCACGTGTATGGCATCGTGTGGGCGAGCGGTTTACTGATGTCAACGTTGTGAATAGAGTGCCCAATGGTGGCGGTGGGGTTATGAAATGGGCAGGCATAAGCTACGGACAACGAACAATTGCATTGTATCGATGGCAATTTGAATGTACAGAGATACCGTGACGAGATCCTGAGGCCCACTGTCGTGGCATTCATCCACCGCCATCACCTCATGTTTCAGCATGATAATGCACGGCTCCATGTCATAAGGATCTGTACACAATTCCTGGAAGCTGAAAATGTCCCAGTTCTTCCATGGCCTGCATACTCACCAGACATGTCACCCATTGAGCATGTTAGGGATGCTCTGGATCGACGTGTACGACAGCGTGTTCCAGTTCCGGCCAATATCCAGCAACTTCGCACAGCCATTGAAGAGTAGTGTGACAACATTCCACAGGCCACAATCAACAGCCTGATCAACTCTATATGAAGGAGATGTGTCGCGCTGCATGAGGCAAATGCTGGTCACACCAGATACTGACTGGTTTTCTGATCCACGCCCCTACCTATCTGTGACCAACAGATGCATATCTGTATTCCCAGTCTTGTGAAATCCATAGATTAGGGCCTAATTAATTTATTTCAATTGACTGATTTCTTTATATGAACTGTAACTCAATAAAATATTTGAAATTGTTGTGTTTATATTTTTGTTCAGTTTATTATTCTGATATTAGCCCCAGCAAATCAGAGGACTGGTGTGGTTACCGGTTACATTTCCTAAAATAGACCACTGGAGGGCACCATTGGCTCAGTACCGAATGACGCTTCTGCACTATTCAGTCCTTTCCATACCCTAAAAAGCAGTTTCCCCAGACACAGATAAAGCCCAATTTTTGATGGAGATTCTCCATTGACATCAGCACTCCTATAGATACAGTGGGGGAAAAAAGTATTTAGTCAGCCACCAATTGTGCAAGTTCTCCCACTTAAAAAGATGAGAGAGGCCTGTAATTTTCATCATAGGTACACGTCAACTATGACAGACAAATTGAGATTTTTTTTTCCAGAAAATCACATTGTAGGATTTGTAATGAATTTATTTGCAAATTATGGTGGAAAATAAGTATTTGGTCACCTACAAACAAGCAAGATTTCTGGCTCTCACAGACCTGTAGCTTCTTCTTTAAGAGGCTCCTCTGTCCTCCACTCGTTACCTGTATTAATGGCACCTGTTTGAACTTGTTATCAGTATAAAAGACACCTGTCCACAACCTCAAACAGTCACACTCCAAACTCCACTATGGCCAAGACCAAAGAGCTGTCAAAGGACACCAGAAACAAAATTGTAGACCTGCACCAGGCTGGGAAGACTGAATCTGCAATAGGTAAGCAGCTTGGTTTGAAGAAATCAACTGTGGGAGCAATTATTAGGAAATGGAAGACATACAAGACCACTGATAATCTCCCTCGATCTGGGGCTCCACGCAAGATCTCACCCCGTGGGGTCAAAATGATCACAAGAACGGTGAGCAAAAATCCCAGAAACAACACGGGGGGACCTAGTGAATGACCTGCAGAGAGCTGGGACCAAAGTAACAAAGCCTACCATCAGTAACACACTACGCCGCCAGGGACTCAAATCCTGCAGTGCAAGACGTGTCCCCCTGCTTAAGCCAGTACATGTCCAGGCCCGTCTGAAGTTTGCTAGAGTGCATTTGGATGATCCAGAAGAGGATTGGGAGAATGTCATATGGTCAGATGAAACCAAAATAGAACTTTCTGGTAAAAACTCAACTCGTCGTGTTTGGAGGACAAAGAATGCTGAGTTGCATCCAAAGAACACCATACCTACTGTGAAGCATGGGGGTGGAAACATCATGCTTTGGGGCTGTTTTTCTGCAAAGGGACCAGGACGACTGATCCGTGTAAAGGAAAGAATGAATGGGGCCATGTATCGTGAGATTTTGAGTGAAAACCTCCTTCCATCAGCAAGGGCATTGAAGATGAAACGTGGCTGGGTCTTTCAGCATGACAATGATCCCAAACACACCCCCCGGGCAACGAAGGAGTGGCTTCGTAAGAACCATTTCAAGGTCCTGGAGTGGCCTAGCCAGTCTCCAGATCTCAACCCCATAGAAAATCTTTGGAGGGAGTTGAAAGTCTGTGTTGCCCAGCGACAGCCCCAAAACATCACTGCTCTAGAGGAGACCTGCATGGAGGAATGGGCCAAAATACCAGCAACAGTGTGTGAAAACCTTGTGAAGACTTACAGAAAACGTTTGACCTGTGTCATTGCCAACAAAGGGTATATAATAAAGTATTGAGAAACTTTTGTTATTGACCAAATACTTATTTTCCACCATAATTTGCAAATAAATTCATTAAAAATCCTACAATGTGATTTTCTGGATATTTTTTTCTCATTTTGTCTGTCATAGTTGACGTGTACCTATGATGAATATTACAGGCCTCTCTCATCTTTTTAAGTGGGAGAACTTGCACAATTGGTGGCTGACTAAATACATTTTTTCCCCACTGTATGACCCCAGACCACACTGACCTTGCACAACCCTCTGGTGTGCTCCAAGACCAGAGGCTTCAGCTTCTTCTCCACTGCCTCGATGCCCAGTAACATGTGCTCCACAAACAGAGACAGGGTGAAAATGCGGTTCCATCCGGTCCTACAGGAACCACAGAACAAACACAACTCACTCAAAAAATAAACTGCCATTCTGTTATTCTAAAGTTTTAACAGCTACCAAATAATACAAAACTGCCATTCAGATGACTGGATAGCTTTATACTTCTTTTAAATCAAATAAAAATAAGACTTTTGAAGGGACAAGGCAACAAAAACAAACGGCAGTTGATAAATAGTGTCAGTTTATGTACTGGCCATGTCAGTGTCACTGTGTCAACCTTGCCATTCATGTTCCTGTCATTGAGATTGAATAGAATCCCTGTTAACTCACTGAACTCTGTGGACCATGACCATGCTCCTCTCCTCATAGTGTCTCAGACTCTCCTCGGAGCAGACCAGCTCGATGGGAACCTGGAGCCTCTTGACCTGCCTGAGCCAGACCAGCCGCTGGCCGTCCGTGTCCAGAGCCTGGGGCTCCAGGAACTCTACACAGGCCACGGCCGCATACACGTCCAGCACCTGGGGAGTTAACGCATGGTTTGAGGGTTAATGCAGTCTGGTGTAGCCAGACATTGCGTTATCACATTTGCTCTGCATCCTGGCAGAGGAGAACAGATGCTTGGCACACAAGGCTACGGTCAATGCAAAATGACAATGCAGAGGAATATACTTAAGATATCCTTGTTCCTGAAGTAAAATTATATTAACACAAGTATTTGTGCCAATACAACAGAACCCACACAGCATAAACAAGTGTTATTCCAGCAAGCACTGATCTCCCCTATGCTTGAGCTAAAACACAAATATTGACCTTCCATTTAATCTCTACCAAGCATTCAAAAGACTGGAAGAAAACAAAAGTATCACTGCTTGAAGTAAAATGAATCCCTTTAACACTGAACTGGCCTGCTATACTAGACCTTTAACACTGAACTGGCCTGCTATACTAGACTTATACATTTCGCCAAGCGTGAGATGCTTTTTTTTCAATGAAACATGGGCGTAAGCAGTGCTGCTCCTGGTTCTAATTTCAAGATTTTCACACCGAGAACCCTTGATGGAGGTGGATTGCGGTCTGCTTGCGCTGGCCAAAATTTAGGAATCCAGTACAGCAGGTATAAAATCACAACGCCCCAGTAATACTGACCAGTTCATCCCCCTCTCTGGCGTGCGTGTTCCCCCGGAGGACCTGGGCCAACTGGGGCTCGATACTGATCATCCTGAACAGGTTCTGCAGGCGGTTCTTAAACTCATGGTAGGCAGCGTGGACCCAGGGCAGCGAGGTCACTTCCTTCTCCATGACGTCATCGTGACGCAGCCGCAGCTCGTTCACACAACAGGTCAAGGCACCGCAAAGGAGCTGGATGTTTGGTTAGGATGTATGGATGCGTACAACCACACACACAAACTAATAATTAGCACCTTGAAATAACAATTAAATTCATCTTTAACAGTCCAGTCAGAAACAGACATCACTGTTTTCCAGGGATTGCTGAGATCCATAAAAAAAACACACTAATGGCATCATGATATGAATGTTGAAAGTTAAAAAAAACGAAACTCCTACCTGCAGATCGTCCTGACAGGTCACATTCATGGTCATGGAGATGAAATCCTGCAGGTATCTGTGGAAGAACTCAGCCTGCATCTCCGGTTCTGCCTTGGTGATGTAGCGGCCCAGTGGGGTCTTCCTAAAGAACTCCTCAAACTGGCTCTGAGTGTGACCTGAACATCCCAGAGGGAAACACCATAACTAGGTTAAATGAAGAGAAAATAAGATTATTCTTAGATAAGAGACCTAGTACTGAAGAATTATGGAACACAACATATAGACTACAACCAGGGATGTAGCAGTAAAACATAAGGTGGGTTAATGCTGAACGTTGGTCGAAATGATGAACGTTAAATTGGCGTAATGGCTACGTAATAATAATAATAATAATAATAAGCCATTTAGCAGACGCTTTTATCCAAAGCGACTTACAGTCATGTGTGCATACATTTTTTTGTGTATGGGTGGCCCCGGGGATCGAACCCACTACCTTGGCGTTACAAGCGCCGTGCTCTACCAGCTGAGCTACAGAGGACCTACGTAATGCCCATTCACAAAATAACAAGGTGCGTAAATGAATTATCCTCCAATACAACCCCTGGTTACAACATATAACAGGGTTTTCTGATAAAAATAAATAAAATACTTTTTTTATTTCCATTGTTGGACATAAGACTGTAAAAACACCAGGAAATCAGCTCCAAGTGATTTTAATTTAAGAAATCTGTTCCCAAGTATTCCCACGCTAAATAGAGAGACACGTGATCATATACAAATGTAAGCAAGGTTTGAAATTATCATGTTTTAGTCAAACATTATATCTGTTTGGGCTTCTTGCAGTCAATTTGCAGTCTACAAATTATTTGTAATTATGTAATTAGGCCCCCCACCATCCACTAAATGTATTTATTTTTTAAATAACAAACAGCCCTTGGCTGAATCTAGTTGATGATCCCTGATATTTAAGTTAGACGTATGAGGTATTGTCATAACCTACTACCTTCACGCTGGAGAGCATGGACCCAGAGTTCATCCAGGTAGTCCCTGATCCTCCAGCTGAAGGGCATCATGCAGCCGATGTTCTTGTCCAGCCCAATGTAGTTCTGGACCAGGATGGTCTTTGACTCTGAACTGGGACAGGGAGGGAGGGGTTAATGTAGAGTGGAAAGAGAGAGGGAGTTGTTGATTCACTGACATTCTAGAATCAGACCTGACAGAAGACAGCCTCTCTAGTCTAGAACACAGAAATATAATTACTAGAAGGGACAAAGCCCCTCAGACCACGGCAATTTGACTGTAATACTCAATATGGCCGCAGGTCCACCCATCGCAGAACAACGACTTGATTAGAAATGGCCGTTCTAGTCATTCTATTTCTATGCTTTCTAGACCAACAACATAACCATTGCTGTGCCAATATAGTACTTACTTGCGGTCCAGTCTTGTGTAGGGAACCTCGAGTAGTTTGTCGTTCCCAAAGATGTCCAACCAGAGTTTCTTGACCGCCTCTCCAGAGTTGGAGTCCAGCAGAATGTCCAGGTTGCGGTCGCGGTCGATGACAGAGACCAGCTGGGCCAGGAAGGGAATAACCACAGCCTGCACCCTCTTCCATAGGGTGTGTCTGGTACAAAAAGGTAGAAACCACTTTAGTACAGCCGTTTATTGACAATATGGTACAAGTCAAAATGTATGGTCAAAAATATCTTATGTCCCATAAAGAGATCACTTTTTTTAACTAACTATTTAAGGTCCCTTTGAATTCAGCAAACAGATGAGGATTTGTATTGGTATAAGACGTTTTGAAATCATAGTGGTCACTCACCTGAATGTCCCCCCTTCCTGCAGTGCGTCAATGTTGGACGCCTCCTTGATGACCCAGTTATTTGAGGACAGTTTGAGCTTGTTGTCATCATGGGTCGACAGCAACGAGTGAAGACGTCTCTTCACGGTCCTCAGAAATTCAGCTGTTCATAAACATTCATAGTCTGAGTATAATCATTGTGAATGGAATGCATGTCAATGATCACCCATTGTTGTGCTGTATCCATGCAAGCCCGGGCATGGTAATGCCAGAGAAGTATGGAGATTGCTTGTTGAGTCTCTCAATTTTCAAACTTCTCCAGTGCTAGCACGCACTACTGCTTAAATATAGCGCACCAATGGGTAAGCAGTTACTGAGAATAGGTCTAAACAGCAATAATAACAATAATAATAGATGTATTTTATATAGCGCTTATTACCGCAAGAAAAATCTTTCAAGTCGCTTAAAAATTTTTTAACAAAAAATAATGAGTACTATAGAAGTATTGCTCTTACCTCTTATTTCTTGGTTGTCAGTCAGGAGTGTGAGCAGGATCTCCACTCTCCTGGTGCTACGGACTCCGCCCTCCAGCTGGTCTCGGAGCATGCCCACTGCGTTCTGTACACAGCTACGTACCAGCGCCGTGGTGTCCACAACTCTCCCCCAGCTCTGCAGTAGGAACATGGTCAAAGACACATGAAACATGAGGAAGGTGTTCTAAAACAACATGGGTTACAGTGCATTCGGAAAGTATTCAGACCTTGACTTTTCCACTTTGTTACGTTACAGACTTATTCTAAACATATATATATATATATTTTTTAATAATCACAATACCCCATAATGACAAAGCAAAAACAGGTATAGACATTTTTGCAAATGTATATATATTTTTTTTAAGTATTCAGACCCTTTGCTATGAGACTCGAAATTGAGCTCAGGTGCATCCTGTTTCCATTGATCATCCATGAGATGTTTCTACAACTTGGAGTCCACTTGTGGTAAATTCTATTGATTGGACATGATTTGGAAAGGCACACACCTGTCTATATAAGGTCCCACAGTTGACAGTGCATGTCAGAGCAAAAACCAAGCCTTGAGGTCGAAGGAATTGTCCGTAGAGCTCCGAGACAGGATTGTGTCGAGGCACAGATCTGGGGAAGGGTACGAAAACATTTCTGCAGCATTGAAGGTCCCCAAGAACACAGTGGCCTCCATCATTCTTAAAGGGAAGCAGTGTCACGTCTGGAGGAAACCTGGCATCATCCCTACGGTGAAGCATTGTAGTGGCAGCATCATGCTGTGGGGATGTTTTTCAGCGGCAGGGACTGAGAGACTAGTCAGGATCAAGGGAAAGATGAACGGATGAACGGAGCAAAGTACAGAGAGATCCTTGATGAAAACCTGCTCCAGAGTGCTCAGGACCTCAGACTGGGACAAAGGTTCACCTTCCAACAGGACAACGACCCTAAGCACACAGCTAAGACAACGCAGGAGTGGCTTCGGGACAAGTCTCTGAATGTCTTTGAGGGGCCCAGCCAAAGCCCGGACTTGAACCCGTTCGAACATCTCTGGAGAGACCTGAAAATAGCTGTGCAGCAACGCTCCCCATCCAACCTGACAGAGCTTGAGAGGATCTGCAGAGAAGAATTGGAGAAACTCCCCAAATACAGGTGTGCCAAGCTTGTAGCGTCATACCCAAGAAGACTCTAGGCTGTAATCGCTGCCAAAGGTGCTTCAACAAAGTACTGAGTAAAGGGTCTGACTACTTACGTAAATGTGATATTTCAGTTTTTTCCTTTTATACATTTGCAAAACATTTCCAAAACCTGTTTTTGTTTTGTCATTATGGGGTATAGAGGGTAATCCATTTTAGAACAAGGCTGCAACGTAACAAAATGTGAAAAAAGTCAAGGGGCTGAATACTTTCCAAATGCACTGTATGTACACTAAAACAACATGGGTTATGTACACACAATATTTAAAATGGTGCTACACACAGGATTGTTTTGAATTTTTGCATTGTAATTTCAGAAAGACCAGATAATCTATCTGCCGCTAATAGCGGAATGATAGTGTTTTACAGTAAAACCCTACTAGAGGAAAAGGCTTTTATAAGAGGAAGTCCAACAATCAGAATGCCAAAACAATATTGTAGCAACTATTAAACACCTAAATGTTAGTCTAACATCAAAGTCCATCCTCATTTAAACAATTAGATTATATCTGTTTTTAATGCTAAATACTGTAGACCTGTCATATAGGACCTTTCAACCAAAAATATGATTGTTTCTACACCGTTTGCACAATTTCAGTTTATGTGAGAAAACAAGCACTGAATAGTGTAGGGAATCATTGTACCATCTAAATCACTGTGAAATATATTTTCAATAACAAAAAACGCTGTTTCAAGCTTTTTTGTTATTGAAAATATATTTCACAGTGATTTAGATGGTACAATGATTCCCTAAACCAAGGCTGCCCAACCCTCTTCCTGGAGATCTACTGTCCTGTAGGTTTTCAGTCCAACCCTAATTTATCATATCTGATTTAGCTAGTTAAAGGTCTTGTTGAGCAGCTAATAAGTAGAATCAGGTGTGTTAAATTAGGGTTGGACTGAAAACCCACAGGACGGTAGATCTCCAGGAAGAGGGTTGGGCAGCCCTGCCCTACACTATTCAGTGCTTGTTTTCTTACATAAACTGAAATTGAGCGAACTGTGTAGAATTGTAGCAACCAGGAAATGACATTTGCACTATATAACACAGCCACAAAGTCAGAACGGCAATCCCATTTTGACAACGGATGCCCCTCTGGCGGGAGAAATCAATAGGCGAATATCACAGCCAATCTGGTGGGTAAGTAATACTGTAAAACTCACTGTTTGGTCTTTGTGTTCCAATTCCTGTTGCTCTGTCTCTGTGTACATGTCATCTACCTCCATAGCTGTGCACAAACATAGAAGGCTCTTTTAACTATGTTGACAGGTACTTCATTCTGAAGAAGTTTATCAGTATGAAGACATTGTCATTATTATCAATACAAATGTAAAAGGTAATTCACCTTCAGGCTCATCCTTCTTCTCCTCAAACAGTTGACTGATGGTAAGGTTTCTCAAGGCTTTGATATCTGACACAATATCTTTAGATCTTCTGAGGTCATCTATATGAACTGACCTCCAAGGGTCTATATGGGATTTCAAAAAATGTATAACTTAATGAAAAAAATATATACATGTATTTCAATCTCAGATTATTTCAACATGTTCTAAAGCTGTAAAATGTTTGAACCAACGATAACCTCACCTCCATGAAATCCAACATAGGATGTCCCTCCTTCCATTCTTGGCAGTTTAGTAATGAAGTAGACGAAGACCTTGCCTCCCATCTCCTCTTGTCTTGATTTGTTGATTTCATTGATGGCAGAATATCTGAAATGAATTAGATACATTATTAGATAAATACATACAACTAAATCGGATTCTATCAAATTAAATGTATTCCAGACTTCACTTACTTGGCGGAGGCAATGAGATTTGCACTGTGCGACGCTTCATCAAAATCTGACTGAATGATCAGTATTTTGTTGCCAGATGTATTCTCTCTCCCATTTCCAGACTTGAGGAAATGCCTAAGAAGAGAGCAATGTTTTTAACCTGACCAAAAGCTTTCAACTCAACGGCTAATGGATAATCAATAAAGCATTATGAGGATGAACTAAAACGTGTCAAACCTGATCTTCTTGAGGAAGGAGTGCTCAGTGTCAAACTGCTGAAGAGAGAGAAGCTCGACATTGTGCACCACCTCTTCCAGTGGTCCAACATCTGATGCTGTTAAAAGTCTGGAAAAGGTGGTCACCTGGGAAAGTTCAAATAAGAAATGAGCACTATATAAACAAACGTTTAATAAGAGTTGCAAAATGTAATATCCCAAAGTTACCGTGGTTTTCAGAAATCCTTGTTGGAGGATTCCTAATTGGAGGGTTCCCTCCTAATTACGGGAATCCCCCAATCGAGACTTCTGAAAACCTGGGAATTCTTGGAACGTTTCTGGAATTTTTAAAGCCTACTTTTGATTGTGATGAAAAAAATGGTTACCTCTGTGAAGGAGGAATGGCACTGCTCGTCTTGTTGAGTGTGAGAGAAGATGAAGTCGGCCAAAGAGCTGTGCTTCTGGTCCTCAAAGTACACCCTGGCCAGATGTTCACTCTCCACCCGGGGGAGACCAGTGCAGTCCAGCCGAACCACCGAGTCTGGAGTGGCACAGTTCAGAAGGATCAGTTTGGCCTCATCCAGGACTCTTCTTTGGGGGTCAGAAATGTCTGTCTCTCCCCTCTGTTTCTCTGTCATTTGGAGGACCACTGAAGCACACGTGTCGGAATGGAAGCCAATGAAAACGTCAGGAGGTAGGTACTTGTATGTCTGGGGGGCCATGGAGTGTTGGTTATTAAGGGCCACAAACTGCCCAACCCATTTGTCCAACTCTACAACAACTGCTCTTTGTTCCTCCTTGAGAACTGTATGGATGTCCAGATAGTGCTTCTCAAGCCTGTTGATGAGAGGGATTGGAAACTGTTTGTAGACCACCTCTTTCTCCTCAACGACAATCAGCCTGAAGTCTTTGTGCACTCTACATTTGACACGATGTGTCCCCAGTCCCAAGTCAACGTACTTCTGTCCTCCCAAGCAGACGTAGTACTGGTTCAGAGCATCGTAGAGACTTTCGTAGAGGTTCTGCAAGTTCAGGAGCACGACGGTTCGACCGGTTTCCATGCAGATCTTGACTCGGTTGATGTTGCGGCAGATCTGGGTGTACTCTTGGTCCTTGGGGAAGCTAGACCCGAAGATAATCTCTGGCTGGCAGCTCTCTGAGAAGAAGGTCTGCTGCAGGATCTGTAGGGCTGCATAGTTCTTGGTCAGAACTAGCAAGTAGCGGCATTCTTCCTCCTGGCCAATCGCTGAAATGTTTTGTCTCACAAGATCGATGGTGCTGATGCTCTCCAGATTCAGGTTGATCTGTATTTTCTGGAGCCTTTTGGTGAAGACCGTGACTGCATCCACGTCTTCCCTGCCACTGAAGTTCCTGAGGACCGCCTCCACAATCTTCTCTGCACTAGGCCTCTGTTCGGAGGCCTTGGTCACCGCGAAAATCATCTTGATCAAGCTGTAGTAGTCACGCAAACCAAAGAAACCTTTCCCCTGTTTACGGCAGATGTTTAGATAGGCCCTGGCAAAGGGTTGGAAGAAATCCCTGACCTTCTCCAAAATCATTGTGTCAGACGAGCATATGCCTTTAGCGCTCTCAATCAGCTCTTTCTCGTCGGGGTCGCCACGTGAGACGAAAATGCCTCTATTCATCTTCGCAGGATCCAAAGCCCAGTTGGAGATGCCGATGAATCCAACCTTTTTGTGCGGTAGCGGCTCATCATCGATGCATCCCTCTTCTAGCAGAGGATGGAGGGTTTTCAGGGGCATTTTGGGAGAATCCTCGGCCAAGCCAATCTCATCCAGCACCACCACAGATATATACTCCTTCAGGTTCTTCCCCTCCTGGAAGCGACCACATTGTTTGAACGTGTTGATGATGCCCTCTGGTGTGGAGTGAGGGCTGCACTGGAAGGACACCAGGTGAATTTGCTTCAGCCTTTTGTAGAGGTCAGAGTGTGCGGCTTGGCCCTGCATGGCGTCTGCCACCAAGGTTTTAGACAGAGATTTTGAACTCCCAGGTTTCCCCACCAAGAACAGGGGGATTCTCAGCTCTATACAGACCACCATCATGAAGACATTCTCTTTCAGAGCGTTGTTTCGTGCAATAGTTTCGCCCAGGGGCACTCCGCTCAGAAGGAGATCCTGCATGAGGGAGATCTCCTGCATCACTTTGAATGGGGTGTAGGTTTCAGTGAGGTATTTGCAGATTCTCTGTCTGTACTTGTCCTTGTTTTCCAAGCAGGCGTGGTAGCATACTCCCAGAGCCATCACTACAGACCACAAGACTGGGTCTCTTGCTTCTGGCTCCCTCTTGTTCCTCTCAGCGTTTTGATTTCTCTGATACTGATTTAGCTCAGCAAGCAGCATCGCATGGTTTTTGTAGAACCACACAAAAGCTTGCATGCAACGTTCCACGTCCCTCAGACTTACGAAGCTACATTCGTCTTTCCTTGTCCGCATGTACCTCTGCGAAGCAGACAGGACATCCGCGATCAACCTGGTGTACACTATATCGATCGTGTTGGTCTCAACCACCCTCTGGACAATCTGCTGGATGTAAATTTTTTCAGTGTGATCGTTGAGCTGTCCAAAGTCCCACACCAGAGGTATCATGCTGGGGGGCAAGGCCTGGACTCTGTACACCAACTGGCGGAGAGGGATAGAGCCCAGCTTCTCATCAGTCTCTTCAGCTCTGACTCGATATCCCAGTCCAGCAGACTCCAACCTCTGAATCATCTCGTCAGTGTGTTTTCTGTAAGGGTTGCACGCGGCGATGATCTGCAAGCCGCAACGGGGCACCAAACACTCTCCCTTCACTGTATTATCACAGAGGACTTCCTTGATACTGCTGATGGCTTCCGTGGTGTTGGCTTCGTCAAAGAAGAGGACAGAGTCAAAGCCGTAATCTTGTTTGTTGGTGAACGCAATGGCTTCTGCTTCCCGGACTTTGGTGTAGATCATGTCTGAGCTGGTTCCACCGTGAACTTTGACTAGCTTCATGTTCTCCGTGGCCACTCCGCTCCTCCTAAGCTCACAGAGGAATTTAATGAGCCTCGTCTTCCCACAGCCTGTCTCCCCCATGATTATGACTGGGATGCCACACCTGAACCGCATGTGGATGGCCAGCATCTTCAGTATGTTGTCGGTGGTGAGCTCATACGTTTCGTCAGGATCAAGAGGCCACTGGATTCCCAAGACGTTGCAAAGGCGTTCAATCTTCTCCCCTCTGGGCAGTTGGTCAAAATCGATGTTGAAAGGGACTCTCTGTAGCTTCAGACCCTCGTACAGCTCTCTGGTCATGATGTCTCTTTTGATCACCCTTCTTGTGGATGGATCGATGGCGTCAACAGAGTTCTGTTCGTTGGGCTGAAGATGGAAGCCAATGAAGGTCATGGACACATGGTCATCGTTGAAGAAGATGTACGGATGTGGTTCTGACTCCCATCTCTTCCTGATCCGGAAGGGAGCCAAGTCTTCGTCGCTGACCCCAGTCAGGTCCATTTGCTGCCTCCCGGGGCTCTGATCAGAGATGCTGAGGGACGGAGTGGCAAAGTCCTTGGCCATCAGAATCATGAAGTCAACCACAAAGTTCTTGAAACCCTGGAGGGTGTCCCCGGTGAAAGAGGCATCACAAAAGACTGATGTCTCACAGTCTTGTAGTTGAAGGTTTAGGAACCATGCGAAATTCCTTAACTCGGCCCACGATGGGTCCATTATGCCACAGAACATAAAGAGCATCTGTAGACATTCTACATAGGTGCCTTCCACTCCATTGTACATGAAGGTGTCCAGGTCGATGTGATTATGGAAACGCGTCAGATACTGGTAGGGTCGTTGGTACGCTTCACTCCTGAACTCTTGGTCATCCATTAATGGGTCTTCAAGCTTTACAAAGGAGGGGTCTTCTAGCATCCTCATTTCCAGATCTAGAACCTCTTTTGGTGGGCGGCAGAAGACATTTGGGAACACATCCAGGAATGTGGAATTGGCACTTGCATTCTGTAAAGAAATAAAGTGTGAAGAACGAAAGTGAGAGTGTGCTTTTTCTCTTATCACAATCAAAATGTATGGGATTTAACACCAAGAAACTAAATATTTACCGTTCTTGGGCCATTTCTGGGCAAGTTTCCTGTTGACTGTAGGATCTCAATGACGTAAAGCTGCTTGTTGCTGCATTTCCACATCCTTCCCTCAGAATCCATCAAATATCCCAAGACCAACAGTTTGAAGAGAAACTCATAGAGGCCTTTCTGCACCTGTTGATAAATACAAAAAAAAAGAAAAATTTCATCAAAATATCACAGAACGAATCTACATGGATAAACATTCTATCAAAAATAGTTAAAGTATCACTAAGGAAGTCATAATGACAAATAGGCTACAGTATATTTACCGAAGATGTGACATCGAAGTGGAAGATGGTGAGCTCTTTCGACTTGGGGGTATTCAGCAGAGACTGAAGAATGACATTCTCATCAACCCTTGGCTCGATCAAGCGGATGCATTTCAGCAGTGAAGGCTTCTTGGTGGAGTGTTTCAGTTTTTCATACAGCCTCTTGATGTAAAGGGACTTACCTGAAAGTGTGAAGAACATGTCATTATTTTGAGCATAAATCCAGCGGATAAGTAGGATATATCAAACCACCAATTCAATGATCAACAAAAGAGTATACATAAACTGAAGGACAAATATACTCACCAACTCCAGCTCTACTGGATGACACAACTCCAACAAACAGTCTGTCCTTGAACACAGCAGCAGCACTGCTCTGATCTGACGGAACCGTGTAGTGTTTGTTGAGGTATCTCTGGATACCGCTCAGGGGTTCCTGGGGCACCATGTGTAACCTGTACTGGCTGAAGGCCGAGGGAAGGTAGGCAGCATGCTCTCGGTCCGAGCTGCAGATGATCACAAGCCTGTAGTCCTTCCTGCTCTGCATCTTGATTCGCTGGAAAAAGCTCTCCACTTTGGAGCTGACGTCGTAGCTCAGCTGATCTCCGTAGAGCATGGTGTAGATCTTCTGTCCTCTGTAGCCGGCAGTGAGGCAACGTCTGAGGAACAGCTCCACCTGCTCGTAAGGCATGGAGGAGCTGCACAGTAGGACCTCATCGTATGTAGGCAGCGGCTCGTGTTTGCTGCTCATGTAAATGGAGATGCAAGCCGTCAGGATCTCGTCGTGTGGGGAAACTATGAGGTTTGGACTTCCGATAGCCAGGCCCTTGGGCATCAGTCTTTCAATGCTTTGGTCTTTATTCTCATCAGTCATGTCTCCTTCATTCTCATCACCTATGTTGGCCAGAATTTCTAACAGTCTTCCAAAGCTTCGGACATCGAGAGTGTCTGGGAGGAAACTCTTCATGTCTCTCATGTAGGCGTTCCACATCAAGTCCAACTTTCCTGAGCCGCTAATGTGCTCCACAAGACTTGGAAGATCGTCTGAGGAGAGATTAAACTCTCTAATGAAATCTGGACCTCCCTGTGCACTGCTCGGCACCTCAACAAAAGTCTGGAAGTCAACGTCCTCATTTTGCTCAGGTGGGTTAGTGAGGATTTCGTATTGGAGTGTGTGCCAGGTTTGCCTAAGATCAGAAGCCGTGCAGTTGGGTTTGACGAAGGAGAGCATCATGAGAACTTGGTCCTCCAAATTCGACACATTCTGCTGAGTGAGCTTACTGCACAGGTATACGATCTGCTCAGCGGTGTAGTAGTTCAGGTAGTAATTGTGGGATCTTTGTTTGTCCATGAAGTCATTCCAGTACTTCAGACACTTCTCCATCTTCCTGCACAGCTCGGGAAGCTGCTCCACAATGCTGCCCTCCACCATAATCACACTTACAATGCTGCCAAGGTTGAAGTCCATGATGATCCCGGCGTCTTGGCTGAGGGAACTACAGTTGATGTTGGCCTCCCAGTGTCTGAACAGGGGGTTCCCAGCCGTGAACAGGGCAATGAATGCCACAGCTAGCCTCTGGACACTGGCAAAAACCTGAGGAAAAGAACAAAGTGAATCCTTGTTTTATTTACATTTTACATTTACATTTTAGTCATTTAGCAGACGCTCTTATCCAGAGCGACTTACAGTTAGTGAATACATATTTTTTTATACTGGCCCCCCGTGGGAATCGAACCCACAACCCTGGCGTTGCAAACGCCATGCACTATCAACTGAGCTACATCCCTGCCGGCCATTCGCTCCCCTACCCTGGACGACGCTGGGCCAATTGTGCGCCGCCCATGAGTCTCCCGGTCGCGGCCGGCTGCGACAGAGCCTGGATTCGAACCAGAATCTCTAGTGGCACAGTTAGCACTGCGATGCAGTGCCTTAGACCACTGCGCCACTCATACAAAATGAGTAACGGCCCATACAAAATGCTCCTCTCTGCTATAACTATATGACTAAAACAACATAGCAGTATATTTACCAAGCTCACCTTAGAGAAGAGGCTTCAACCTCAACTGACTTGCCTGGTTAAATAAATGTTAAATTAAAGAGAAAGACACAGAGACAGAAAGACTACAGTACCTCTGCAAACTGGTCCACCTCACACTGGCCCTGGTCCCCTTTCCCAGACATGAGCATGAGTTTGTTCTGCAGTTCCCTCAGGTCCTCCAGGGAGTAACGGCGCATCTCATGGCCCTCGTCGTGCTCCTCTGGGATCTGCAGTTTCAGGGCCGTGTCCAGGCTCAACTGGAAGGACAAACAGACAAAAATACTGTCGAAGCATGGCACTGTAGAACTAGGACATCATTATTCTACTCCCCTGAAGTTTCATTCTAAAAGTTTTAACCGAACTTCAAAGCATAGGTAAGCAGTTGGAACAAAGTCCTGGCTAAAATGAACATGAGTAACAGCTGATAGTTTCAACCATCTTGAAAATAAACTCAAAAGTTACACAACTGTATATTCTATGGCTTATTGTTCAGGCCTACCTTCTTTTGGTTCGGGGCACTGATTATGTAGATTCCTTTACTGTTGATGGCTGATGCTAAGGAGAGAGAGGATAGTTCCACAGATCCATGGCTGTCCTTCACAGTCTTCAACCACTCAAGGTGGCGCGCTGTGTCACGCTGCAATAAGGACATTCACAGTCAGGTAGTTTCCACTTTTAAAGGGATAGTTCACTTTTTGAAGTTTTGGCTTATTTAAGGTAGGTTGAAAATAAGTTAAATATCATAAAAAAACTCTCACCAGCTTCTTTGGGAGGTTGTTGTCATTGTCCAATGCCCTCCACAGCTTCTTCAGCACCTCCTTGAAGGCCTGAAAACCGGAGTCTGGCTTCAGTTCGTACAGCATCGGGGAGTAACCCAGGACGGCGTCGTGGAAACAGGCCACACGGTCCACGTCGAGGTCATTCTCCCCAGCAGAGATGGAGGCCAGGTCAACAAACACTTTAAGCTCGTTTATATCTGGAATAATGCACAACAGATTGATTAATCCAATTCAATAGCACTACATTTATCCCACAATGGGTAATTTGCAGACAAGCAGTTTGGATACAGAATAACAAATAACATGATGAGACCTCATGATAATCACATGAAACATGTGACTATCTATTTTCAATAGATACAGTTAGTGACTGATTACTGACAGGTTATTCAAACAAAGCTTCTTTAACCCAGATGATACTCCATCAGCCAATTTACCTTCAAGAGCCTCTTTAACCCAGATGACAAAGTTTTTCCTGAGGCCGAGCTCCTGGAGGCACAGTCTGCGGGGCTCTGTGATGTCCACCAGAACCAGCTTTGTCTGCATCAGGTCGTTGTCAATACGATCTAGGTGCTCCCTCTTAAAGTCCTCATGCGTCTGACAACAGAGAAACACCGAATTGTTTGAGTATTGTTTGTTATACCACTACTTGGTTCTGATTGGCTGAAGGTTTAATACAGTGTAGTTCCAGCCAAAATGCCTTATTAACGTTCCATATCATACAGAAAACCGAACACACATCCTGGCAATGTTAGCTTCAGATAACTTTGGTCGGGATTCAAACAGATCACACTGCGCCGACAACGTACCTGACAATGTCCTTGACATTCTGCAAGATAATATTTAATGGTAAACGCCACGGGTGTCAGCTCAAACATAAATTACCTTTTTTTAATTCAAGTGCAGTGCAATGTCGGCGCAATGCAGTTTGTTAGCTAGCTAGCATTAATTTGTTAAACCAACATTTGACGAGCGCTGTCATTTTCGGCAGTGGTGGCCAGGACATACGTACATTTTTGGTATATATTGTAAACTAGCTAGAAAGCTGATACAATGTTGCCTATTGGCAAAAGCAAACTTGCTAACATTTTCTATGTTTGAGAGGTAGCTTAGGACGGTTGGCTGGCTAGAATAAGTTTATTACCAAGGTAACTAGTGTCATGACTTGCCCTCATAGGTTGAGGATCAAACATTCCTGCTAGGCAAAGGTTTGAACACCCCCTTTCCTTGGGGCCAGTTTTATGACTTAACAGCCAGTCATAAATAGTTTGCAGAAAAGGACTCCTTTTGGTCTCTAGTATGGGAAGAAAGAATTTCCCTGTGAGACAAAGGAAGTCTTCCCGCTAAGACTCCAACATCCAAAAGTGGGTCATGTGATTGTTGTGGTCCTCTGTAGCTCAATTGGTAGAGCATGGCGCTTGTAACGCCAGGGTAGTGGGTTCGATCCCCGGGACCACCCATACGTTTCATATAAACTACGCACAGTGACTACTCACGCCCCGAGTGACATCAGAGTCGTGTAAACATGATGGAAGCCCCTTTTACCCCGAGTGCATAAAAAGCCTTGAAAAACAAATCAACCTTTAGGCCAGCAGATGTGAAGTGTGAGCCAAACATTGCAAATGGTTGAATTTCTACCAGACCAGTAAGCCCCACGGCTTAAAATAGTTGACACTCTACAAGACCAAGAAGCGTGAAGCTGAAGCTACACGTTACAAAATGGTTAGACTAGAAAGACCAGAAAACGTGAGACATTGTCCACACGTTTGAAATGGAGAAACTCTGAAACTCTCAACCTCTACACGAGGTGAAGAAGACGACAATGCACTAGACCTTATCATTTCAGTCTGCAGCTGGCATGTATAGTCGTCTAGAGAACTTTCACTAAAGACACGAAGTGGGAAGGACAATCCCTCTCCGACAACCGCTGGTACATCTGAAGTATCCATTCTAACCAGTACTACTTGTTAGTCCAGTCCACTAGGGACATGTTTTCATTGTATTACGTTAGTAATCAATAACCTGTGTGTGTTTGTATTGTGTTATTATTTAGTTAGTTAGTAACTAAATAATTAAGCCAATTTGTATATTGCTGATTCATCAATAAGGTTAGGGTTCTTGCAGGTTCAAGGATTATGCGACATTCAGAATGAGACTGATAAGAGGTAATTATTTAATAAGTGACTTATCGATAACATATTTATCTTCTAAGAGTTTAATTCGGGAGATGGTAACTCATTAAACAACTTATTCCGTGGTGCCCCAAATTCCTAATGAGTTAATTGTTACATTATTAATTGAATCGAGTAACAATTAAACATAGATAGGTGATTCGATAAATAACAATCATACATTAAAGTAAGTCACGTCAGGACACTAGCTGCCTAGCTATGTCAGTGAATGTGCAGAAAAGAGGTAGACATTTGTTTTAAACCAGTGACAACAAATAAATGAAACAGCAATTCACACCAACTCACAACTTCAAGCAGTGTCTGCAGGACTTGGAAGTTGCCTTGAAGGTTCAGAGTCTGCTTGACCAGCATGATGACCTGAGCCGACTCCACAGCCAGGTGAAGCTCGTGGTACTGCTCAATCTGCTGCACCCTTCTTTGGATCCACTGTTTGTTATCCGACTTGTCGTTTCTGCACATGATATCCAAGTCCTGAGCCAGCTCTTCGTACTTGCCTCTGTAGGCCTTGAAGAGAGTATCGACCTCTTCGAGCAGAAGGCTGCCGTTCTTCAGGCATTTGTAGATCTCAACGTACTTAGCATAGCAAGGCAGAAAAATATCGCTGTGTATTTCGACTGGTCCTACGAAGTAGTCGACCGATTCCGCCGGTTCTTCATGGTCTTCGTCATATCCATCTCTCCTGGCAAGGTCTTGGGCCTGTTTCTCCCAGCACAACTTGAAGATGTAGCTGTCTTTGAATGTGTGCAGAACCCCTGCCATCTCTCTCACGTCGTCATCGAGTTCGAAGAAGGTGACCACACCGGCCATCGGAGAGGAGAGCTGGTCAAACGGATGGACCTCCATGAATTGGTCCAGGGTCATGGCCTCGATGTTGGTCTGTAGTCTCTCTTCCAAGCCTTCAAAGTCAACTGCGACATAGAGGGATAAAGCATGAACATTATTAGGATCACTGTTCAGACCAACCAAACACAACCTTCCCTGGAAAGATTTGACTTTCATTCACCCATGACTTTTCAAACACATTCACAGATCTGCTTAGCAGCACACACCCCTACCTATGACATGTTCCTGTAGTTTGCGGCTCATGGTAAGCAGGACTTCCACCAGCTCCTTCTCATGGTAGACAGCATTCACCTCCTCCTGCCTACACAGTAGCAGCCTTTTCATGGGGGCGCTGTCCTTGTAGCGCTCATTCTCAGAAAGACAGTCTGCATCGAGATCGAAATACACATTTCATAAGCAAACAGCAAGCACTAAGATGATTTAAAAAAGACAGCCTTTAACAATATTATGAAATCCTTTCATATGAACAAAGAACTTGGGTTGCAAAATTATGGAAACGTTCCAAAAGTTCTCTATATATTTTATACCCGGTTGGGGAATTCCCAGTTGAAAGAATCTTCCAACCAGGATTTCTGAAAAAGCTGGAAACGTAAGGAACGTTTTCAACCCAACAAAGCACAACCTTCCATTACCTATTTTCAGCAGCTCTGTGAAAGTATCCCTCTTCTCCAAGACGGAGTTGAGCAGTTTGATCCGGATGTTTCCGTGGACCAGCTGATTGGAGATGGCAGTGAAGGATGAGATAGCTACAGCCATCCTTTCCCTGGCTTCTTCAGAGAGCTGGTCAATCAGCTTTTCATCTGCAACCTAAAACCACATACGATTTACATTACAATATGGGGTAAAAGCAGCACACTGAATACTGAAACAAGGTGGGTTAAATGCGTGAGACAGTTACAGGACTCCATTTTAAACCACTGAGATCACAAAAACTCTTATAACACAACATACATTTGAGCTCCAAAAACTTCACCAGGTCTGGGACACAGTGATGGCCAAAGACCGCCAGAAGTGGAGAGTCTTTGTTTGCGGCACCATACGGCAGCCAAAAACATCATGCAATCGTAACATACACTAAAACAGGTCCATTAAATAGACTGATTGAAGAACAGTAAATAGACTGATGGAAGTACCATGTAGCTGGAAGATGTTCTTAGCAGCTGTCCAGGAGAGCAGATGTTGAAAGACCACCTCGTCTTCTTCGTGGTAATCCCCACGCTCGTTTCTCGGCCAGGACTTCTGGATGATAGCTGAGATGAGTTTGCCAAACTTCCAGTTGATCCTGAACCGGTCAAAGAGTTTACCCTCGGACTTGCTCTGTGTGAGAAGAAAAAATATTGAAGAGATTGAGATTCATACAGTATATGAATTACTAAAATAAGAGATTAGGCATATGTCTTAGCCAACTTCTTCATCAAGGTTTATTTTCCATTTAATTCAGAAGCGGTTGAGTGTCATAAAGGCATAACATGTATAAAATGTTATATGGGTTCATACCTACTTATAAAAAGGTAATTATATATTAAATCTGTATTTAAGTAAAGTGTTACCACGAGTCTACTGACCTGACACAGTGAGGTGACAGCTTCCAAGGCACATTTCTCGATACTCCTGGCCACGTGAGGGTGAGATTCATTCAGGACCTCCATCTGGGAACAGTAGATCTCTATCTGATCCAGGGGAGACTCCTAGAAATGTGGAAAAGGTATGTCAGCCATTTCACCAATGGATATTTCAGTCAGTTCTCAATTCTACTGTATATGTGGCAGTTTCATACCCGTTTCAGTTTGCCCTCCAAGTCCCTAGTGAACGTTTGTCTCCATTCCTTTGTGAAATCGTCATTGGCGAACTTGAGAGAGATTATGTTGTTCCACATCTGTGAGTCGTGGCAAAAAATAAAGAACACAATTAGTCAAAAAAAACAGACACAGCACTACAACAAAAAAAAGGAAAAATTCAACGTTCTGATTTGCACAACAAAAATATAAAATGTTCACCTCAATCTCTGTGGTAACATGGACGCTGAGGTACAAGGTGGATGCACCCCTGCCCAGCAACCGATCTCTGAAGGTTTGGCCGATCCAGGATCTGACGATCACCATCGCCTCAGACAGCAGCTCCAGCTCTTTGGCATGCATATGCTCCCTTTCCACATCCTTAGTTGCCTTGAAAGGAATGGTAAGTTATTTTAATCATTTTTGGAAAATGTCTCAACCATAGCGATCTGATTACTAGAAAGCCCCTCATACCATAGCAATTTGACAGGAACACTCATGGGAGCACTCAATATGGCCGCCGGTCCACCCATCACAGAAAATGGACTTAAAGGGGAATGTCCCTTCTAGTAATTGTTTTTCTATGGTCTGAACTAGTCGGCTGTACATGCGCCAAAACGCTGATATTTCTCCTTCTATAGCATGTTCTCTATCTTCTTTTAAAATAGTGAACCAACATGTTTTCAGCACTTTTATTTTCAATGATCTCTCGTCTCTCTGAAGCAGACATATAGAGAGCAATATGTTTGGAACATTGAATCGCAATAAAGAATAATGATACAGTGCATTCGGAAAGTATTCAGACCCCTTCACTTTTTCCACATTTTGTTACGTTACAGCCCTATTCTAAAATTGATTAAATTGTTGTTTTCCCATCATCAATCTACACACAATACCCCATAATGACAAAGCAAAAATAGGTTTTTAGAATTGTTTGCAAATGTATTAATAATAAAAACCTGAAATATCACATTTACATAAGTATTCAGACCCTTTACTAAGTACTTTGTTGAAGCACCTTTAGCAGCGATTACAGCCTCGCGTCTTCTTGGGTATGACGTTACAAGTTTGGCACACCTGTATTTGGGGAGTTTCTTGCATTCTTCTCTGCAGATCCTCTCAAACTCTGTCAGGCTGGATGTGGAGCGTCGCAGCACAGCTATTTTCAGGTCTCTCCAGAGATGTTTGATCGGGTTCAAGTCCGGGCTCTGGCTGGACATTCAGAGACTTGTCCTGAAGTCACTCCTGCGTTGTCTTGGCTGTATGCTCAGGGTCGCTGTCCTGTTGGAAGGTGAACCGTTGCCCCAGTCTGAGGTCCTGAGCACTCTGGAGCAGGTTTTCATCAAGAATCTCTATGTACTTTGCTCTGTTCATCTTTCCCTCGATTCTGACTAGTCTCCCAGTCCCTGCCGCTGAAAAACATCCCCACAGCATGATGCTGCCACCAACATGCTTCACCAAAGGGATGGTGCCAGGTTTCCTCCAGACGTGACGCTTGGCATTCAGGCTAAAGAGTTCAATCTCAGACCAGAGAATCTTGTTTTTCATGGTCTGAGAGTCCTTCAGGTGCCTTTTGGCATCATGTGCCTTTTACTGAGGAGTGGCTTCCGTCTGGCCACTCTACCATAAAGGCCTGATTGGTGGAATGCTGCAGAGATGGTTGTCCTTCTGGAAGATTCTCCCATCTCAACAAAGGAACTCTGGAGCTCTGTCAGAGTGACCATTGGGTTCTTGGTCACCTCTCTGACCAAGGCCCTTATCCCCCGATCGCTCAGTTTGGCTGGGCGGCCAGCTCTAGGAAGGGTCTTGGTGGTTCCAAACTTCTTCCATTTAAGAATGATGGAGGCCACTGTGTTCTTAGGGACCTTCAATGCTGCAGACATTTTTTGGTACCCTTCCCCAGATCTGTGCCTCGACACAATCCTGTCTCAGAGCTCTACGGACAATTCCTTCGACCTCATGGCTTGGTTTTTGCTCTGACATGCACTGTCAACTGTGGGACCTTATATAGACAGGTGTGTGACTTTCAAAATAATGTCCAATCAATTGAATTTACCACAGGTGGACTCCAATCAAGTTGTAGAAACATCAAGGATGATCAATGGAAACAGGATGAACCTGAGCTCAATTTCGAGTCTCATTGCAAAGGGTCTGAATACATTTGTAAATAAGGTATTTCTGTTTTTTATTAATTTGCAAACATTTCAAAAAACCTGTTTTCGCGTTCTCATTATGGGGTATTGTGTGGAGATTGATGAGGAAAAATGTGTATTTAATCCATTTTAGAATAAGGCTGTAACGTAACAAAATGTGGAAAAAGTGAAGGGGTCTGAATACTTTCCGAATGCACTGTACATATAGAATCGCAATACATATCATATCGGCACCTATGTATCATGATAATATGATGGCCAACCGCTTTTCTAGGGCAAAGTCTAAATGAGTTATCAGACATTTGATACTTGAACTCCACATACCTGTGACTCAAAGGTCCGGGCAAACTCAGATACGGAGACAACCATGTTCATGCATGCCACAGGGATGTCTGTGAAGTTCTGAGTGTATGTAGAAGTCGATCGTACTCCTCTGCAGATCTTCTCAAGTAGTTTCACTGCAGTTGACAAGCACTCTCTGCCATACGCCTCACTAAAACAACTGCAACCACAAGAAACATGTTTTACGATAACTATCATCAAAGATCAGAAGGAAACGAGTGAACCAAATTAGGTTCAGTAAGTCAATCACCTGTATTTCTCCTCGATGAGATTGCTTTGAATGTATGAGAGAGTGTCCGACACATACTGCAGGGCAGAAAAAAAACACATTGTTAAAGTTAATAACAAGTTGAATGCTGTATAATACTTTTAAAAACATTCTGGGTTTATTGGCTAGGATACAGAGATAGGAAAGATAGAGGAGAGAGTGTGCTGCAACCAGTCAAAAGTTTGGACACACCTACTCATTCAAGGATTTTTCTTTATTTTTCCTATTTTTTACATTGTAGAATAATAGTGAAGATATCAAAACCATGAAATAAACACATATGGAATCATGCAGTAACCAAAAAAGTGTTAAACAAATCCAAATATATATTTTATATTTGAGATTCTTCAAATAGCCACTCTTTGCCTTGATGACAGCTTTGCACACTCTTGGCATTATCTCAACCAGTTTCATGAGGTAGTCACCTGGAATGCATTTCAATTAACAGGTGTGCCTTCTTAAAAGTTAATTTGTGGAATTTCTTTCCTTCTTAATGCGTTTGAGCCAATCAGTTGTGTTGTGACAAGGTATACAGAAGATAGCCCTATTTGGTAAAAGACCAAGTCCATATTATGGCAAGAACAGCTCAAACAAACAAAAAGAAACGACAGTCCATCATTACTTTAAGACATGAAGGTCAGTCAATCCGGAATATTTATTCAAGTGCAGTCGCAAAGACCATCAATCGCTATGATGAAACTGGCTCTCATGAGGACCGCCACAGGAATGGAAGACCCAGAGTTACCTCTGCTGCAGAGGATAAGTTCATTAGAGTTACCAGCCTCGGAAATGTGTTTTTTAACAGGACAATGACCCAACACACCTCCAGGCTGTGTAAGGGCTATTTTACCAAGAAGGAGAGTAATGGAGTGCTGCATCAGATGACCTGGTCTCCACAATCCCCCGACCTCAACCCAATTGAGATGGTTTGGGATGAATCGGACGGCAGAGTGAAGGAAAAGCAGCCAACAAGTGCTCAAAATATGTGGGAACTCCTTCAAAACGGTTCGAAAAGTATTCCAGATGAATCTGGTTGAGAGAATGCCAAGAGTGTGCAAAGCTGTCATCAAGGCAAAGGGTGGCTACTTTGAAGAATCTCAAATATAAAATATATTTTGATTTGTTTAACACTTTTTTTGGTTACTACATCATTCCATATTTGTTATTTCATAGTTTAGATGTCTTAACTATTATTCCACAATGTAGAAAATAGTAAAAATAAAGAAAACCCTTGAATGCGTAGGTGTGTCCAAACCTTTGACTGGTACTGTACACACACACACGTATGTTCTGGAGTAAGCGACTAAGACCACTAAACTACCATAGCCCACTCCTACAGTGTATTAGTTATTCAACTAGTTATAATAACAACTGATTGGATTTAGCTATATAGTACGTTTACCAGCTGCTCAATGCGCTTTACATACTGTGCCTTCAGAAAGTACATACACCTCTTGACTTTTTCCACGTTTTGTTGTGTTACAGCCTGAATTTAAGATTCAGATTGTCACTGGCCTACACAGAATACCCCATAATATCAAAGTGGAATTCTGTTTTTCAAATGTTTTACTAATTGATTAAAAATAAAAAGCTGAAATGTCTTGAGTCAATAAGTACTCAACCTTTTTGTTATGGCAAGCCTAAATACATTAAGGAGTAATAATTTGCTTAAAAATCAGTTGAAATAATCAGCTGAAATGGAATGGAGCGGAGCACAGGCAAAATCCTCGAGGAAAACCTGGTTCAGTTCACCTTTCAGCAGGACAATAGCCTAAAACACAAGGCCAAATCTACACTGGAGTTGCTTACCAAGAAGACAGTGAATGTTCCTGAGTGGCCGAGTTACAGTTTTGACTTAAATCTACTTGAAAATCTATTGCAAGACCTGAAAATGGTTGTCTAGCAATGATCAACAACAGATTTGACAGAGCTTGAAGAATCTTGAAAATACTAAATGGGTTAATGTTGCACAAACCAGGTGTGGAAAGCTCTTAGAGACTTACCCAGAAAGACTCACAGCTGTAATCACTGCCAAAAGTGATTCTAACATGTATTGACTCAGAGGGTTTAATACTTATCAATCAAGATAGTGTTTAATTTATTTAATTTTATTGTACAAATGTTCAAATTTTTCTTCCACTGACAGAGTATTTTGTGTAGATCGTTAACAAAAAATGACAAGTAAATCCATTTTAATCCCACTTTGTAACACAACAAAATGTGGAGTAAGTCAAGGGGTGTGAATACTTTCTGTAGGCACTGTAGTTAGGGGGGAAACTAGGGTCCAGCTCACCTGGTTGTTGCTATAGGTGACATCCTGAGGGGCCCTCAGAGTGAAGACATGGAGCAGGTCCAGCAGTTCCACGTTGATGAGGACGCTGCATTCCATCAAGTCCTCTATGGGCAGCAGACACATCCAGGACCGAGACACTAGTCTGTCCATCTCCACCAGATGGCCGTTGTTTTTCATGAGATTCAACATCGCTCTAAAAACAGAGGGAAAAAAGGAGTGGAAAAAGAAGGGATATCAGAGATCACCAATTCATATATAAAAAATAATATATTATATACAGTGCCTTCGGAAAGTATTCAGACCCCTTCACTTTTTCCACATTTTGTTACGTTACAGCCTTATTCTAAAATTGATTAAATAATAAAAATAACCCATAGTTTGCAAACATTTCTAAAAACCTGTTTTTGCTTTGTCATTATGGGGTATTGTGTGTAGATTGCGGAGGATTTTTAAAATCAATTTTAGAGTAAGGCTGTAACTAAATGTGGAAAAAGTCAAGGGGTCTGAATACTTTCCGACGGCACTGTATGTATGTATCTATTACATTTACATTTTTGTCATTTAGCAGACGCTCTTATCCAGAGCGACTTACAGTTAGTGAATGCATACATGTTTTTTTGTTTGTTTTGTTTGTTTTCCATACTGGCCCCCCGTGGGAAACGAACCCACATCCCTGCCGGCCAAACCCTCCCCTACATTGGACGACGCTGGACCAATTGTGCGCCGCCCATTGGTCTCCCGGTCGCGGCCGGCTGCGACAGAGCCTGGCCTTGAACCAGGATCTCTAGGATGCAGTGCCCTAGAATTCTTAGGTTTAAAATATTCATTTCTAGAGGGAATTTTGTTTCTTTGTTCGTTTACCAAAAAAGGAACAGAAGATACAGTGGGGAAAAAAAGTATTTAGTCAGCCACCAATTGTGCAAGTTCTCCCACTTAAAAAGATGAGAGAGGCCTGTAATTTTCATCATAGGTACATGTCAACTATGACAGACAAAATGAGGAAAAAAATTCCAGAAAAACACATTGTAGGATTTTTTATGAATTTATTTGCAAATTATGGTGGAAAAAAAGTATTTGGTCAATAACAAAAGTTTCTCAATACTTTGTTATATACCCTTTGTTGGCAATGACACAGGTCAAATGTTTTCTGTAAGTCTTCACAAGGTTTTCACACACTGTTGCTGGTATTTTGGCCCATTCCTCCATGCAGATCTCCTCTAGAGCAGTGATGTTTTGGGGCTGTCGCTGGGCAACACGGACTTTCAACTCCCTCCAAAGATGTTCTATGGGGTTGAGATCTGGAGACTGGCTAGGCCACTCCAGGACCTTGAAATGCTTCTTACGAAGCCACTCCTTCGTTGCCCGGGCGGTGTGTTTGGGATCATTGTCATGCTGAAAGACCCAGCCACGTTTCATCTTCAATGCCCTTGCTGATGGAAGGAGGTTTTCACTCAAAATCTCACGATACATGGCCCCATTCATTCTTTCCTTTACACGGATCAGTCGTCCTGGTCCCTTTGCAGAAAAACAGCCCCAAAGCATGATGTTTCCACCCCCATGTTTCACAGTAGGTATGGTGTTTTTTGGATGCAACTCAGCATTCTTTGTCCTCCAAACACGACAAGTTTAGTTTTAACCAAAAAGTTCTATTTTGGTTTCATCTGACCATATGACATTCTCCCAATCCTCTTCTGGATCATCCAAATGCACTCTAGCAAACTTCAGACGGGCCTGGACATGTACTGGCTTAAGCAGGGGGACACGTCTGGCACTGCAGGATTTGAGTCCCTGGCGGCGTAGTGTGTTACTGATGGTAGGCTTTGTTACTTTGGTCCCAGCTCTCTGCAGGTCATTCACTAGGTCCCCCCGTGTGGTTCTGGGATTTTTGCTCACCGTTCTTGTGATCGTTTTGACCCCACGGGGTGAGATCTTGCGTGGAGCCCCAGATCGAGGGAGATTATCAGTGGTCTTGTATGTCTTCCATTTCCTAATAAATTGATCCCACAGTTGATTTCTTCAAACCAAGCTGCTTACCTATTGCAGATTCAGTCTTCCCAGCCTGGTGCAGGTCTACAATTTTGTTTCTGGTGTCCTTTGACAGCTCTTTGGTCTTGGCCATAGTGGAGTTTGGAGTGTGACTGTTTGAGGTTGTGGACAGGTGTCTTTTATACTGATAACAAGTTCAAACAGGTGCCATTAATACAGGTAACGAGTGGAGGACAGAGGAGCCTCTTAAAGAAGAAGCTACAGGTCTGTGAGAGCCAGAAATCTTGCTTGTTTGTAGGTGACCAAATACTTATTTTCCACCATAATTTGCAAATAAATTCATTAAAAATCCTACAATGTGATTTTCTGGATTTTTTTTTCTCAATTTGTCTGTCATAGTTGACGTGTACTTATGATGAAAATTACAGGCCTCTCTCATCTTTTTAAGTGGGAGAACTTGCACAATTGGTGGCTGACTAAATACTTTTTTTCCCCACTGTAATTGCGAAAGGCCAAACCTTTAGCATAATCTAGTGAGACAATAAGAATGATTTTCTAATACGACGAGGAGAATAGAAGTCATGTACCTCCTGTCCTGGCTGTTGAGTGTCATGTTGCCCGCTTTGAGGCCTTGGAGGCCCGCCCAGGACTGCTCGTACTTGGGGGTGACAGTGGTAGATATGGGTGCGAACGGTTTGGAGGATCCCTTGAGGAGGTGGAGCAGGGGGAGCACCAAAATCCACCTGGGCCCTTCAGTCTTCACACTGTTGATCAGAGCCACCAACATGTCTGGCAAGCTGGTCAGGAGAGAAATACAGCAGGTTGTTTTTCACACAAAAAGAAATACATCAGCATTTCTTTGTCCACAAAAAAAATCATGAGAACTCATCCCCTAACATGTACTGCTGTCAAACACTTCCTGTTAGAAACTGTTTTGAGAAAACGTGTATCAAATATATTACTCAGTTTCAGACTAATACAAATGATTACATCTTGTATAAAAACATACAATAATCAGTGTCTGCAATAGGCAGAAAAAAATAAGCAGAAATCCTGACGCCAAAACCCACTTTTTGAGACCTGAGACGGCTTGGGAGAAGTCAGTCCAGTACTGCAGGAAGGAGTCTTTGGGCAGCTTGGGCAGGCACAGGGCAGTGCAGAGCCGGGTGGACTCTCCATGGTCCAGCTTGAGGCCGTACTGCTTCCACACGTACAGCATGACCACAGCTGCCCTCATGGGGTCCTGGATGAAGCAACTCTTCCCCTCACCCTCCTTCTGCAGCTGAGGAACAACGCTGTCCAGCATGAACTGCTTCAGCAGCTTCCTGACCTTGGGGAGGCAGAACAAACAGTGAATGTTAACAGACTTGTTTTGGGGATGGCTGCACACTGCAACTCAACACTCATCCATTTGCTTTTCCCTTCCATATACAAAAGAAACGTACAATAAGACAACCAAATGGAAAATACATGTGAAAAAACAACAGCAAATCATAACTCCCACACACAATATTACCTCTATACATTTACAACATTGTGCAGAGTCTGCACATTTATTGGGTGTCATCTTTTCTACAAGTCAAGCAAATAGACACAGTGAATTTCACTTCTAACAGCAACAAAATAACTGGGATAAATTAGAAGGGAGGCAGGGCAGGAGACAGCAAAACAAGCAAAAGCCAAACAGGGGGGAAACGTCTAGGCCAGGGTGAAGAGGTGGGTCTTGAGCCTGTGTGACATTTAGTTCCTGAGCCTGTGTGACATTTAGAACTTCACTTACATCTTTTTCGTCGTAGTCTAAGGAGAACCATTTCTTGTGTGTCTCCTCATAGACAAACGGGTTCCCGTAGATCTGGTAAAACTGATTCAGCTGATTGAGGAAACTCTTGAGGTTAATGTCAGTCCAGCTCCTGAGGAGGTCAAAGATACTCTCTAGCATAACCTTCCCTGCGATTTCTCGGCCTTCGATGACACTTTTCCTTTGTTCCGGCCATAAAACGTCTTTTAGCCGTTTGAGCATATTCTTGGATGGCTCCACACAGATGATGTCATCATACTGATGCCAGTCCCCTGAAACCAACCAAAATCAATGTTTAATATGATATTTGCATACATTTTAGACAATTTCCTCACATGTAAAACAGTGTTTGAACAAAATAGACGAGCAGTACCAAATACAGTGTGGGAAAAAAGTATTTGATCCCCTGCTGATTTTGTACGTTTGCCCACTGACAAAGAAATGATCAGTCTATAATTTTAATGGTAGGTTTATTTGAACAGTGAGAGACAGAATAACAACAAAGAAATCCAGAAAAACGCATGTCAAAAATGTTCTAAATTGATTTGCATTTTATTGAAGGAAATAAGTATTTGACCCCCTCTCAATCAATCAGATTCCAAACTCTCCACCATGGCCAAGACCAAAGAGCTCTCCAAGGATGTCAGGGACAAGATTGTAGACCTACACAAGGCTGGAATGGGCTACAAGACCATCGCCAAGCAGCTTCGTGAGAAGGTGACAACAGTTGGTGCGATTATTCGCAAATGGAAGAAACACAAAAGAACTGTCAATCTCCCTCGGCCTGGGGCTCCATGCAAGATCTCACCTCGTGGAGTTGCAATGATCATGAGAACAGTGAGGAATCAGCCCAGAACTACACGGGAGGATCTTGTCAATGATCTCAAGGCAGCTGGGACCATAGTCACCAAGAAAACAATTGGTAACACTCTACGCCGTGAAGGACTGAAATCCTGCAGCGCCCGCAAGGTCCCCCTGTTCAAGAAAGCACATATACATGCCCGTCTGAAGTTTGCAAATGAACATCTGAATGATTCAGAAGAGAACTGGGTGAAAGTGTTGTGGTCAGATGAGACCAAAATCGAGCTCTTTGGCATCAACTCAACTCACCGTGTTTGGAGGAGGAGGAATGCTGCCTATGACCCCAAGAACACCATCCCCACCGTCAAACATGGAGGTGGAAACATTATGCTTTGGGGGTGTTTTTCTGCTAAGGGGACAGGACAACTTCACCGCATCAAAGGGACGATGTACCGTCAAATCTTGGTTGAGAACCTCCTTCCCTCAGCCAGGGCATTGAAAATGGGTTGTGGATGGGTATTCCAGCATGACAATGACCCAAAACACACGGCCAAGGCAACAAAGGAGTGGCTCAAGAAGAAGCACATTAAGGTCCTGGAGTGGCCTAGCCAGTCTCCAGACCTTAATCCCATAGAAGATCTGTGGAGGGAGCTGAAGGTTTGAGTTGCCAAACGTCAGCCTCGAAACCTTAATGACTTGGAGAAGATCTGCAAAGAGGAGTGGGACAAAATCCCTCCTGAGATGTGTGCAAACCTGGTGGCCAACTACAAGAAACGTCTGACCTCTGATTGCCAACAAGGGTTTTGCCACCAAGTACTAAGTCATGTTTTGCAGAGGGGTCAAATACTTATTTCCCTCATTAAAATGCAAATCAATTTATAACATTTTTGACATGCGTTTTTCTGGATTTTTTTGTTGTTATTCTGTCTCTCACTGTTCAAATAAACCTACCATTAAAATTATAGACTGATCATTTCTTTGTCAGTGGGCAAAAGTACAAAATCAGCAGGGGATCAAATACTTTTTTCCCCCTCACTGTAGATGCATGATAAAAATCAACAACGTTTTGAACTTACATGTAGTAAATGGAACATTTTAAAATCAGTGACTTACAATCAAGAACTGCTATAGAAATTGTTATAGCAACTGCACCAACCTTCTTCATTAAGCAGATGGGATTTGACAAAAAGACATCTGTTGGTGGTGGGGTGGGTAGAATCCAGTTTGTATATGTACTCATACTCGTACTTTTGCTTTTTATTCTTGTAGACAAGGTACTTGTATGGTATGGACACGGTTGCATTAGATTTGCTTGTGATCAAGCTCCCTTCGACTAGGAACCCATGCTCTCCAAGATTCCTGTAGAGACAATGCATTGGTTTATCGTCTGTTATATATCATATACATGTAACCCCCAACACGAGTCTGTTGTTTTCTATGTGAGAAAGATGGGAACAATGTTGAACATTATAAGCAGGTTTAAATTGAATACATATTCAACATATTTGGCTAAACTGTCTTGACAGCTGATACATCTGATACATGTATATAAAAACCTACCTAGACACAGTGAGCTCAACTGTATCTTTATCCCAGGTCCCAATGTTCCCCCCAGCCCTGATGAAGATGCGGTCCTCGTCCGGGTTTAGCTTGAAATCCTTCGAGAGGACAGCGTGGAAATAGATTGTGAGTCTCTCACTTGCAGAGACCTGTTTTTTCCCTTGAGGTATCCTGAAATTGGACCCCAAAAAAATGAATCCGATGAGTATTGTATTAGCTAAGTGGAGGTGTTCATGATCGATATTCATAAAAGTGATTTGAAATGTGCAGAGCCGTAGTTGAATGTGTAACACTCCCTGCACAAGCACCTCCCCCACCGGAGACTGGGGTTCAATCCCCATCTCCACCCTTCCTCCTACAGTGCCTTCAGAAATTATTCACACCCCTTTACTTTTTCCACATTCGGTTTTGTTATAGCCCGAATTTAGAATGGATTAAATTGAGATTTTGTCACTGATCTACACACACACACACAACCACATAATGACAAAGTGGAATTTTGTTTGTAGAAAATCTATAAAATATTAAATGCTGAAATGTCTTGAGTCAGTAAGTATTCAACCCTTTTGTTATGGCAAGCCTAAATAAGTTCAGGTGTAAAAATGTGCTTAACAAATCGCATAATAAGTTGCATGGACTCGTGCTCAATAATAGTGGTGAACATGATTTTTGTACCCAACACATACAAATAATTGTAAGGTCCCTCAATCGAGTAATGAATTTCAAACAGATTCAACAACAACGACTAGGGAGGTTTTTCAATGCCTTGCAAAAAAGGCCAATGATTGGTAGAAGTGTGGAAAAAAAGAAGCATACGCTGAATATCTCTTTGAGCATGGTGAAGTTATTAATTACACTTTGGATGGTGTACCAATACACCCAGTCACTACAAAGATACAGGCGTCCTTCTGAACTCAGTTGACAGAGAGGAAAGACTCTACTTAGGGATTTCAACCATGAGGCCAAGGGTTGATTTCAAAACTGTTAGAGATTGTTTAATGGTTGTGATATGAGAAAACTGATGATGGATCAACAACATTATAGTTACTCCACAATACTAACCTAAATGACAGAGTGAAAAGAAGGAAGCCTGTTCAGAATACAAATATTCCAAAAACATGCATCCTGTTTGCCACAAGGCACTTAAGTAATGCTGGAAAGAAATGTGGCAAAGAACTGAACTTTGTGTCCTGAATACAAGGCGTTATGTTGGGGGCAAATCCAACACAACACATCACTGAGTACCACTTCATATTTTCAAGCACGGTGGTGGCTGCATCATGTTATGGATATGCTTGTCATCGGCAAGGACTAGGGAGTTTTTTGGGATAAAAAGAAACAGAATACAGCTATAAGTGTAGGCATAATCCTAGAGGAAAACCTTTCAGAGACAAATTCACCTTTCAGCAAGACAATAAACTAAAACACAAGGTCAAATATACACTGGAGTTGCTTACCAATATGCCATTGAATGTTCCTGAGTGGCCTAGTTACAGTTTTCACTTAAATCAGCTTGAAAAACCTATGGCAAGACTTGAAAATGGCTGTCTAGAAAGTAATGATCAACAATCAACTTGACAGAGCTTGAAGAATAATAATGGGCTAATATTGTACAATCCAGGTGTGCAAAGCTCTTTGAAACGTACCCAAAAAGACTCACAGCTGTAATCGCCACCAACGGTGCTTCTATAAAGTATTAACTCAGGGGTGTGAATCGTTACGTAAATGAAATATTTATGAATTTCATTTGCTAAAATTTCTAAAAACATGTTTTCCCTTTGTCATTATGGGGTATTGTGTGTAGATGGGTGAGAAAATACATATATTTAATCAATTTTGAATTCAGGCTGTAAGACAACAAAATGTGTAATAAGTCAAGGAGTATAAATACTTTCTATGCTTCTGTACCTGTAGTTAGAGTGGATTTCCACTCTCAAAAAACGTGTTTTGAAATAAGCATATCATTGTGTGAACAGACAACAATGGATAGTAGCGCTGTGAGAGTCTGTGGGTGTTTTTGAAAGTGCTTTTGTGCACAAAAGTGTGCCTTTTAGGTTCTTCATGCTATCATTGTGTGACTTCTGTTATGAACAGACCATTTGTAAATACCTTTTTGGCGGTGGAACATCCTGACCCTTGGTTTCAGAGTCGTCACTTTTGTTGTCTTTCTGTTTCTCTTTCTTGACGCCAGGGCTCTGTGGTGTAGGGGAGGAGGAGGTGGAGGCGTCTCCTCCCCCATGGGCAGGCTGCTGCTGGACCTCCATGTTCTCCACCTTCACCTCTGGGTCCACACTGGAGCCTCTGCTCTCCACCTTGCCAGAGGACAAACAGAGAGTTTGAGGATCAGTCTGCTCTCCGCCTGGCCAGAGGACAAACAGAGAGTTTGAGGATCAGTCTGCTCTCCACCTGGCCAGAGGACAAACAGAGAGTTTGAGGATCAGTCTGCTCTCCGCCTGGCCAGAGGACAAACAGAGAGTTTGAGGATCAGTCTGCTCTCCACCTGGCCAGAGGACAAACAGAGAGTTTGAGGATCAGTCTGCTCTCCGCCTGGCCAGAGGACAAACAGAGAGTTTGAGGATCAGTCTGCTCTCCGCCTGGCCAGAAGACAAACAGAGAGTTTGAGGATCAGTCTGCTCTCCACCTGGCCAGAGGACAAACAGATACAGTGAGAACATATCTTCAAAGAGCAGCTTGGTTGACCTCCATAGCACCCTACACCTAGGAAGAAAAAACAGAACACTTTGTTCTACTAATCTTTCTCGTGCGAATAACGGCACTTATATTTTCTTCCTAGCACGGATTTCGCTGATAGCTGCTTTTTTAGGAAGGTTTCACTTGAAATGACTGTGATATGTGGTTGTTTTACCAACCTTAATTGAAGTCAAATATTAAAATGTAAATAGTGTGTTTGATGGGATGAGTTTCAGCAGGGCGAAGGGCAGAATAGAATCACTCAAGACTATAATTAAAGGTGATTTGTAGATCAGTGGTTCTGCGCAGTCCGACTACAATGTAGTTGATCTCAAACACACACCAAGTCAGGGAAGGTAACAAGCTCCCCCCGCACCCTTAGACAAAACAAACTACATCACCCATAATAACCTAGTCTAAGCATTTTTTTTGACAAATGTAGTTAATAAGCGCACATGGTGGCAAATGTTGCCATAATACAAGTTGAAAAATATGGGCTATATTAAGTTAGGGTTACCTTATGGAAATAAATACTAGCCCGTATCATAGCAACATACAGATAAATTTGATTGATCAAATAAAAACCCATTGTGTTAGGTCAATACTATTCAGATCTGAAGAGATATAAACTGAGTGTACAACACATTAGGAACACCTTCCTTATATTGTGTACCCCCTTTTGCCCTTAAAACAGACTCAATTCATCGGGGCATGGACTCTACAAGGTGTTGAAAGCGTTCCACGGGGATGCTGGCCCATGTTGACTCCAATGCTTCCCACAGTTGAGTCAAGTTGGCTGGATGTCCAGCAGTTCTTGATATACTCAAAACCGGTGCACCTGGCACCTACTACCATACCCTGTTCAAAGGCACTTAAATATTTTGTCTTGCCCATTCACCCTCTGAATGGCACACATACACAATCCATGTCTCAAGACTTAACAATCCCCTACACTGATTGATGTGGATTTAACAACTTAAATCAATAAGGGATCATAGCTTTCACCTGGATTCACCTAGTCAGTCTATGTCATGGAAAGAGCATGTTTTGTACACTGTGTATTTTGTAATGTCAAGCAGCTACATTACCTCTGATTTCTTATGAGAGCCAAACACCATGTCCTTATTACCAGTGGTGGGTGGCTTCGAGTCGTGGTCCTGCTGATCGTCTTTCCCTTCCTGTTTGTCTTGCCTGGTCTGGTTCTGCTTAGCATTCTGGTTCGCATTCTGGTCCAGGTTCGTCTGCTTTGAGTTGGCTACGTTTTTCTTGTTCTTGGTGCTCTTCGCTTCAGCAGCCTTTGGAGCCTTCTGGTCAGTGGTCTTCGCCGCTACCGCTGAGGCTGACTGAAGAGGGGGGATGGTGGTGGTGAATTTGCCAGCCGAGTCGGTGAGGGAGGCAGGAGTGTCATTCGGAGCCGACTCTGAGGTCTGTTTTGTAGGTGACTGAGATACGTCATTCTCTTCACTGCTCTGTTTATCTTTCCCTGCGGCAGGCTGGCTCTCTGCGCCGGCCTCAGGCTGTGACGAGGCAGTGCTTGGAGGACCTTGATTGTCAGACGTGTTCCCAGTTGGACTGATTGTACTGGGAGCTGCTGATGATGCTGATGCACTGGCTGGTTTCTCCACTGAGGCAGACGTGTCATGAAGTGAGTTGGATGTCTCGTCCATGGCGCTGGCATCGCTGTCGCTGTCGGAGGACTCTGCAACTTCCTGTTTCCTGTTCTTCCCCTGGCTGTCCATAAGAGAGATGTCGGACATGTCAGAGGTCACCTGGTCAGAGTCCAATGACCCTGGGCCGTCTTTCTTCTTCTTGGTCCTCTTCCTCTTTTTTCTCTGATTGAGCCAAAGGTTGAAACAAGAGAACAAACCTTAGCATATCCATTCTTCCCTCAATCAACATGACTTAATTTGGTATTTTATTAGGATCCCTATTAGCTGTTGCAGCAGCAGCAGCTCCTATTCCTGGGGGCTACAAGCTAGGTGAACAATTATAATCAGTTTTTTATACCTGAACAGTATTATTGATAGTTTAGTGACCGATAAAAAAAAACTTTTGACATAAAAACCTTTTCAAACAACATAATAAAATCTGTGAAATTAGAATGAGGAAGTTCTGAAAAACATGTTGGTTTTAATATCAACCTTTTTCTTAGGGTTGCTGTTAGGCTCTTCATTGGGCCGTTTTGGAGAAGTATTTGTTTCCCGGTTGTTCAGGGATGACCCATCACTCTCCGTTTCTGTCTTCTCTGTCATACTCTCCAATGATGGCTGTAACGGTTTTGGTGAACTTCCAGAAGTGTTGTCTGCATTTGAAAAACAAATCATCATCAGTTGCATTAGTGGTTGTGAATTACATTGTCAAGCTGATCATAATTCCCTCAATTGTCTGGTGTAGGATATATCCCACTCTTCCTTCAGTCACCATAACTGTTGTAAAATCAATACTCTTTTGATGGAGGGTTTGAATCAGATCTTTTTGCAGTGTGCTGACAGCACCCCTTCTGAAAAGTACTTTATATACGGGAAATTCCACAATAACCGAGTGACTGACTCCCGATTTTTCTATTTAAAATGTATGTCAAACAAAAAAGAATGATTGCAAAGTAAAACAAAAAATACAACTCTATGCACAAGGCCTACTTTTAACAATTTCCACTGAACATTTTACAAAAACAAATCAAGTTTCTTCAAGTAAAAAAGCATGTATTTATATAATATAACATTAGAGGGCAATACTGACCCGTCTCCTTGGTGAGCGGTTGTGTAGATAGCTGATGGCCACACTGGCTGCAGAATCTAGCAGTTTTCTCAAACCCAACACGGCCACAACCGGTGCACTTCATCTTGAAGTTTCAATGGCGACTGTATTTCAGAGGGAACAGTTGAGTATCTATGACAGAGCACGGGAGCAAATCTCTTTCACTTTCATTTCACTTAAAGGTGCTTGCATTTCAATGAAATGTGAGAAACAACTAGCCAGCTAACGTTATAGCCACTTCGCTAATCTAAAATCAGTCAAATATATTCTAGGATCCGTTTAGTGGCAGACTGTATAATAACTGCCCCAAACCAAATACATACATACAGTATCTTCAGTCCAGGCTATAGCTACTGTTAACGTTATGGCTCTACAACCAAACATATTTTTTTAATGTAGCTAGCTAATGCCATCTGCATGATTGAACTAGAAATAGCTTTTCCTTCCTAAATATTTGTATCAAAGTCATCCTAATATATAACTTATTACAGACCAAGTAGAAAAGTAAAAAAAAAAAAATCACAACTACCTAACAGTAGCTAGCTAGCTCCTGATCACCTGGGAAAAGCCAAATGTGTGGGTGTTCCCCTAGGTGCAAACTCTGCCCACGCCCACCCAACAATTGAGAAATTATCCAATGGCAAACGATCCTCTGCAACACTCATGATAGCCACTTCCGCTTCTAGAGAACTACACAACAACCTAATGCCTGGATAATTGACTAGCTAGCTATATTACAATTGACGAATGCAAAAGCTCCTCGGAAATGACAAAGAAATGCACTGACATTATCAATAGCAAGCTTTCTAGCTAGTAGATGTGCTACTGCCTGGTGGTCGTTAGTTAGCTCGTCTCGGTTCAGCTAGTATAGCTACATTCCACTCGACAGGAGTGTAATGTTAGCTAAAACGACTGGTACCCAGACCAGTGGATAGCTGCTAACTAACTAAAAAAAAGCCCAACCACAGATGAAAGTTAACATATAGCTAGCTAACTCCCATATAAACTGTTGCAAATTAATGTCAAAACGCCGTCACCGGCATGCCAACGTAAAAAAGGTTGCTCCTCTGTATTGCTAGCTGACATGTAATGTAGCTAGCTAACTAATAATGACACCAACCCCTGCGCAACAACATTGCACTGCCTCGCTAGCACGCTAACTTCGTGCACAACTTCACTAAGTTAGCTAGCTAGGTAATTCATTTGTGACCCCAAAAACCAATAGTTACATGACTATAATTCAAGCAGTTGCCATCTAACCAGCGTGGTAAATAGCCTATACAATTGTTAACTACTGCGTGAGTTAGCTACATGGCCACCTTGAGTTGCCGTTAGCCTCCCACACCATCAGACCTCTTCACCTCAGTGCTAGCCTCTTCGCTCCGGGAATGTGTACAGGTCTCCAGGAGCGAATAGGCTACCCCAGTGCCAAAGGTAGCTAATTGAAAATAGCTTTGCTACTGTGTACATTTACCTGTGTTAATCGCACGATTGTCTGTGATCAGGAATAAAATGATGACCACGATGTCGAATTACACTTTCGTTTTGTGAGAAATGGTTGTCAACAAGCTCATCAGTGTCCGCTGGCCTTGGCTATCCAACTATTACTTTCAGTGAGTTCCCAATGTATCACATGCATTGCAAGCGAAGGCAGCTACATGGTGGGGGATTTCCGAATGACATGGTAGGTTCTTGCCCTTAAACTGTCCAACTGTGAAGGTCAAAAAATGTTTTTTTCGCCCATTGTGTTTTCCCCAAGTGAATTAATAAAGGTTCATTGATTAATCAAGAACTGATAACAGCTGCTGTATGTTTGGGGCGCCCATGCCCATTACAGCAAACGTTTCTGATTATTTAAATGTGCAATGCTTTGACCACCTTTAAAAATTATTATTTAATCATAGAATTTGGCCAGTGTTAATTGAACCATTGCAAATGTTTGGACTGAAGCAACACCATTTCCCCCTAATGTTCAATTGAGTCAACATGAATGAGATTCAAGGTAATATGAGATCTGACTTAATTGCATGAACATTATAATAACAATGTGTTCAATATTTTTGAGGTACAAGCCCTCCTCTACTGAAATGGTGAGCACTGAGCACCGTCCACTTATGCCTGCAGATCTCCTCCACAAGGCCTCACAGCTCAGGTTTCTAGTCCAGGGATTTCCCCATACACCCAGAGTGGATGGGGTGTACAATGTGTACAGCTCCCCAAGACGTTTTCTCTACAATCACTGTGACTCAGCTGTCTGTACACCACCCTAGTAGGCTACTACTACTACTGCTGTACCTCCTGCCAAGTGGCAAGAGCAGGCTCTAAAGTGAGAAAGTTGCACAATACTGGCATCATATTACAGGAAGTCTAGAATACAGCTTGGCTGCTCATCGACTGAGGGTTGGCAATGATGGGAAGTGAAGAGGAATTTTTGCAACCAATAGACATTGTTTTACATTTTAGTCATATAGCAGACGCTCTTATCCAGAGCGACTTACAGTTAGTGAGTGCATACATTTTTCATACTGGCCCCCCGTGGGAAACAAACCCACAACCCTGGTGTTGCAAGCGCCATGCTCTACCAACTACTACACTTATTACTAGTATGGAAATCTGAAGGGTGACTGAACATTGCATCTTAATTGTGGGCAATTCCACGGGAACAGAGTGATGCTGAGACTCAGATTATTCACTTTAAAATGTTTGTCGAACAGAAACCAATGATTGAAAAGTTTAAAAAACCATACAACTCTATGCACAAGGACTACTTTTAACAATTTCCCACTGAACATTTTACAAAAACACATTCCCTTTAAGAACAGTGGAGATGCAAAGTTTGGAAACATAATGATGGTTTGTGCTGTTTGTGATGTCATTCTTTTACCATCATTCTGGTACCAGAATGAGGGGGAGGGGACGGCGACAAGGGAGAACTAACCTAGCTTTATGTTCCCGTCATAACCACTTGATGAGTTATCGAAACATGAGGTGGACCAGGTTCTTTGCCCTGACATTCAGCTGGACTGCTCGTCTTGAATGGAGGCTTGGTGGTCCAGCTAGACGCCATCCTGCAGTGTCACGAGGACACAGGTAAGCATGAGTTATTGACTGGGGTTCGAACTAAATCCTAGGCATTTGTCTTCAGGGCCTGTATTTATAAAGCACGTCAGAGTGTTAGTGCTGGTCTTGGATCATAATGAGTAAGACTATATGGACAGGGAGGGACCTGATTCTAGATCAGCACTCCTCTGAGACACTTTATGAATACAGGTCCTGTTCTTAAGCGAGGTCATCACGAGAGCGTAGTTCACCAAACCACCTCCATTACTCATGTATGCAAGGGAAAACAGGGGCACAACCAACAAGGCACAACATTCAGAACGTGACAGACAGTAGTGTCTTGTACCCAGTTGAAAATATCCTCTGTCCTTGCTTCAGCATGAGAGTCATGATGTTGCGTCAATTCCATTCCAAACCTTTGCATTTTATATTTTTTTCAGAATGTGAGACTGACAACTTTCTGCGAGTTAGAATAGTAGACTACACAAGGCTCAATTTTGAAATTTGGTTGTGCATCAGCAGTTTTACTCTTGTTATGTCAGTCACTGATAGTCAGTCGATTAGCCCATGTCAGCTAACACTTTTTAGATTGCTAAGTTAGTTTAGCGGCTAGCTATTGTTAGAAATTGCGTAATTCAAATCTGGTATTGGAATAAGAGTAAACATAATCAAGAGATATTCAATCCAAGCTAAATGTATTATATGCAAAATGTATGTATGATGAGTATGATGGTTCGTATACGGGCTCACTGAAATACCACGCAGGGCAGACAGAGAACTGGCTTCCTCATTACAAATTCTTCCTTAAATACCCTGACAGTTTTAGTTCCCGCTCTCTGCTGGGCCTATCAGGGTAGAGGTTGAGCGTGGTTTAGACTTGCCCAACCTATCGCTGGCGCTCCGGCTGGTCCCAGCCTCTTGGCGCTCCACTGTTGCCAGGTGTCTAGTTGTTTTGCAACTTATCCAGAAAGTCAGCACTTTTGCAGTACACGTCCTTGGACGGTTCACAGATCACAAAGAGGCAGTGTTCGGGTATTGTGAGACACAAGTTCTTATCTCCCCCTACTCCCTAAAACAGCTCCTCACATTAATCACAGCTTGTTAGGTTAAACAATTTATATCAGTACAGTACAAACCTTTTATGCTTAATCATTAATGCATTCTTTCTAAGCTAGTCATCACATCCAGTTATGAGAAAATAGATCCCCACACTATCTAAACTTGTTATCATGGTTGAATTACCTGCTGGGGGGCTCCCATTGATTTGTTAGTCAGTCTCACTCTAAAAACTGCTAACATTTCTCTCCACCTGTGTCGAATTGGTGGAATTGCAGGAAATTTGCTGTAAAATGGGTGTGCAGGCCTGGAAGGACTACCAGCTCAACACTGAGATGCGTCCGGTGGAATGAGGGACCGGTGGGGAAGAAGAGGAGGAGGGATGGGTAAAAGATATTGCAAGAGCAGGGATTGGAAAGGCTTTTGCAGCAGAGTTCGCCAAGAGGAAGGAGGTGGACTGTAAGAGGTACATTCAGGCCCTCAGAAGGAAGAGATGGAACAGCAGGAAGTGGGTAATGGGCTCTCTGGACCCAAGAAAGAAGAGAGCAAGGTATTTCCAGAAAAGAGAGAGGTGGAAAAGAAAGGAGTAGGTCCAGAAAAGAGAGACGTAGAGAAAGAAAAGCGGTATCAAAAGTAAAGAGGGCGGTAGAACAAGAAAAGGGGGAGGAGAGTGTGAAGAACCCAGACACTCAGGAGAACACTACTGAGAGGCTGAAGAAAGTGAACTCGGGACTCTGTCATGATGGGAAGATGCAGCCCTGCCTCTCTCAGAAGCACCCTGGTAAGATAGGGCTGTACGTGGACTGTGACCGGGGTCGCCTGTCCTCTTTCTCTGTGTCTGGAGCCAGGGTGAAGCTCTTCCACAGGTTTGAGAAGGTGTCGTCCGATCCATCGCACCCGGCCGTCTGGCTCAGGGAGCCGGAGATGAGGATGACCTTCAGATGATGGGGTCATGGGTCAAGGGGCTAT